ATCCAACGTTCTGTATTATCCAATGCAGTCGGTCTCCCGCCTGGATACAAAGCTGTTTCAATACATTGTAATGTTTTGGTGCTAAATTTGTAAATACAGTAATTATTACATAACGTTACCAGGTATTGAACTGCTTTTTCTGTTGATTTGTTGTAAAACATGATGTTTTGCTGCTTAATTTGTAAAATCATAACATAATTTGACATTTAATAGGCTTTTGCTTAATCTCTCCGTATTATCCAACATTTTCGCTTATCCAATGTTCTGCTGGCCCATTTATGTTGGATAAGCGAGACTCTACTGTAATAAAACTGATCCACACACACAGCAAATTGTGATAATAAAGTCCCAAGCTGATTCTCCATTTTAGGAAGCAAGAATGTGTTCCACATCTCAAATCCTACTATATAACAAATCTTCAATAAATGCTGGTAAATCCCTATGATAGTTTTCTACTTATACAGAAATTAAAGATGAAAATATATTCCTTTACCTATGGGCTTTAGGGGAGTAAGAGCATATTACAGCAGGACTTAGCTTACCAGACAAGGTTACCCAAATGAAAACTGGAGAAGGCTCCACTATTTTTAATGACTGCATAGAAGAGGAAATTTTAGCAGATGTTGCCTGGTATCTGCTTGCTTGAGAAGCAACACTTGTAAAAAATTCCTGTTTTACCTAACTTTTAAAAGTACAGTAGAGTCTTGCTTATCCAACGTTGGCTTTTCCAGTGTTCTGAACTATCCAATGCAGTTTGCCTCCCACCTGGATCCACAGCTGTTTCAATATATTGCAATGTTTTGGTGCTAAATTTGTAAATATAGTGATTACTACATAACATTACTGTGTATTGAACTGCTTTTTCTGTTGATTTGTTGGAAAACATGATGTTTTGGTGCTGTATTGTAAAATCATAACATAATTTGATATTTAATAGGCTTTTCCTTAATCCCTCCTTATTATCCAACATTTCTGCTTAGCCAACATTTTGCCGGCCCATTTATGTTGGATAAGTGAGACTCTACTGTACAAGAAACTGCTCCAGGTTTCCACCTGGCAACCCGTTGATACCTGACACTTAGTGAAGAAGCACCATTGTATATGAAGTTAAGCTATTTTTGAGATTTTTATCCACTGTACGTTTTAGGTGAATTGAAGGTGCCAAGAAACATAATTAGGCCCTAGAATGTTTAACTGTTAAGAATAAAGCTTTCCATTGTAACTTTCGGGGAGTATGTAATAGCTCTCACCCCACCCATTTGTTGATGTGTGCTTTCAAGTTGCTTTCCATTTATAGAGACCCTAAGGCGAATCCACCCCACCCATATTCACAGAATAATAGTGACCTATTTCCTGGTTCCCATGTAGTATGATAAAGCAGATCATCACTGCAAGATTTTGGTCTGAAAGGTCTAAAATCTTGTTAAAACATGTAATGGATATTTTTATGACACTGCATTATGAATGGTGTATTTATTTATAGTATTTATACCCCACCCTTCTCACCCCAAAGGGGACTCAGAGGAGCTTTACAGAATACACACATACAGCAAACATTAAATGCTGATTATACACTTCACAAAGACAGACAACACAAACAGAGGTAAAGGCAGTTATTCCTATCTTATTTCAGGCATCTTGAAGGTGGTGCTCAACTTCAGCTACGGGGGGTGCTATCGCTCCATCTTCCATGCCGAGTAGCTTTCCTCTGAACGATCAATGTCCTTAAGGGTGCCTTTATTAACTCCCCACTAAAAGCGGTACCTACTCACATTTCTGCTTTTGGCTTGCTAAGTCAGGGGTCCTCAAACTAAGGCCCGGGGGCCGGATGCGGCCCTCCAAGGTCATTTACCTGGCCCTCTCTCTGGATCGACCTAAGTATGAAACTACTTGAAAGCACACAATAACAACAACAATCCTATCTCATCAGCCAAAAGCAGGCCCACACTTTCCATTGAAATACTAATAAGTTTATATTTGTTAAAATTGTTCTTGATATTAATCATTGTATTGTTTTTAAATGTTTTTGCACTATAAATAAGATATTTGCAGTATGCATAGGAATTCATTCATGTTTTCTTCGAATTATAATCCGGCCCGCCAACAGTTTGAGAGACTATGACCTGGCCCTCTGTTTAAAAAGTTTGTGGACCCCTGTGCTAAGTGGACAGGTGAGCTGGAGTTAATGGCAGATGTTCACCCCGAACCAGGATCAATCTGCTGACCTTTCGATCGGCAGGATTTTTCTGCAGCACAGCAGTTTAGTCTGCTGTACTAAGCCCAGCTTTTATTTACATAACATGATGCAAGGGAAACTGCTTTTCTTTTGAGGGTGGAAAGCATATAATACTATTCAACCTCAAAAGGAACTTAAATCATTCAATAAAATGGACTAGAACTATTCTAATTTGAAAACATTTTGTATTGTTGAGTGGTTCCAAGTTCTTTCCATTTTAAGGCTGTCCTATCATGAGGTCTTCTGGGACTGAAAGTGTGTGACTTACACAAGGTCGCCCAGTTGGTTTCCACGGGCATAGGAATTAATTAAAGAAAACATATTTTAAAAGTAATTAATATTTAACCATGGAAAGCATGGTAACCCACCCTTTTCAACCACAGGAGAAAAGGAATGAATGGCATGGTGTTACATTGATGCCAGTCTCAAAAGGAAAAGCCACACTGTACTTTTTGCACTGTATATATTTACCAATAGTATACTCCTACATATAATAGGAATCATGGGATATAGATTAACAATTTACCCTGGACACTTTGTTCTCTCTTGTGAAGAATGACATTTGGCAGATTTAAACAGGGTAATTTTTAACATGCTATTCCGCTCATGGTTCAATGGGAGTCAAAAGCTAATTATTAAATATTTAGACAGCATTAAAAATACAGAGATGGGTAGTGTCTATAAAAATGTGCTTTAAGATTAACCTTTTATTTATAAAATACATACTTTTCCTTTTGCTAGCCAGTGTCCTGGCTGTATGGCCATGTTGTAGAGATGTACTAGAATCTTTGAAACATTTATTGCAATTAAAAAGTTACATTAAATTCACCTGATGCAACTTGAATCAGCATTTCTAAACACAATTTGTATAATAATTGCAAAATGATTTCACAGCATTGCAAAATGCTTGATGACAGGGACAAATCTGTAACAAAAGTGTGTTGCAGGTACACATGTATGCTTGATGTAAAATGTTTTGTCAGCACTAAAGCTGATAAATATGAAAGGCAAAACACTTACACCTCTCCTGCTAAAAATCGGTGTGGCACAGAAACATTCCTCTCCTTTCCTGCCATATTTGGCAGCCTGTTCATGAGTTCTTCAAAGAAAAATGCTCCAAAATATACTGTCACGAAATTTACAGGCTGGAGCTCATTAGTTAAATGTATCTCTTGAAGCAATAGCAGAAATGGTTAAAGACGACTGGAATGGTACAAGGAATACGAGATTGGTCACGATTCTATTACGAGACGAAGCGGATTAGTTAGTGTAATTTTAACTGTTGTATTGTTGTATGGTTAATATGCTGTTGTACTTGTCTTTGTGTGAATTGCCTTTTGTACTGTACACCGCCGTGAGTCGCCCGAGTGGGCTGAGAATGGCGGTTAATAAATGCTCCAAATAAATAAATAAATAAATAAATGGTTAGACATGGAATCAAAGCAAATTTCCTTTCTGCACACAGGGATGGCAATCGGTGAAAATAAACCTTTTCCTTCCGCTGCTTGTTAGGAGCAGGAATCACACATATCCCGCATGGTAGGGCTCAGGCTGCATTGTAGTAAGTTGTCTGTGGTTTGCTCTTCTCCGCGCTCACATGTTGTGGACTCCACTTTGTAGAATACAGTGATCAAATACAATTGCTAACTGGAATTCACGATTGCAGTTATGAATGCATAACCTATAAAATACATTTGTGAGTGGTTTGTGTTCAAAATCCCTATGAATAACACAATAACAACAACACTTTATTTATATTCCACCCTTCTCCCTGAAGGGGACTCAGGGCAGATCACAGTACACATGTACGGCAAACATTCAATGCTGCTTTGTATAGACAATACACAGCCAGAAGTAGGTGTGTTGTTTCAACTTAGTGTCCAGCTGTTTTGGTGCGGTGAAAGGTTGGGTTCGAGTCCAGTCACAGGGGGGTGCTGTCGCTTCATCCTCTATGACAAAGTGCCGTCAGGACTTTCTCCTTGCATTTGGTCACCCAGCATTTTCTGATCTTCTTTCTTTATGGCGTCGTAAAACACCTCCCCCGCATTTAGTAGTACCTAATTTCTCTAATTACAGCTAAAGCTGTTTTTGAACTGCTTAGGTAAACAGTGAGTTGGGCTAACAGTTGGCAGCTCATGCTGACCCGGGGCTTCGAACTTGCATCCATCCGGTTGATAGATCTTATAGTTGCTGGTGATTTACGAGCTGTACTAAACCTTCAGTGGGGAGAAACAGGGATATGAAGTGGTGGGAAGAAACAGGGGTATTTTAACAGTAGCTGAGCAAATAGGATGGCATTAGATTAAGCAGAACCATCCCTGCCAAACTGGAACAGCCTGATTTGTGTTATACTAAGAAAGGATAAGGCAATCTAACAGATTATCTGACAAAAGCTGTCAGACATGTCTTAAATAGATGTTGCAGGATTGAGTAGTGCTCTCTGATGCAATGCTTAAGGTATTGCAAACATGATTCTATTGTCATCTGTGAAATGTGGGGTGATACGGATTGGTTACTGTATGCCTTCAAGTCACTTTTGACCTATGGCAACCCTTAAAGCACTTCTATCAAAAGGTTTTCTTGGCAAGAGTTTGCCAATGCCTCCTTCTGAAGCTAAGGGAGCTTGTGTTTCCTCAGATCACCCATAAACATGCAAGGATATGAAACGTAGTCTCCAGTGTAGTAGTCCAACGCTGGCTTTAGATCTATGCACCTTGACGTGTGATCAATATTGATATCTTAAAAAACCATTCCAGACAATATATAAATATTTCTATATTTATTGATTTCTAGCAAAACAGTCATATTAATTTTGGCAATTTCCCAGTGACAAATATTACCTCCAAATACAGAGATCCATTAAAAATAGACCCTAATTCTGATAATAGCTATAGGTTGAAAGTTCTACAGTATCAGACTTCTTCATGTTAATTCTGGAGTTGAATTATTATTCTTTTGAGATGATATAGAGTAAGGGCATATTTGGTTGTCTGACTTCAAAAACCCCTTCATTATCTCTACTTGTTGTTTTGCTTACTATTAAAAAAAGATTTACGATTTAGAGTGTGGCAGAAATATTTTCTGTTCAACAACCTGGAAATCAGATGTGAACTACATTAATCTTATTGTCGAAGGCTTTCATGGCCGGAATCACTGGGTTGTTGTAGGTTTTTTTGGGTGTATGGTCATGTTCTAGAAGCATTCTCTCCTGACGTTTCACCTGCATCTATGGAATGCATCCTCAGAGGTTGTGAGGTCTGTTGGAACTAGGAAAATTTGGTTTATATATCTGTGGAATGTTCATCAATCTTGTGTCTTAACATAGAAATTATAAAATAAAATTTAAAGGGCAGAGGCTTCTTTCTAATTTAAAGAGGGTTTCAAGAAAAGAAATAATGAACGTATTCCTACTACTTGAAAGACTCAGATGGCTACCTTGGACAGCCAGCCTTGGACAGTTTGGAACTTTTAAAGAGCAGCACATTCTTAATTGTGTTGTTGAAGGCTTTCATGGCCAGAATAACAGGGTTGCTGTGAGTTTTCCAGGCTGTATGGCCATGTTCCAGAAGCATTCTCTCCTGATGTTTTGCCCACATCTATGGCAGGCATCCTCGGAGGTTGTGAGGTCTGTTGGAAACTAGGCAAGTGATGTTTCCTGGACATTCCACAGATATATAAACCTCACTTGCCAAGTTTCCAACAGATCTCACAACCTCTGAGGATGCCTGCCACAGATGTGGGAGGAATGTCAGGAGAGAATGCTTCTGGAATATGGCCATACAGCCTGGAAAACTCACAGCAACACGTTAATTATTTGATGCATTCTTGTAGTATATTTATTTTCAGGAAGAAGAAATGGAGGCACTTATGGGATTTTCTGTCACATGAAACAAAATAATTTGCTTCCGTTTTGGTATTATGTGCTTTTTCTTAAGAGATTAGGTAGTACACCTAAGTGCCTCAGGCATTAACATGTCTTGAGATGATCCTGGACATTTCATGGAGATTTAAGATAAACAGTTTGGACAGTTATAGCACATTTGTCTGTAATGGGTGTATGAATGACTTGCGTGAGGTAGATATATTTTCTACACTTATATCATGACTTACCAAATGGGTGCCATATGTGTTTTTATTCAACACCCAGCTGTGTTGTGTTGCACTCTATCAGTATACCCGTAACAGCCTAATAGGGATATATCTATATAATCCATCAGCTTAGTTTTTTATACTGGCAACTCTTGACATATCAAGAGAGTGCACAGTCATCCCTCCACATTTGCAGTTTTGACTTTGCAAGTTTGATTATTTACATATTCGATTAAAATGTGTTTTTCCTAGCAATCTCTAGGCCCTCCAATGTGATTTTATGCTCATGTTCCTCTGGTCATGCCAGAGGACATAATGATTTCTACAGAGGACATCACACTAAGAGCCTCTCAGTGGTTCCAACCTTTGGGCCTCCAGGCGTTTTGGACTTCCAACTCACACGAATCATAAAAGCTGGTAAGGATTTCTGGGAGTTGAGGTCCAAAACACCTGGAGGCCCAAACTGCTAGGTCCTCTAATACAGTGGATCTCAACTTGTGGGTCCCCAGATGTTTTGGCCTACAACTCCCAGAAATCCTAACAGCTGGTAAACTGGCTGGGATTTCTGGGAGTTGTAGACCAAAACACCAGGGGACCCACAGGATAAGAACCACTGCAATGTGTTTCTATGGTTAGTCCCCATGGAGTTCAACCAGAGTCATGCTGGAAGACCTAGAATATCAGGTAAATTTCAGCAATTTGGAATTTGCTAGGAAGACCTAGAATTTCAGCAATTGGCTTATTTTTTCACATCTTTTCACTTGCATGAGGGTCCTGAGCAACCAAACACCAACAAATGTGGATGGCTGACTGTGCAGTATTAGATTAACAATCAGCCCACTTACAGTCACACAAAATAGCAGCCTATAAATTACTTTTTACAGGAGAATCCAGCAAGTGCTGCCTGAAAAAAGTCAGTATCCTTTGCCAAGCATCCTCCTGAGCCTTTGCATGTTCCTTCTGCTTTCCTCCCCAGAGCATAGTAACCCCCAAAGGCTTGTGACGTGAGGCAAAGCACAAGGGCAAATAGGGCGGCTCCAAGAGGTGTCCTGCCCCAGGATAGCAGTAGAACTCCACGTGCCGCCCACTCTCCTGAAGGCGCCGAACTGCTTCCCGGCAATACAGTTCACTTTGCCAATTTCTGTCATCTTCCCCTGAGAAGAAGAGGAACTTGCTGGAGGACTTCTCAACAGGGATCCGGGATTGCCAAGTTGCTGGGTCTCTGGGATCATCCATGACTTCTGAATAATCCACAAATCCAGAATCGCTGCTAACTTTTACCCTATTCAGATCGAAAGGATGGGCAGGAATGGTGAGGTCTTTGACTTGTAGGGGGATAAAAGCATTAAGACCTGAGCCAGAAATACTGACAGCTGCTTGGATGCCTGGCCAAAACGTAGCCACAGCAAGCGCAAGATCTGCCCCTTTAGAGATCCCAAGGACACCAATCCTCATCGACTGCACCTGAAATGACAACAAGGGAAGGATCACTATTCAGTTTCACAACTACACACATTGAACCCACTTATTTGAACTTACAAATTGCAAGATATTGGTCTCCAGGATAAAAAACAAGGTATAGAACTATGTTGCAAAAAAAGAAACTGGGAATCAAATCTATGGTATATGGTAATCCATGGTATGCAAAACTATATAGTTAACTCAGCTAACTTGGACATCATAGGGAAGAGGGGGACAAAATACACATTTAAAACAAGTGGAAAACTAATGTGTCACCCATTACTCATCCATCACTCATGGCTAAAGACCAGTCTGTCCCACCTGCCTGTTTCCTTCAGGTAGTGAATAGGATGGTGTTGAGGATTTTGGTGCCCAGGCCATGAGTAGAGTAAATGTGGGATACATGTACTGGGATTAACAAAGCTAAACATTAGTACCAGTTTTCAGGATTTTATGTGTACTACTGTTGTCAAGTTCCACTGTAAATAACACTTTCCTCATTTGGAATAAAAATTAAAGGTTGAATCTCTCTTATCTGAAATGCTTGGACCAGAAGTGTTCCATTTTTGGATTTTTGGAATACTTGCATACACATAATGAGATATCTTGGTGCTAGGACCCAAATCTAAACACAAAGTCCCTTGATATTTCATATACAGACCACATACATATAGCCTGGAGGTAAATTTATGTACAACATTTTTATTAATTTTGTGCATGAAAAAAAAGCTTGTGTTTCTTGAACTATTACAGCTACATATGGTGAGAATTCTGGATTTTGTAGTATTTTGGATTATGGGACTCTGGATAAGAAATTATCAACATGGATATAAAAAAAAACCCGGATATTTGCAAGACTCTACCGTATACCATGCAGCTGTGGACAAGTCTATATAGGGACCACCAAAGGCAGCGCCCAAACACGAATCAAGGAACATGAAAGGCACTGCAGACTACTTCAGCCAGAGATGTCAGCCATAGCAGAGCACCTGATGAACCAACCTGGACACAGCATATTATGTGAGAACACAGAAATGCTGGACCACTCTAACAACTACCACGTCAGGCTACACAGAGAAGCCATTGAAATCCATAAGCATGTGGATAATTTCAACAGAAAGGAGGAAACCATGAAAATGAACCAGTATTTTTTTTAAAAAAAAAAAACTATCAAATCAGGACAGCAAATAAAGAGCAACACTCAAGAAGCAGGGGAATGCCAGATAAGAATCAATCAGAGCCAGCTAACACCTCCCAACAAAGGATTCCCCCAGGCAGCAATTAGCCAGGATTTGAAGCTGTGAGGCCATTAACGCTAATCAAGGTGGCCAATTGCAACAGTCACACTTGCCTCAAGCAGACAAAGGTTCTTTCTCCCACCCTGGACATTCCACAGATATATAAAACCTCACTTACCTAGTTTCCAACAGACCTCATAACCACTGAGGATGCCTGCCACAGATGTGAGTGAGACGTCAGAAGAGAATGCTTTTGGAACATGGCCATACAGCCCAAAAAACTCACAGCAACCCAACCTGTACATTTATTTGTCTCTTACCTGCTCTTGTTTCTTTAAAAACTCGACAGCCTCTCCAAAATAGTCAAGATCAATGACTTCTGGGAAAACTGGCAAATCTTCGAAAGCTAAGTAAGCCAGAGCCAATGTGACAAAACCTCTGCTGGCCAAAAGGCTTGCTCGGTACTCCACAAGGCCCCCTCCAGATCCATACAAGTCAAGTAGTCCTGGGAATGGTCCAGGGCCTGGGAAAGGGTGAAAGGGTATTTTTATGCAATGGAGTTTGGTCAGCACAAAAAACACACAGATAAACCTCCTCGTCAAGATTAAGAGTTATTGGATCACAATGCTTGGGTTGAGTTGGATGATGTTTTAACTCAGCGAACTGTTTTTTATATGTAGTCTATAACTTATTTATTATGTATGTTGTTTTTAAAATGTTATTTATTGTGTAGCATTGAATTTTTGGTGTTGTTAGCCATTCTGAGTCCCTCCACAGAGGTAGAGAAGAGCGGGATATAAAAATTCTAAATAATAAATAATAATAAAACATGGCTGTGGCTCACAAATGGAACTTTGAAAAAGGAGACAAAGGAGGGCCTGATTCTGGCAGTCCAAGAACAATCTATTAGAACCAATGCCATCAAAGCCAGAATTGAAAAGTTGAAGACAGATCCAAGTGTAGACTCTGCAAGGAAGCAGACGAAACGATAGATCACATCCTCAGCTGCTGCAAGAAGTTTGCACAGACAGACTACAAGCAGAGACATAACACTGTTGCTCAGATGATTAATTGGAACTTGTGCCACAAATACCATCTGCCTGAACCAAAGAACTGGTGGGATCACAAGCCGGAAAAAGTTACAAAAAATGAACACATCAAACTCTTCTGGGACTTCCGAATTCAGACTGACAAGAGTTTTGGAGCACAATACTCCTGACCTCACAATCGTGTTAAAAAGTAAAGTATGGATTGTCGATGTTGCAATCTCAAGCGACAGCAGGATTGAAGAGAAACAACTGGAAAAGCTGAGACGATGTGAGGATTTAAAGATCGAACTGCAAAGACTCCGGCACAAGCCAGTAAAGGTGGTCCAGTGGTGATCGGCACACTGGGTGCAGTGCCTAAAGATCATGGCCTGCACTTAAACACAATCGGCACTGACAAAATTACCATCTGCCAGTTGCAGAAGGCCACCTTACTGGGATCTGCATGCATTATTCGCCAATACATCACACAGTCCCAGACACTTGGGATCGAATACAACAGTCAGCAGAGTGATCTTGTCTGCTGTGGACTCATCTTGTTGTGTTTCAAACAACAACAATAATATCACACAGTCCTAGACGCTTGGGAAGTGTCTGGCGTGTGATCGAATACAACAGCCAGCAGAGTGATCTTGTCTGCTGTGGACTCATCTTGTTATGTTTCTAATAATAATAATAATAATAATAATAATAATAATAATAATAATAAATCACACAGTCCTAGATGCTTGTGAAGTGTTCGACTTTTGATTTTTTTGATACGAAATCCAGCATATAGATGTCGTTTACTGTGACATACTGTGATTTTGTGTCAGTAAAATAATAATAATAATAATAATAATAATAATAATAATAATAATAATAATAATAATGTATGCTTTGTTATTGTACGTTTGCATGGCTTGGTCATGTGGACTTCTGATTCACTAGATAGAAAAGGTATAATTTGGAGTGTAGACTTAGTGGCACCACGGTACTAAAGATTGATGGGAAAGTATGCAACCAGAGTGATTAAAACAACCCAGTAATCATTTCTGAGGGAGGGAAAGCATACAGCAGGCCTGGGCCAACTTGGGCCCTCCTTCCAGCTGTTTTGGATTCCAACTCTCACCATTCCTAACAGCCTCAGGCTTAAGTGGCTGAGGGGGAAAGGGAAGGGGCCGGAGGCTGTTAGGAATGGTGGGAGCTGGAGTCCAAAATATCTGAAAGGGGGGCCCAAGTTGGCCCACGCATGAGCTGTCTTGACCTACTAATTTGCATAGGGGTTCTGATTGGCCAGCCTCAACATTCTAACATTCTTAATTGGCTGAGGGGGAAAGGGATGGCGCCTGAGGCTGTTAGGAATGTAGGAGTTGGACTCCAAAACACCTGGAAGGAGGGCCCAAGTTGGCCCATGCATGAGCTATCTCGACCTACTAATTTGCATATGGGATCTGATTGGTCAGCCTCAACATTCTAACATTCTTAATTGGCTGAGGGGGAAAGGGATGGGGCCTGAGGCTGTTAGGAATGACAGGAGTTGGACTCCAAAGCACCTGGAAGGAGGGCCCAAGTTGGCCCAGGCCGCATGTGTTTGGGAGGGATTCTGCACTCACCGGGAGGTACGAAAAGAGTGGCGCGGAGCCTTCCCTCCCGGACGGGGACTCTTCGCACCCCTTTGGCCAGGAAGCCCCGGGCGCTGCGGCAGCTGCAAAGGAGTTTCCCCGCGCCTCGCCCCTCGTAGACCTCGAAGGTCACCCAGAAGGGGCTTTGCACGTCCCGCTTAGCCAGGCGCCAGAAGGGGGAGGCGGGCTCCATGCTCCACAGCAGCCCGCTGGCCTCCCGCCCCAAGTAGCTGCCTCCCAGCGAGGGCGCCCGGCTCAGGTCCAGCTCCCCGCCGCGCTCCGCCTGGAAGACGCCCCGCGCCTGGAAGAGCACCCCCATCTCGTCCTCCAAGGCGGCGCGCACCGTCACCTCTTGCTCCGGAGGCAGGCCATGCACCCTCACCTGGAGGGGCTCGTCGTAGAGGCAGGCCGAGGGCGGCCACACCGAGATCCGCGGCACCGGCGCCGCCATCCTAGCGCGCAAGCTAAAGTCCTGGGAGGCCCGCCCCAAGTCCAAAGGGTGCCAAGGGAAGGAGGGCTGGCTGGCTGAGGCTTCTGGGAGATGTAGTTCGTCCAAAGCAGCAGCTCAGTTTTTGGAGACAAGTCAGAGGGCAAAACAGCAGCTTCTTTTGAATGGGTTGCTCTTAAGTTTGGGGGGCTGTATGGCCATGTTCCAGAAGTATTCTCTCCTGACGTTTCGCCTGCATCTATGGCAAGCATCCTTGCACCACCTGACATTCGCAGTCAGTAATGAAAGGACCAAGGCAGTGACATCTCTGGCCCATCCCCTGTTCGGATATCAGCCAGCACGCCAACGCCTTAAATCAAGAAATAGTAGTCTAAGCTCTACAGAGATACTTGCAGGAACACCTCAGCAAGCAAGAGTCCAAAAGTGGCAAGCTAAAACCCAGCACCTCAATCCATGGCTGATACCAAATGATATACTCCCTCCTGGGCACATGCAAGACAGAGCGACTTGGAAGGCACTAAACAGACTGTGCTCTGGCACCACGAGGTGCAGAGCCAACCTTAAGAAATGGGGCCACAAAGTGGAGCGGACGACATGTGAGTGTGGAGAAGAGCAAACCACTGACCACCCACTAGGCAGAGAAGGCTGAGAGGAGACATGATAGCCATGTATAAATACGTCAGAGGAAGTCATAGGAAGGAGGGAGCAAGCTTGTTTACTGCCGCCCTGAAGACAAGGACACAGAACAATGGCTTCAAACTACAAGAAAGGTGATTCCACCTGGGCATTAGGAAGAACTTCTTGACTGTGAAAGCCATTCAGCAGTGGAACGCTCTGCCCTGGAGTTATAGAATGATTCTATAATTCTATTACAAAGCAACCTGAGTCCTGCCACATGCGCAGTTGAGGACCTCCTTATAGCATCATCAGTGGTACTCCAAGTAGCCAGCTACTGGTCAAAGGACGTTTAATAGAATGCCAAGTTTTTAAACTTTGTGTTTTCTCAAATACATTGGTTCATTCCTGATATGATAAATAAATAAAATCCTGAGGTTGTGAGGATGCCTGCCATAGATTCAGGCAAAATGTCAGGAAAGAATGCTTCTGGAATATGGCAATACAGCCCGAAAAAACTCACATCAACCCAGTGATTCCGGCCATGAAAGCCTTCAACAACACATTCTTTTGAATGCTCTGCAAAATATCAAAGTGTGGCCACACTAATTCAGTTCTGTTGTTCTTCGCATTCAGAAGGCAGTAGTTCAGTGGTTTAAGAAGCTGGGTATGTTTAGGGTATGTTCGAGGAGAGAGGGTTGATGTCCCTTCTACACTGCCATATAAAACCCAGATTATCTGATTGGAACTGAATTATATAGCAGTGTCGACTCATATTATTATTTGATACATATATCAATGAATATTTCATCCAGTCTCGACCAATTCAACATATTTTGTGGCAGCCACAAAAATGTAGTTTCTGGAGTAGAACAACTACTTTCAAAGTTGTAGAACAAGGCTTTCAAACCAGGAACAGAAAAAAATCAAATTTTACACACTTACCTTAAACAGGAGCCCCCACTGGCACAGCGGGTTAAACTGCTGAGCTGCTGAACTTGCTGACCAAAAGGTTGGTGGTTCGAATCCAGGGAGCGGGGTGAGCTCCCACTGTTAGGCACAGCTTCTGCCAACCTAGCAGTTCGAAACATGCAAACGTGAGTGGGTCAATAGGTACCGCTTCTGTGGCAAGGAAATGGCACTCCATGCAGTCATGACCTAGGAGGCATCTATGAACAACGCAGGCTCTTTGGCTTAGAAATAGAGATGTGCACCACCACCCAGAATTGGACACAACTAAGACTTTATGTCAAGGGGGAACCTTTATCTTTTTACCTTAAACAGACAAGAGTTCTTTCTCCCACCCTGGACATTCCACCGATATATAAACCCCACTTGCCTAGTTTCCAACAGACTTCACAACCTCTTAGGATGCCTGCCATAGATGTGGGCAAAACGTCAGGAGAAAATGCTTCTGGAACATGGCCCAGAAAACTCATTGCAACCCAGTGACAACTCATTGCAACCCAGTGATTGCAACCCATGAAAGCCTTCGACAATTCAAATTTTGTTACATAGAATTATGTTCTGCTGCTCAAGAGGCTAAGACAGGAGCAATGGATTCAAATTGCAGGAAAAGAGATGCCATCTATACATTAGGAAAAATTTCCTGATAGTAGAATATGCTGCCTTGGTGTGTGGTGAAGTCTCCTTTGAGGTTTCTAAACCAAGGCTGGATGGACATCTGTCGGGGGTGCTTTGATTATGTGTTTCTCCATGCCAAAATGAGGTTGGACTGGACAGCGCCTGGGGTCTGGTCCAATTCTAGGATTCTGACCATCCCCTATGGCTTTCACTTTCATCCTCAATACGTTTTGGATGTCAGCTCCCAGAAACACAGGCTAATGTCCAAAATATCTGGAGGACAAAGGTTGAAAGCCAGTGCCTGATAATAAGTTACTAATACATTACATTTGTGCTTGAAACAGTTTTTAGAACTGTAGCCATGTTCTTCTCTCATAAAGAAAAACAAGTTGTGTTAGAAGCAAATTGAGGGTACAGTTAAAATGTATTTAAAACACAAACAAAGCTTAAAACTTGGCATTATACTAAATGTCCTTTGACCACTATCTGGCCACTTGGAGTGCCTCTGGTGTTGCTGTGAGGTCCTTCATTGTGCATGGGCCCAGGTAGCATTGTAGTAGGTGGTCTGTGATTTTCTCTCCCCTGCACTCGCATGTTGTGGACTCCACTTTGTAGCCCCATTTCTCAAGGCTGGTGCTGCATCTCATGTTGCTAGAGCTCAGTCTGTTCAGCGCCAAGTCACCCATTTTTCTGTGTGTCCAAGAGGGAGTCTCTCATTTGGTATTAGCCATGAATTGAGGTTCCAGTTTTAGCCTGCCACTTTTGGACTCTCACTTGCTGAAGTGTTCTGCCAGTATTTCTGTAGATTTTAGAAAGCTATTTCTTGATTTAAGGTGTTGGCATGCTGGCTGATATCTGAAAAGGGGATGGGCCAGAGATGTCACTGCCTTGGTCCTTTCATTATTAGCTGCTACTTCCCAGCAGGTGTCAGGTGGTGCAATACCAGCTAAACAGTATAATTTCTCCAATGTTTCGGGCCGTAGACATCCTGTGATAATGTGGCATGAATCATTAAGAGCCACACCCACTGTTTTAACGTGGTGAGATGTATTCTACACTTGGCATGCGTATTCAGCAGCAGAATAACAAAGTGTATGCCCTGTACCAAAGTGATTTGATACATTTTGATCTGTACATAATATTCTACTTCTAGCCAACAATGTGCTGCCACTTTTAGCACATTTTTCCATTTTTTAAATTTGGTACCTTTAGGAAACAAACACCACACACAGGGTTTGCTGGGTTTGGCTGTTTATCTCACACTTTCCCAAAGCTCTCAAGGCAAGGCTGTAAGAAGGCAAAATTACATTACAGCAACCAGTCCAAGGTACTTATAATAAGGGACCCTTGATACTTGCTGGGGTTTGGTTTCAGGATCCCCACCACTATCAACATCCATTGATCTTCATACTCCACTATATACAATGGAGAAGTAAAATGGTATCCCTTTTATAGAATGGTAAAATTAAGGTTGGCTTCTTTTTGATCAAATGGTTCTCAAGATGGCTTATAATCGGTTGCAATAAAATACTTGACTGATGAATGGGCTCAAAGTGACCTTTCAATTAACTCTACGATACTACAGCAACTTGCCTATGATAAAATGCATTCCCATTTGGCAGGTATGGGCCCTGGGACTGAGGGAGGGAGACAGGATGGTCGGAGGGCCTCACCTTCCCTCAAACAGAGGGGCTTTGCTCATCTGAAATTTTGAGGCAAAACTGGATCACCAAAATGCTTGTGTAGTTGAGAATTATCAATCGGGAATGCACGACATGCGCATTACTTTGCTATTGCTCCCATGACACTGCCAATATTAAAGTCTATCATAAAAATACTTCTCATTAGGAATAACCAGAGCTGATCAAACTCCAAACAGCAACAATCACTACAACCTCTTATTTGTTTTGATCCAGTTTCTATTTATTAACATTCAGACCATCAATGTTTTCTAGACCAATGGTGTGAAACCCGTAAACTTCCAGATATCGGACTCCAGTTTCTTTGTAGGATAAGGGATAAAGGGGATCAACTTCTCCATAGCTGTAAATACCCCACTCTGGGTATTGTCTCAAATACAAGATTGCTGTATCAACATCCAACAATGAAGGAACATAATGCTGGATTTTACTGATGTATTGATGAAATAATACTTCCAACTCTGTCCCTCAGAAGATTCATAGTGATTAATAATAGAAATTATTAGCCCTCTTGATCTCCAGAAATGAATTTTCTTCCTTTCTGCAAGGCAACCAAGTTGCAGCAGTCCAAAATACTTTTCTGAAGCCAGGTTCAAATGGATCTGGAAAATCTGCTCTTTGTGTGGTGTTCATCTGATTTGGAAACTGACATGCCATGTGCTACAGATCCCAAATGTCACTCAAGGTAAACAATCATAAAAGGTAAAATCATGTCCACATTTTTGATGAACAGTCATGTAAAGCTAAACAGACAGCAGAACAGTTGCTCTTTGTCTTTGGACCATAATTAAATAGTATTACATTATTCAAGTTCACTTCATCTGAATAGTACATAGGGCACAGAAGGCTAGTGCTTCCAATATCCCCTTCCAAGGCTGTGTTACGTTGGTGCTACAGCTTTTGTGAGTGAGTCCAACAGCTGATAATAGGAATATTTTAGGTCGTATTCCATATCATACCAATAATTCACTGGAGGGAGAAAAAAAGGAAAAAAGTACAATATGTTACTTTTGGTTTGTTATCAACGCAGTTTTAAGCTCTTAGTCACTTTTGAATATATTTATATTTTGTCAACTTGCTTGACTTGTGAACTGGGGAAAAAAGGACATAAATATTAATGATTGTAAGAATGATGATAATAATGTATAATATGTTTAATATATTGTATTTTTAAAGGTAAAGGTAAAAGTTTCCCTTGACAATACGTGGCCCTTCACATCCAAAAATTAAGTCATGATAATTACCAAGTAAGGTTCCAGATTTATTTTGTTATTTATTTTATTTATTTCCTACCTTTCACCTAAAATCTGGATACAAAGCTTCTTCCTACAGAAGTTTTGGGGGGGAAAGGCCTAATAAAAATACTAGTAAAAACCCTCTGCAACTTGGTGGTGCAGAGGGTTAAACTACTGAGCTGCTGAATTTGCTGACTGAAAGGTTGGCAGTTCGAATCCGGGGAGTGAGGTGAGCTCCCGCAATTAGCCCCAGCTTCTGCCAATCTAGCAGTTCAAAAACATGGGGGTTTTATACTCCCTGTACACTGCTCCAGTAAGAAACCTGGCTGCCACCCCTTGGACTATCTGAATCTTCCAAACAGTCTTCAAAAGCAACCCTACATAGAGCGCTTTGCAGAAATCTAATCTTATATCCCAAGACCACCTGAATTTCAGCTTGAACATCACTAAGATTTGTTACTGGGATCATTAATATCTTTTAGGAAATGAATATTCACTAAGAAAGAAAATAAGAGTATATTTATATTGTGTCTGGAAGTGGGTTTTCTTTAAATACAATCTTTTTTGTCATATGGTGATATATTCATATTATCATTTTGTCTTTGCATTAGAAGTAATCTGGTGGGAAAAATATTCTATCCTCTCTTTCCCCAGTACTGTGACTCAAGTGACTTGGAAATATAAAATTTCAAATCAGTAAAAACCTACAAAAAGTTAAAATAGAATTAAACTAGCAAGAGCATTAAAAGCAATTTAAAAACACACTAGTGAAAAGAACAAGAAATAAGAGGAATATAGCACACTATTTAAGGATGCATCTGCACTGTAGAATTAATGCAGTTTGATACCACTTTAAGTGCCATAGTTCAATGCTATGGAAGCATGGAAGCTGTTGTTACACAGCGTCTTTAGCCTTCTCTACCAAAGGGTGCTGATACTTCCTAAAACTACAGTGTAGATGCACCCTAAAAGTCCTTTCTTTCTGCATGTTAATTAAAAAAAAACAGGGCTAAGATCCAATTTAATATAAGTAACGTTAAAAAGCCCAGCTGATACTGTTTCATGAGATTTGGGCAGAGGTAGCAGTGCTTTGGATCCTAAGTTAGGCTTCTAAAGACTGAAGGGATATTTCCAAGGAGGCCTCTGCTGGTAGAAGGAGAGACTAAACTAAAACCCAATGGACAAAATAACTTGTGAAATCTGTAGAGGTTGCCTGGTTGCTGCAAGCATTACAAGTTAAAACTGGTCTAGGCACATACTGTTCTCCTTACCTGCTGTGCAACCATGTGATTGCTGAACATGATGGAACCAGAGAGAAGGGAGATACAGCATCTCACCCGCTTTCACAGTGCACCTCAAAGGCTTTGCCTGGGTATATTCTGGATAGCGTTTTAAGTCTGGATTTAAAGGATCCAAAGGAATCCAGGGCACCTATCAGGATGAAAGGTCAATATGAAAAATACAGCTATTAAGAGAGGCACTTATCTCAAAAATAGGTCAATCGTTTGGTTTGATAGTAAAGGCAATGAATTATCACAGCCCCAACTGTGTCTTGGTTTATAGGCTTGTTCCTGAGGTTATTTGTAGCACTGATTAAATTCCATTGGATAGACCGCAACAACTCTAGTTTCTTAAATATGGTTATTCTGATTTATGATGCGTGAGCAGATGACGACTGATAGATAGCACAAGTTCTGTATCTCAAAAGCTAGAGCTAATATGGGAAAACTGAAGCCATTTTTGGAATTAGCAGGACAAATATACTCAAAACAGGACTAACATATGAGGCACCAAAATGTGTGTTGGCCAGTGTTCTCTGCCACTTGAGGAAAAATCGCATTTTTTCTTCATCTCTTTGAAGAGTTCCTTTCTATGGCTTAAAAGGGGGAAAACTAAGGTTTCCCTCCCTTTTTTCTTCACTGCATAAAGAAACACTGGGTTTCTTTATACTTGTGAGAGTATATTATAGTGAGCTGTGCACACATCCCATATCTGATAGTCAACCACTGAAAAATGATACACCTGAATTTTGGAAATGAATTATCATTTGTAAAGACACTGGACATGACTATTTATCTGCCAGTTATGTATCTGCTACTTTTACTATGAAGTTTATTATGTGAAAGTGCATGCATTCACACCAAAGTATATGCCCTGAACCCAAATCTGGTACATGGAGCTACGTTTTAAATAAATAATAGCTTTGGAAATTGCACTCCAGGTTCATTATAAACCCTCTGTTTGTATTTATAACTAAGCTATCTTAAAATAGTTTGATCTGATGAGCTAAAGAGCCATAGCTTTTTAGCTCACCAGGATTCTCAAAGTATTCCTTTTCAGCTTCATCACAAGATCAGAGCTGGTGGACTTTCGACTCTCCAGATGGATTGCAATGCAGCTTCCAAATCCCTAATTTCTGGCCATAGTGGGAAATGTAAAAGAAGACATCTGGAGGGCCAAATATTCCTTGACGAAGCTCAAAGTCCAAAGACTACGAGTACCTTCTCTGACATTTTATCCACGACAATATCAAAATTCCCATCTTCTCGTATGTGGTATGTGGCTGGTGGATACAGTTCTGGAATAAAAGGGTAAAAATTGTCATAGGATATGTGGCAAAGGTAAAAAAAATGCAATTATATAGTGCTAAGCAAAAGAAAAATATATAGGCAGCATTTATTTCAACCAGGACACTTTATCAGAGATGATTCTGAGTATAATTAGCCATCCATGTTTACAAGTTTCACTTTTACAGATTTGATTATTCACGGATATGATTAAAATGGTTTCCCTAGGAATCTCTTGGTCCTCTGGTGGTGGCTTCTAGAAATTCCTACAGAGATATTGGCTCAGGTTAAAAAAATGTAATATTTTTCATGGGACTCCTGTGCACCTAATCCCAGCAAATGTGGAAGACTGGTTATATATACATTTTTAAAATAAATGTTGTGAACAAATTATTTGTATGCAAACTATTTGCATGTCTACAGAATCTTGTAGACTAACTTGGCTTAACTGGAATTCCTCACTTCTACACCCTTCTTAAAATTGACCGTGTCTATTGGAGTGGGGGAGAGATTTGGATTGGATAAATCTTTGCTGCCACATCACAGCATCAATCAAAAAGCTTCTTCTACAAGGTACTGTTAACCACAGATTGGAAAACATATTGACATAAAACTTTATGCCGTATATTTTCCCTCCATGGTTAATTGCTGCCTCAGGGAGAAAGGATTTGAGCTGAAAAACATGTTTGGCCTACCTCTTTCCTATATTACAATGTTTCAATGGATTTCTTTAAAAAAAAGAAAAATATGTGAATCAAAAGTAACCACTTTTTTTTCACAATGTGTGGTTACCTTTGCTGTTGGGAAAGTATCCATCGAGCCCAAAATATGACGCAAATGACACATAAATCTTCCAGATTAAATACCAATACTACATATCTCATCCCACAGTATTCCTTTCTCAGAAAACGTACCATATGGAATAAAGGGACGATCACTTGGAGGATGCAGCAGAAAATGCTTTTCTCCAGAAATCACACAATACAAGTTTTCATAATGGTCTTTATGTACTAAGATTGGAGAGAAAGAATCAAGAATGGAGAAAAAGAAGGAGGAAACATTTTTCTTAATCCAGTAAAATGCAATGAAGACAATGACCAAGATTTGAGGTCAACTATTCAGTTAAGCATACGAGTGGCAGAGCTGTGCTCTCTTGTTGCTAGAAGCAGGGTTTCTCATTGCACCTGAAGCTGGTGGTGGGAAGGGTTGGAAATGTTAGTCTTCTGTGTATCAATCAATAGAAGACTTCTGTCACTCAGAATGGCCGATGCCTGCTAAGATTAGAGTGGGAGACTTTTATGATTTCTACTTATTTTCTGCATGATTGTGTATATGGATGGAATATGAATTATGAATGCATAACTCCAGGTTACACATTTGTAACTACAATTGTGAATTCCAACAATTAAATCACACACTTTCTAGTGCTAGTATTTTCTTTCTCTCTATGCAATAGAGTTAAGGAAACTTTCCTTCCCATTAGCATCATGCTTAAGACACTGACAATGTGGCATTTCAGTTAGTAGTAGGAAATGTTATGGGGAAAGCAAATGTACTGTATCCAGCAATTACACACTCCAAAAAGGGGCAAACCTCAGGGTGCTTCCAGGCACTCTACGTAATTTATAGATCTTATGGGCCTAGACAATGTTATCTAGTTTTCCACTTGCAACCTTCTCATCCTTTCTTCTTTCTTTCAGTAAAAAAGGAAGAAGAATTGCAGAATGTCTTTCAACTAGAAATGTTAGGATCTCCTCACCTGAAAGCACCCTTAGGCCCCTTCCACACAGCTGAATAAAATCCCACATTATCTGCTTTGAACTGGGTCATATGGCAGTGTGGACTTAAAACAACCCAGTTCAAAGCAGATATTGTGTGATTTTCTGCCTTGATATTCTGAGATATATGGCTGTGTGGAAGGGCCCATAATTTCACAGGAAACCAAATTCTGTGGAGATGGTTACAGATAGATGAAAAGACAACACTTCAAAATAAAATACGATCATTCAAGAGACAATTCCTTTACGCATATGCAGTCTTCTACTATACGTTTAATCCTGCCCACCTTTGTCAGCAAATTTAGAACTGCAGTTGAGATTATGTTTATCACATTATCATTATTAAAGCTTTTGGAGCCTTGGTTGCTTTTTAAGTGTGCACATCCATGGTTTAAACTGTTTTAGCCTTTAAGTCATTTATACAGATCATTTGCATGCTTCCCCGAGATCTCACAATAACAGGTAAGATAAAATTATAATTAATAAGTAATAATACATACAAGATGTCACTGCAGCAGATTCTCCTAGCCAGAAATTAACAGCATCAGGCTTTTTTCCTATAGGAAAAGAAAGTACGATAAATTAATTAATCTATTTAAAAAGATGATGTCATATGTCCAAAGGTATCAAGTTAAGAACTTTCTATTCACTTAGTTTGCAATTATGCTTCTTTAAATTTTAATTGATTTTAAGTTTAATTATTTTAATTGATTTTAGGTTTAATGGTTTTTAATTGATTTTACATATATGTTATATGTAGTAGTTATTATGATTTCTTTGTATACTGTATGTTGGCATTGAATTATTGCCATTGGTATGTTGTAAACCGCCTTGAGTCCCCCCAGGTTATTGTTAAGGACAGGTTATTACTGATTTATATACATAATAATAATTGAGTTAGTACTGGCAATTACTAGAGCCTCTGGTGGCACAGTGCAATACACCACTGAGCTTTTGAACTTGCTGATGGAAAGGTTGGTGGTTCGAATCTGAGGAGCAGGGTGAGCTCCCAATGTTAGCCCCAGATTCTGCCAACCTAGCAGTTAAGCAACTACCAAGGGGAAATCATATCCATTTACTTCAAGCTTCAGCCTCTCCAGCCTGAACAAGTAGGTTAAGTATTGTGTTGTAACATAAGCTGAAGCACATCATTACAGCAATTATTCTTGAACACATATTTAGTGAAGGGACATTATCATTATTAGTGTCCCTTATGCAGGAGAGACACCATTGTGTCCCTAGTGCAGAGGTGCAGGAATGGCAATGTACCACCAGGGGGGACTGGCAAACCATACCTCCAGGRAAACRTGGCAGATTCCAGTCCTCTGACACTTATGTTTCACACCTTTYTGGCAAGGGGATRCARGGRGMATCATGACCTGGGACTGATAGTAGGYTRTAGGCTACCTCACCTTARGATGMSCTCACCTCTAGCCAATCACTCTGCYAATGATGTAATCCAACTCACTGTTACTATGCAAGCTTTGCAAAGAGCACAAGAAAGATATATAAACAGCTTGACTAGTCAATAAACCTTTGAGATCACCCTCACCCTCCTGGACTGCCTGTCTTCTTTATCGTCGCTACAATTTAGCTTTTAATTAACGAAAACAGAACATTCTATGACCAAAGCATTGATTTTATTTTTTTCAATCATAACTTTGTGATTTTTGTATTCATATACTGTCTATAAGGATCTCATAAAATGGATAACCATCCTGGAAGAAAGGGATTTGGCCTATCTGCTGAAAGAAAAGCCTTTTTACCATGCCACACAACAATATGGGGAAGACAATCAAATGGCAGCTTCATTTCCAAACACAGCTGCTCTTCAAGAGTGAAAGGTGGACTTTAGTCTGAAGCTACTGGATTTATTCTCATTTAAGATTGGTCAATCCCACTTAGGGAGAAAGGTATGATATAATGTGGGCTGAGGGGGTTAAAAACACATTCATAATATACCGTCCACCATCCCTCAGGATGGAAGAGCAGCCACTACAGCGGTATCATAATAAAATATAGACTCAGCATCCCTTATCCTGAATTCCTAAATCTGAAACATTCCAAAATCAAATAATAATAATAATAATAATAATTATTATTATTATTATTATTTTTAACCCATCCTCTTTCCTCGATGGGACTCAGGGCGGTTTACACATAAAGAAGGCAAGTATTCAATGCCTTATACAATCATGAAAACAGAAGCTAATATACATAAACACTTAACACGATAAAACAAAAAATACAGATCATAATTAAAAGTGCATATAAAATAAGCTCTATGGGAGTAAATATGAAATACTCCAAAATTAGTAAACGTCCACACAGGCAGCTGAGAAAGTGGCATCTTTGCTTTCTGATAGTTCAGTGAACACTAACTTCATTTCATGCACATATTTAATATACTGTGTATAAAACTACCTTCAGAACAAGATCATGTTTAGATTTAGCCCCATCTCCAAGATTATGCAAATAAAAAATCCCTTCCCCACTATTCCAAATCCAAATTAAAATTTTCATGTAATAAAGCATCCTTTTAAATAGTGCTGCAGACAAACAGCTCATCATTTATACAGAAAATTACAGATCCAAATTGTCACTTTACAAATACATCAATACAGATTGAGGATCCCTTATTGGAAATGCTTGGGGCCAGAGTTTTTCTGTATTTTTGGGTCTTTTCGTATTATGGAATACATGCATATACATAATGAGATATCCTGGAAATGGGACCCAAGTCTAAATACAAAATCAATTCATTTTCCATATGCATCTTATACACATAGTCTGAAGGTAGTTTTCTACAATATTTTAAATATGTTTGCACATGAAACAAAGTTTATGTACCATAAAAAAGCAAAGGTGTCAGTACTCAACTGCCCACATGGATAATTTCTGATTTTGGAGTATTCAATATTTAGGAATTCTGAATAAGGGATATTCAATCTGTAATGCATGATTTTACAGGATTCCTTGTAGGATTAATTCTCTGGTGATGGTCAGCAACCACAAAGACAGAACATGAAACTGTTTGATTGGTTTTATATGAGTTGTGTAACACTCGATGCCATAGAGAAAACTGAGATTTTTATATTTACCTAGTGCTTCACTCATCCAAGGTATTTCAGACTCTAGATCAGCCATAAGTTCAGGGAATTCCTCTGTAAGGTTTGAACACTGTTTCTGCACATAGAACACTCCTGGGGAAGTTTCTTTTTTCTCCAGAATGTCCAAGAAAGCACTGAATGGCATGAGTCGTTCCTCCGGCATAACAAACCAGTCCTGATAAACTGCATCAGCATAACCATTTGGAGTTACTGCTACACTCACCAATTTTGTGCTCATTATTTCCCTGCATCAAAACACACAAGAGTTTCACAGCTATACAAAAAAGATGCTTGTGACAAAAAGGTAAAATTAACCCACAATCCATAAGTCATTTTTTAAAAACAAATGGTTACTAGTTATCCATTTTCCCATTCAAAAGAGTCATCAATCGAGGTTTCTAAACTACATACACTCCAGACATTCAGCCTGTATTGGAAGGTGTTTTAAAAAGTCAACAGAACTACAAATACATTTGCACACATCAGACAGAGTGACTTGGAAATCTCTCATTAAGATGGTCACCATAAGTAGAAGTGACTTGATCGAACAGTTTATAGCAACACATGGTTTTAAATGTTTATATTTCTTGTATGTTGCTTCAGGAGCCCTTGTGGGCTGAGTAGTGATAAATAAACACATGCATATTTGGGGATTATTTTTATTTAGAGTTTACAGTAACTTGCAGGAGTAATTGAAGAAAGGGTGGGGAATCTCACTGATTAAATTGTAGGCACCCGCTGGATGTCCAAAAGTGAGGATTGGAAGTCCATTTGTACTCATAACTATTACGAAGGCCCCGTCCAGAGAGACCCTATATCCCAGGATCTGATCCCTGGTTTTCTTCTTTAAACTAGATTATATGAGTCCAGATAATTGGAGATAAACAGAAAACCTGGGATTAGATCATGGGATATAAGGCCTGTCTGGAAGTGCTCTAGAAATACCCTGTTAGATTTTTGAGGTCAGAATAGGGGTAATACCTTGGCCATGATTATGTTTATCACTTGGCGAATGGTATTTAGGAATTGGAAAATATCTCCCCCAGCCTTGGTCCACTCCTGCCTCTTTCAGGTACTGCAATCCCAGTAGCGGACGGCTTCAAGAAGGGCTACAGGCTTGAAAGAAACTCCCACGTTAATACTAAGAAATCCAGTCAATTTTTACATGTAGAGAACTTTGTAAGATCCATACCTCAAGTAATCAAATGTCCATTTCTTCAGAGCTGGCCAGTGGTTGAAGGCATTCTGGATTACGCATGGCTTGTTTGGACAGACCCATTCCCGAAAGAATTTCAGTGGGGATGGAGGGCTATCAAGATAAGGCACAGACTCCGTGAAACACAACTCTGTTCAAGAGACAGAAAAAACCATACCTATAAATGATCTTGCAATCATTTCAATTCTCCACTAAAATGTTACTCTAGAACAGTGGTTCTCAAAACATCTGTGGGTCCCCAGATGTTTTGTCCTTCAACTCCTAGAAATCCTAACAGCTGGTAAACTGGCTGGGATTTCTGCGAGTTATAATATAAAAATATAACTTTATTTTTATACCCCGCCACCATCTCCCCAAGGGGATTCGGGGTGGCTTACAAAAGGACAAGCCCAAGTTACAATAAAAGATACACATTAAAATCAATCAGATAAAAACATAACAAAATCACAAAACATCATCATAAAACAATAGGCTGAGATAAAAGTCAAAGCTGGGTTCAGGCTCAAATAAGTGCAATAATTCCAAAATGGAGCCAATGGAAAGTACGAAATTCAAATAAACAGAGGCAAGGAATACTCTTAGAAAAAGTGTCGAGGTAACCAATAGCAGGGCTGAAATAAAGTGCAGGCCTTAGAATAGGAACAAGATAGATCTCTGGCTAGTCAATGACACGACAGAACATCCAAGTTTTTAATTCCCTGCGGAAGATGGACAAGGAGAGAGCCTGTCTGTTCTCCCTAGGGAGAGATCCAAAGCTGGGGGGGGGGGGGGCACCACCGAGGAGGCCCTCTTCATCCCCACCAACCGTGCTTGAGATGGTGGCGGAAATGAGAGGAGAGCCTCTCCGGATGATCTCAGGATACTTACTGGTTCTTAGGGGAAGATGCAATTGCGAAGACAGACAGGTCCTGAACCGAGTTGTAGGCTAAAACACCTGGGAAACAACAGGTTGAGAACTGCCGGTCTAGAACAAGCATGGGCAAACTTGAACCCCCCAGACAGGGCCGTAGCCAGAAAAAAAAATGGGGGGGGGGGTGTTGAACACTTTTTTAAAGCAAATCATGAAGAGTAGTTCCATAACACTAAATAATTTAAATTATATGGTTCATTCTACATTTTTATATAGACTTAATTAAATCAAATTTCTATTTTAGTTACAAAGTTTTAAGTCTTAAAATAACTGAAAAGACTGTTATTTGGTATTGTAATGTTACAAAAGAATACCTCAACTGTTGGAAACACTTGAAAACTGTGCTAATACACTTTGACAGAAATCAGGCTCCATTGCTAAACTTTGGTGGAATGGTGGGAGTTGAAGTCCAAAACACCTGGAGGGCCCAAGTTTGCCCATGCCTGCTCTACACCTACACACTGAACAATGCTGGAGAAATTATACTGTTTAGCTGGTATTGGACCACCTGACATCCGTCAGGAAGTAGCAGCCAATAACGAAAGGACCAAGGCAGTGACATATCTGGCCCATCCTCTGTTCAGATATCTGCCAGCATACCGACACCTTAAATTAAGAAACAGCAGAAAAAGTATGATAGCTGGGACCCAACGCTACGGTAGTTGTGTAATGCGGCTGTGAATTAAGGAAGGGAAGAAGTGCACGAGACAGCGGAGCAAGTGAGAGACGCAGCTGCGTCAGAGTCCTAGGAACATTGCTTGCCAGAAAAGGGGAGAGGAAACATTTTTACCCCGTTTACCGTCTTTGTAAGCTGTTGTTTATCATTTAACAATAAATAACTCTAACATTACTTCACTCTCCTTGGCTGTTTGTTGTCCTCCCCTTTCTGTCCCCCCCCCCCCGATTTCTGACCCGCGTTGCACACATCTTCCTTTCATTAATTCTGCCCTGCATTGCCCAACCAGTGTTGGGTCCTTGCTATCATACTTTTGCCGAAACCGCTTCCTAAGATCAAGAGAGATACGTGCAGGAACACCTCAGCAAGCGAGAGTCCAAAAGTGGCAGGTTAAAACCCAGCACCTCAATCAGTGGCTGAGACTGAATGAGAAACTCCCTCGTGGTCACACCAGAGGAGTGGACGACTTGGAAGGCGTTGAACAGGCTGCGCTCTGGCACTACAAGATGCAGAGCCAAAGAAATGGGGCCACAAAGTGGAGTCCACAACATGCGAGTGTGGAGAAGAGCAAACCACTGACCACCTATTATAATGCAGCCTGAGCCCTGCCACATGCACAATGGAGGACCTTCTCACAGCCACACCAGTGGCACTCCAAGTCTCCAGATCCTGGTCAAAGGACATTTAGTATACTGCCAAGTTTTTTAAAAAAAATTGTGTTTTTAAATGTATTTTCACTGTATCAACTTGCTTCTGACACGATAAATAACCAATGCAGTTTCTCTATGGCATCACACAGCAGCTCTGTGCTCTCCTTCCTTCCTGGCTGTGCTTTCTTTTTCCCCTCAGTGACCAAGGCCTTCCTGCCTGCCTGCCTTCCCGCCTCGCTCACCCCTCGCCTCCTCAGGAAAGCTGGCCAGGCAGCGCCTCACGGCTCCAACAGCCGCCTCGGCCTCCGCCATGGAGGGAAAGCAGCCGAGCTGGAGGCGGGCCTCCTTCCTTCGCTCCCTTCTCCTCCCCCTCCTCCTCTCCCCACTCCGCCCCACGAAGGACGCCGACAAGAGGAGCCGCCCCTCTCCACCCTCAGGCCGCCCTCCCTCCTCAGAGGGTGGAAGAAAGAGCCTGTGTCAGCTTTCCTCCCTCCCTGAGGCCTCTTCATTTTCCCTTCTGGCTTGTCTCCCAGGGTACCTCTACCCTGGATAATTAATTCATGCAGTTTGGCACCACTGCCAAGCTCAATGCTATGGGATCCTGGGAGTTGTAGTTTGGTGCACACCTTGGCAGAGAAAGCTCAAGGCCTTCTAAGAAGATCAATGATTCCATAGCCATGACAACTGAGGCCCCTTCTACACAGCCCTATATCCCAGAATATCGAGGAAGAAATCCCACATTATCCGAGTGTGGACTCAAATAAGCCAGTTCAAAGCAGATATTGTGGGATTTTCTGCCTTGATATTCTGGGTTATAGTGGCTGTGTGGAAGGGCCTGAGGCCCCTTCCACACAGCTGAATAAAATCCCACATTCCTATAGAGAAATGAGCTCCATAACATTGTTCTAATAGTGGGTTGTTGTAGGTTTTTTCGGGCCATATGGCCATGTTCTGGAGGCAATTTTTCTCCTGACGTTTCGCCTGCATCTATGGCAAGCATCCTCAGAGGTAGTGAGGTCTGTTCTAATAGGTGAACCCTATTGGGAATGGTGTGTTAAATGTTGGGAAACTGTGGCAGTGTTTTTTCAAGTCATTTTGGATTTACGGTGACCCTTTCTCAAGGTTTTCTTGACAGAACTGGTTCAAAGGTGGCTTGTCTTTGCCTTTCCCTGAGGCTGAGAGAATATCACTAGCCCAAGGTGACAAAATGGAGATTGAAATCCTGGTTTCCCGTGTCTGTAGTTCAACACGCAAACCACTAGACCACACTTGCTCACAAAGTTTAATGTTCATACAAAATTGGATCACTGAAACCTGTATGCTGTTGAGGTCCCTCTGGAATCACCAAGCACCACTTACTAAATGACAAATCGCTAACAACATTGAGATGGCTATTGTAATGCACGCTTACAATGCATTAAGGGGATTTCTAAATGTATACTGAGCTTGTGAAACAGTTTGGGTAAAGATGATTGAATGATCATAGGTGGGAAATGTAATTTGTATTCTACTTTTATGATAGCTGTTGTGATAGCCTCACTGGAGCTCGAAATCACAGCAAGAGGTAGACTGTCCTGATCTCAATGTGCTCAGGACAGATCTGTGCTCTTTTCTTCAGCCATCTATTGGGGGTGCTTTGTGTTTTTCCTGCATGGCAGGAGGTTGGACTAGATGACCCAAGTGGTCTCTTTCAACTCTGTGATTCAACTTGTGTCATTAATTACTTGATTAGATGCGTCCATCCGTCCGTCCGTCCCCCGCTCCCCCCCCCCCCCCCCCCGCGAAGTCCCACAGAGCTAATATGTTGCAAAACAACTTCTGCCTGTCGTCTGTGATACTTTGTCTATGAACTGTTTTACAACTGGAGAAATGAGGGGAACTGGAACCAGGGAGAAACTGTATTCCCAGATTTGCGCGGAAAAGGGAGAATGTGCTTATTTACCCATCGGATGGGATCTGTCCAATTGCCCCGTATTGCTTTGTTTCCATGACGTTGAGGAATGGGCATCCCTAAGGGCGGTCTCGTAGTAAACATTCATGTTCTTGTTCTTCGCAAAACTCCTGCTGCATGATCATTTCATCATGGTAAGAAGACAATTCCCCCTGCTTTCCAGAAGTGAAGAGGTCCTAAACCAAGGCTTGCTTTCTGGGTTTGAAGGCATGGAACCAGAGATTGCAGCAACTATAAATACTTTGTATTTTAGAGAAAAATCTGAATAAAAGAGCTATGTCTTTGTGCCTCAGAATAATCTCTGAGTAACTAGCACCCATAAAGTTTGCTTATTCTTGTAACTATCATCATTGGTTTTCTGTATATGGTCTGGTGTTAGTTCCTCTCAGGCTGGATCTGCAATGCTATATAATCTAGTGTCTGATCCCAGACTTTCTGATTTGAACTGGTTTACATGAGTCTACACTGCCATATATCCCAGTTCAAAGCAGATAATCTGGAATCAGAAAGTGGATTATATGGCAGTGTAGATCTAGCTTCAGTATTTCAGGGTTTTGAGGCATTAATGTCTCAAAGCAATGTCAAGAGCAGTCAAAGGTCCCTCTTTCCAAGTGCCCTAGTAAAATACTAACATTGAGGGAGATAACGGAGAATATTTTGTAACAAAGGATCACACTTTTATTGAAACTATTTAAGACACAGAGTACAAATGAATACAGAATTTAAAAATAGCCCCTCAAAGGTGGCTCACAGTGCAAAAACCCCCACAAACATAAAACAATCATTTCAAATAATTAAAAAGGTTTTAACAGGTTCTTTTTGCTTCCTTAAAGCCAAGGTAGAAAACACACATTTATAAATAAAAAAGTTCAGGTTTGTTATCTCCTTTTAAACAAGTGGAGTATAGAGAAAGGAGTATTGAAAGAACACAGTAAAAGAGATTCTCGTCTGGTGCCTAGGCTCATGGGACATGCTGAGTAAACATGGCTTATTCCTAAAATTGCTGCCGCATGCATCACTATCTGTGATTTACAGCAGATTAGCTTCATTTATAAGCAGCCCAGCTCCAGAATATTATATACAAAACAATACAGGTTTTTGGATAAAAAGGAAGGAAAAAAACCCAGTCCAGACAACAGTACCTTTAGGATCACATGACAGCTATTCTCCTCTTATTATGTTTTTTAAAGATTTAAAATACTGAATACAAGAAGACACTGAATAATGTCTGGTTTATAGCTCCCAACATTATTCCCAGTTTGTTTGTTTGTTTGTTTGATTGTTTGTTTGTAGGAAGAAATATCTTAATTTTGGATCACTGGAATGAAAGGAAAAGCTAACAGTTCTAACAGTTAGATGAACATTCAACAAAAGAGAAAAAGGTTATATAGTCAAGACAAGGAAGTGGAAAATAGCAAAACACCCATAGCACCAGTAACATATACAACTTGCTGGAGTTAACCCAGCACAGTTTCCAAAAGCATAGACTGTGTTTTTCTAGAAAAAATGGGAGGCCATTTTGTCTCATTCAGGTGCATTGGTACTTAAACATTCTCTTTTCTAACAATTCTCCTTGAAATGAAAAACAGAATGTTATAAGAACAAAACTGAAATCACACTGCTCAAGATACATTTTCAGAAAGCAGGGAGTTTTTTTTAATGAATTTTGCCTTCTGAGATGGCCCTATGTTCTTAAACAGACTTTTGCCATGTATTTTAATACATTAAAATTGCACATGCACATTAAAAGTGAACAGAAGTGTGTCAGTTTCAGTAACTGCATGCATTTATCTTTCTCCACCCTGTAGGCATCTAGTTAGGCTTTTCTAAAAGGGCAAAGGGAACATCCACAACAAAGACAAAAACACTTGCATGCATTTCAAAACAATAGGTATAGCTTGATGACATCTGACTCTCCTACAGGTTTGTAACAGATAATTTAACATGGTGTGCCCAAGTCAATTCTCTATGATAAAAAATAGAGTGCTATGACCAAAGGTGAGTAGCTCTAGATCATTCTTTTAGACGGAAACATTTCCCTTAAGCATAAAGTGTACGTTCCTCCTGCTTCTTCAGCCACAGATTTCTTTGGATGGAAAACCAGGGCACAAAGAATTTCATGAGAGTCAAGCTGTTTTGGGAAACTGACATTCTGAAGACATTAGCCCCCAAAGATATTCCAAGTTATGGATGTAAGTGGGAAAATAAAGGGTATATTATCAAACTTTCAAAAACAACATGTCTCTTCATCCACTTAATTTGTATTGCATCTTTCCCATCTGAAAAAAATCATCCACATTTTGATCTTCCATAATCACCACATTCTTTGCCATACTACTACTTTTTTAGGAGCTTTGATCAAGATACATGGTATAATGTTAGCCCATAGCTCTTTGCATGTCTACATACTCAAGACCACTCAAAACTACAATTCTTGTTCACTCTTGTTCATTCTTATTATTTTCCCACTTTGATCCATACAAGTATACAGTACCCTTTAAAAAAAACACTTTGATGAGAACTAGCTACTGGAAACCCTGCTTTGACACTAATGTGGTATTTATTTGATACTGCCTTTCATCCTGGACATTTCCTGATGAATCATTACTAGGTAACTACTGCAGTATTAATAGTACTGAGGTATAGTCAAACAATTCTTTTTAATTTTGCTGTTAAACCAATGCATTCATCAACCTCAGGTGTTAAATCAATACCAAGTACCTCCATCTCTCTTTATTTTTGCCACACAACAAGGTAACTGTTGGAATATGACTCTTACCTGAGTATATTTATGTGTGTCCCAGAACAGGAAAGTTTCCTGAGCACTAGACACTTCACAGTCTCAATGTGAACAGAGAAAGGTATTCTGCCTACTAACATATGCAAAGAAAAACCACTCTAATTTTCACATGATATATGTCAAAGGAATACCTTTCAGATGCAGCAAACAAATGCCTTTGCGACACACACCATGCCCTGACCCTTTTCATGTTCACTCATGGATGGAAAGAACTAGCAGAATCTACATTCTAGTGAGTGTGTTTTAACTGCCATTCAAGCATATTCAGAGAAATATTTGACCAAGACAGCTAGAAACATCTAGGAGGGACACATTAAAAAGTACAAAAGACATTCTAAATCCCAGCCTTGGAGCGCATTAAGGACAGTCAGCTGGCCGGCCAGCCTAAAGAAGAGGGCTGCTCTGCAGGCCACTCAGCACTGGAGCATTACAAAATGTGAGCTGGATAAGAAGCTACACTGCAGGATGCCAGCCCTGTAGTGCAGTGAAAGACAAAGCTCACACAACAGCTTCAAAAGTGCAAGTGGAAAAAGCTATTCAGAAAGCACTAGATCAGCCATGTTCGATGACGACACTGACAACAGTAGATGGAGCTGTTCTCAGACCGGGAGAAGCAGCAATACAAACTTATTGGTCAGTCATTTTTTAAAACACGTTGTCACTATCACTTGTTTGGATTCATGGTAAGACTGACAGTTCAGTAAACTGGCACTTGTGCAATCACCCAAGCAGAGCAAGATTAAAAATAAGGGTATAGTAAATGAGGAAAAATGCTTGTACGTCCCTTCTAGGAAGCCAGTTAATTTCCTTTTCTGATAAGCAGAAAAGTAACAGCCAGTTCATTCTTATTTAATTTGAAAATAGAAATGGACTAATTGGATATTACTAACCACAATAACATTCCATGCAGTCTCATTTCAATAGGGCACTCACACAGAATTTTTTTCCCCAAAGATTCATTATGGAAGAAGAAATGGAGATAATTGCACATCATACAATATGTAGTTCTAGGGCCGTTCACACTTAATTTGGTAATTTCTGGTTTTAGTTATGGAGAAAAACAGAAGGGTCCTGCTATTGGGATATTAGGTACCTGTTATGCAATATTTAAGAACTACCAAGCTCGCTTCATTGTTTAGATTCATATAAATTGAAATTAAAATTGTAAATAAAACCTGTAGACATGTTGTCATAAATACAACCTTTTCCCAAATTCCCCAAAGTCTGATATTAATATTAAGAGGACACCATACATCTGCAATTGAACAAAACTACTAATAAGAACTTGAGAACAGGTGGTGAAAATACTTCAATTATTTTGGAAGTCTTTTGTGCCTGAAAAGAGACCATGTTTTCTATAAAACCTGAAAAATTCTCAACAGTTTCTATAAAAAAAAAATCAATTCCTTTTGCCAATAGCCTTGTAACAGATCTCCAAAGCTTAGTTCAAAGGGTATATTGTTCTGTGGAAGCAGCAAATACAGGTAAAGCATAGGTTTTCTTTTAAAATAATAATAATAAAAATCAAAGCTAAGAAAACAAAAATGTAAAATACATAAAAAATAAAAAAAACACCCTATGCATGATAAATCCAGATATAAGGGAGTAAAATCCAGCATGGCAGGCTTCACCATAAATAGTTCAATGTTCCTGCCAACTAGTCTATTAATACGTTTATTGTAACAAAACTTGTCTCTTATGACAGAATGTGGGAAAGATGCAGATGTAGATGTAGGTTATAAAATGCATGTGGAAGTTTAGGACAACAGTCACCAAATAAATTAATAAATAAAAGATTTAACAATCTGTACAGGCATCAAGACAATGCGGTAGAGGACTGGCTGGTGTCATCTTGATCTTCTTCTGTGACATCAAGGTTTTAGGATTGGGCCGCAGTTTGTTTGATCCTGTAATTTTATTCTTAAAAACCAAATATTGTGGCAGGAACAAAAATTCCTAAGCAGTTTTCCTAAACACTCTAAAAAGAAGTGGGCACTGAAAAATTAGTACCGTGACCAGCACATATCTGAAAACAGAAGCTTGGTAAGAACTGCTTCTTGTATAAAAACAAAGCATTCCTCCAAGTCTTCCACCATGAATCTGCCCAATGGTTTTTCCTGTGTGGCTATCAGTGTGTTTATGGGCCTTAGAACTTCTCTTTACAGTTTTTTATCCATACGTCGTTCAACAGCTTGTAGCAACAGTTCCGAATATTGTTCCAACAAAGCAAGGGTTTGCTCATCTCCAAAATGCCGAGGACTGGATAAAGCTGAACCACTGCCTTCACTCAGGGGCATTACAACTGCATCTTGTGGCTTCACCAGTGCTTCTTTTTCCCCTTGAAGGTCTTTTCCATCCTTTAGAGAATCTAGTTCTTTCTTCATCACAGAGAAAGTATCTGTCAGAAGACCAGCAATTTCATCTTTGTCAGCTGAAGTCCCCATGTCTGTAGAAACCTACAAATAGGTCATGGTAATAATGGAAAGAGAGAGAAAAACACTTTTTCTTTACAATCTACCTTTACAATCTACCCTACCTACCTTGAAGGATTGTATCTGATACATCTAAAAACTATCACACCCATTGTTGTCTGATCAAGAGTTTGGAGTCAGAGTATAGATCTCTGAAGCTCTGGATCCAAATCGAGAGTTTGGCTGAACTGGAATAGATTCATTGCTATTAACTTTAAGCTATCAAGATAGAGGTACCCAATTTTTTATATGGGAACATGGCTAGAAACCTCCTTCCCTAGGTTTTACATGAGTTGTAGAGTAGCTGCACTGTTCCTCATTCATTTCAAGCTAACTCTCTGAATTAAGGGAAACAAAACTATTAGTTTGTTAAGCACATTCTCCCAAGTCTAGTTTTGTGGGCCTCAGATGTCAAAAAATGTTTTCAAAATGTTTTTGTTCTAAAATGGCCCCAAAGGCAATCTGGGGACTGTAGAAAGCATTTCCACCCTGTGTGGAGACCCCAGACAATAACTATTTTTTTCAGAAATTGTTTTTAAAAGCCCTTTTTTGTCCTGAAATGCCTCTAAAATATCCACTATGGAATGAAAGATGCATTTCCACTACATTTTGTGCTCTCCCATAGCAATTTTAAACCCAGGTAAGGCCTTTTAAAAAAAGAAGCAAGCAAGAAATCACTACTGATCACTTTCTGTTATTAAAAAGATCTTTTCTGGGCCTAGAAAGACCCATAAAAGCCCTTCAGATATTGTGAAATTATGCTCTAATGCCCCAAAGAGAACATTTGGAGTAAAACAATGTTTAAATTGCTTTTGCAAGATCAAGTGTAGCTGTTTAAGTTTTACTGGCAGGCTAATATGGCTTTCTAGAATCTCACATCTTCCCAACCTTTCCCTAAATATTTGGCAAAGTTTGTAACTGAGAGGAAATGTGGTACTAAACTGATCTGCTGATCAGTGAGTCATAATACAAATCCTTATGGCTTATCAACAGGGGACTCTTACTGCAGTTACATCTCATTTATAAAGACACACATGCAAAAAACAAGCACAGCTGTCTGCCCCTAAATGGAAAGTTAAAGGAAATGTTTCTGTCTTGTTTAATATAGTATTTACAATTGAACTGATTAGCTGCAATGAAGAGATGACTTACCATATGGTATAGATGGATGGCCTTACGCATGCTGTCTTGAAGCTCAGATACAACGTGCCTGCAATGCTCCACACTGACAGAAGAACCTCCTGTGATGGAAGGAGATAGGATAGAGACATGCTAACACAAATAGTAAACAATGGACACAGCATCACCCCAGCCCCACTGTCTTGCTAGGTAACAACAAATTTATGTAGCATTTTAGAGGAACATTGACTGGAATGCGATTTGACTGATGAGACTGTTTTATTGTTTTAATTCTTGCTGATGTATTGTTTTAATTGTGATTTATAATTAATTGTGGTTTTACTATTGTAATTGTTTGTATTGGCATTGCATCGGTGCCCAACATAAGGCATTGAATCTTGCCATTATTTATGTGTAAACTGCTTTGAGTCCCCCCAAGGGTGAGAAAGACGATATATAAATACTGTAAATAAATAAACACTGCTGGAAACGGAGCCACTTCATGCACAATTGCAGTAATGGTACAAAAATGACTTTTTAAAAATATATTTCTTTTTTCAAATGATCTTCAGGTCATTCATCATGTTAAATAGGCCACTCCACTCTATTCACATGCATAATTCTGAGGAGCCACCTTTTTGCAAATATTCTGGCTTCCTAATTTTTAACTCTGAATTGAAACAAGGAATTAATGAAATCAATTTGTCCAAGATAACATCATAGCTTTACAATGAATCCTGTTCAAAATAAGATTTCTCTTGATGAAGGCCTGTATTGGGAGTTTTCCTACAGTTCCATGTTATAAGAACTGAATTAATGAAATTGCCTGGAATGGAAGTGGGAAGTGAAGCCAGGTGTCATCATCACTTGCAATGAACGCATATTTGGGGGTACAGCAGCATTTCCTGAATTCAGAGAAGGCTAAGCATTGCATTTCTTTTGTCAGACAGAATTTTGGATTTGCCTCCTTCCAGCGAGAAGGTATACACAAAACAATGATACAAATAAAAATAGTTTACAAAAGTCAAATTCAACTGTAAATTTAATTAGGAAAATAGAGTGCTATATTTATGAGAAATTTGGGAAATGTTGGCCTAAGCATTACATTTAACTTGGGCAACATAATAGTGTGTTTCTTTACACTGCAGTCTTATTGGGATGAGAAGGAAGTTTCTGCAGAAGTATATTTTGGTGTCCTTCATGAATGAGAGGCAGACCATTTTGCCTTCTTAGCTGCTGTACCTTTAACCCAACAGGGGTTAGCACATAAAGGCTGACATATACAGAGACAGGTATTGTGTCCTGATGATTATCAAATCACATGAGAAAACTACTGAAAATTCACGTCCTAAATACCAAATGAAAATAGAGAACTACATGCTTCTGAATATGGCAGACTGAATAGAAGGATAAGGGTTGATTTGGTATTTTGTATGTGAAGTAGAAAAGGGAAAAAAAAGGTTAATGGCACCAGTTAATATCTGATCCACATATTTTTCCTGATAACTTATATAGTGTGAATACAACAGCTTGTGCTATATCTTGCTTATTATTATTTCCAGTTTAGAATATTAATTCTTCTTTTTGTATCATGATTGCTATATTAAGAATAGCAAAAGCCTGTGTGCTCATCAACAGATGATTTGCTAAAGTTATTTAAGTTCTGTAAATTCTTGAATGAATTAACTTCAAGGCTTCTGAGGAAGTGAGAAGGCATTTGTAAATATGAATATCAGATGGCTGTTGTGGTAACATACTTCACATTCCGAAGTATTTTCCTTCAGGTATTTCAATGCAAACCATCGTGGAATATTGTGTGCACTTTTGGTAGATGGAAAAAGACTGAGAGCAGCTATGTTAGGTAACTTTGCATCAAAGTTACATGCAAGCATGTGCCAAAGTTACATGCAAGCCAACAGCAGAGCAGAAAATAAGAACTCAGTCCCATTCTGATAGTCACATTAACAGATTTAGGCTATTATTTGCAAAACTGCATACACTAAAGCCTGACACACCAAAACAGCAGTTTTAATATGAAGTGTTAACACTATTTTGTGATAATACATTAGGAGAATCTTTCTCTAAAGTTGATATTTATCTTTTTTTTAGCAAAATTGTGATGTTTTATTAATTAGGAGGTTTTTTCCATAATGTGTTACAAATGTATTTTATCACTTATTATTTGCCTTCATAGTAAAACGGTAGCTTTTTTTAAAAAAAATGAACTTCTCTCAATTTCTCCTCCATGACTTATTTATTTCGCATCTTGATTTATGAAGGAGAGGAAATGCAGATCAATATTTTATTTTAAGAAAGTGTTAGCCTCCCCATTCTAACAGGCCATTTTAATGCAAGTTTCAATATAAATTAGTTCAAATCGTTGGGATAGCATGTGAGACAGTCTCCCCATGACCAAATTTGAGAAAAGTGGGAGCTTACACCCATTTGTTGTGTAGACATAAACTGTTTTCTTCATAATAATCGTTACACAGCTTTTACAAAATGTAAGCTGTTCTGGCCAAGAGTGCCATTTTTAAATGTACATTTGAACAAAACTTGCAGCTCTTAATTCAATCACTATATTGAGATAATTTATGTCATTAAATTCAATGAAAAGAAAGGCTGCTACCTTAAAACAGAAAAATTAAGCACCACTGGACACAGTTTTCCTTCCCCAATGTACAAAATGACTTTACAGTTATTATGTGTCTACTCTCGTGCTATTTTTACTTGCCTCTTGCAAGTAGAAAAAAAAGTGTAAACCACAACATTTGCATGCACCAACACAGAAGACAAGACAGACTGGGAGCAGAAATTGGGGGGACAGAATAAACAAGATGAATGCCAGGCTGAAATGTCGTCTCACCATTGAAATGATGGCTTATAGAACGAGACAGGTGCAGACAGGACGAGACAGGCCAGAAGCTGGACGTAAAGAAATGTGATGGAAGTGTGAAGCGGTTCAGAAAGACAGGAGACAGAAGGGGAAAGAAGATTAGAGATGGATATCCGTGCACACCTGAGTCCTGCGCTATGGCTCCAAGAGCCGTGGGAGACCTCAGCTCACTTGGTTCAAAAGAGCAAAGCTCATGCAGGTTGTCTGGCACACAACAAGGGCTTGCAACACTCTCGCTGCATCCTGTTGGTTGTTGTTCTGGAGATTTTTGATGCAGACTATCTGAAAACTCCTTTGGCTTGGGATTAGGACCCATTAGCTCAGGTTGGACTTTGGTACGCAATGACATCTGGTTCTCCTTTGAAGTGTGCATAGAGGGACTTGCTGGGCTAGCTTTAGGCACTGATGCCTGGATTTCCAACTTGGAGGGCCATTCTTCAGTGAACAAACATTTCTTTCTACCAACGCCAGCAGGTGACTTGGGAGACTCTGACTCTAGCAATGTTTTTGATCTGGCAGTTGGTGAGAAAGAAGCCAATGTTGGTCTGTCAGGTAGAGGTTTGGGGATGTCAAGGATCAAATGGCCACGGTTAGAGGCTAACTTGCTGTGAAAGGACTTGGGTGATGAAGAGCTTGTGCTCTGCTGAAGAGCAGGCTTCCCTGGACCACTTTCTTTCATAGGTGGCTTGTTCTTCTCAGTGTCCACTAAAGGACTTAAGAGTGTCTTCTCGGATACTTGTGGGCTGACCTTCACCTCAGTCAGGTTCTCTGGAGAGTCACCAAAGCACAGATTTTCACCCACAGATACGCTACGGGACATCTTAGCCATGAAGCTAGTAGTAGGGCTCATGTAAGACTTTGGTTTTGTAGCTTTGCTGTCTTTGGCTTGAAGAGAATTGGAGCCATCCATCTTCAACAGAGTTGTAGACATATTCCGATAGTTATTGGGCCTTGGATCCTTCTCACCTACCATGAGTGTCTGAGGACGCTGCCTGGCAGAAGGCATCGACCCTGGAACCTTATCTGTAGAAATGGAAGAAATAAATGCACAGAACCGGTATGGTGCAATTTGTGCAGGCAGAATAAAAGCAGGTCCAGCGTTTAATAATGCTTATTATTTCATTCAGGTTCCAGAAGAAGACCAATGTTCTAAGAATAATTTTGAACAACTACCTTTTCTTCTAGATACCCTTCTTCTAAACACAATTGTCTAGATTTCTATTTTTTTTCATGTCAGGAGCGACTTGACAAACTGCAAGTTGCTTCCGGTGTGAGAGAATTGGCCGTCTGCAAGGACGTTGCCCAGGGAATGCCCAGATGTTTTACCATCCTATGAATGGCTCCTAACATGTCTGTGCATGAGAAACTGGAGCTGACAGATGGGAGCTCACCTCGCTCCTCAGATTTGAATCACCGACCTTTCAGTCAGCAGTCCTACTGGCACAAGGGTTTAACTCATTGCACCACCGGGGGGACAAATGAAACCTAACTGAAACCAGACTAGAGATAATATGACATGTTATTGGCTCTTTCACATTGTGTGATAGGGAGCATGAAACACACCAGAAATCCTTGCAGATGTAGCAAATATCTGCAATAAAATTTGCCATCACACAGCAACTAACCTAGTAACAAGAGTGTTAGTAAATTATATATGAAGTGTGCCCATTTGAGTAATGCAAAGTACTCAAATGTACTTGCAGAATCACACTTATGCTACATCTGAGAGAGAACCACTACAAATGTCTTCCATACAACTGCATTAACATTAATAGCAATCCCATGACTTCTGATTACTGGCGAACTTCTTTATCATTGCTCTAATATTTCTAACAATTTGGAACAATAGCTGTTTTATTAGGGAAGCAAATGAAGACTTCATCTCACTCTCAATGGTGGGAATTAGAAATTCATACTGTTATGTGTGTTTCCAGCTCAAGGCACCTCTGAGACATAAAGGTACCTGTATGCTGCTATGCTAATTGTGTTTCTGGATTGACAGTTGATTGGTTTCATCTCCAAAGCAAGGAGCCCATTGCACTTAACTATTTCATCACAATATCAAGTTATTTCCTTACCATTATGAACAAGATCATGAACTGATTGAGACTTTCTCATCACCAATTCCCCATCAGTATCTGGGAAGGTCCTAACAGGTCTTCCAGCAACTCTGCTGATTTCAAGAAAAGGTTTTCTCTTTCTCTGCATATAAAGTGATCTGAAGGAATGGCCATCATTTTGAAAGATGCCGTTCTCTAGGGCCGAGTTCTGGCTATCAATCCCATTTTTTACCAGACCTGGAGAAACATGTCTTGACCAAGCAAGCCCTTCGCTGGGTTTTCGATCCAGTATGAGATTTGATGAAGAAAGTGATAGCTGTCTGTAGAGGGAAAAAAACAGAACAGGGTATTTTATATCCTGCAAATCCTTCAACCAATGAAAAGCAAAAGATAACCAATACTATTTAGCTGATTCATAAAACCACAGACAACTTTTATGATCAAAATCTTTCTACATAAATATTTTCCCCTTGGATGTAACAGAATGGTGAGTAGGGGAACAAGCACTTATCATGCATAGGACAATGATACTGGACACAAGGATTTCGTGAAAAAGGAAAGGAGGAGAGGCTCTAGTGAGGGAAGATATGTTACAGTTAGAAACAGGGTAAGTTCCTTTGAATTCAATATACTAAAGTCCTTCAACTTAGTATAACGTTAGATCTCTTTTGTCCACGTGATACATCTGCCTGCTTTCCAAGACCATGCAATGAAAAATGGTCATCCTCTTCTATCTGAAAACTAGAATATTAGAAGTAACGTGAAGATTTTGGAATGCAGTTATATATAACCTGTATGTACTGCTCTTTTGATACTATGCCAAAAAAGTAAAACCAACTGCTCAGAAAAACCTAAGATAAATAAACACCCCTTTCCAATACACCTCTCAGCCCAATTACGTGGAACAGGTTTCTGTTTTGAGATATAAAATTCACATACAGAGTGGAGCTTAGTCGGCCAAATAAAATGTTGCTAATGTAATGAAACCATATTAAAGTTGATCAGTAAATGGAAGTGACTGGTATGTTTTTCACTGTCCAAGTTGAATGAAATGCAAAAATACAATTAAATGCATAAATGGTGAATAACAACCTTGATCAAACATAGGGCAGCCCACCCTTCCCATGTCAATCTACTAAAACAAAGGCATAAAGAAGATGGGGAGGTTTTTTAAAATATAAAAACATGTCTTTTTGCTGAGATGCACCAAGATAAAAAAAAAAAGTTCATGATCAGAAGTTGACTTTTTGAGACAAAGCAAGGCCAGGCCAGGCCACCCAACATTAATGAAATGTGGAACCCTACCTGAGTGCTGGGGACTGGGACAGAAAACGAGAAGAAATACTGTTCTCTGTTCTCTCCAAAGTCCTATACTGTCCACCTGGAATTTCAAGAAAAAAACGTGTTCCAGTTAGTTCAAAAGAGAAACTAGCCCTGTAGCATGTCCTTTAGAACATTTTCTGGTTTACTCCTTTCAGGAAGATAGTGCAAATCCTTAATGTATTCCCATGAGACTTACGCCTATACATACTGTCCCAAAAGTAAACTCTAGTGGATTCAATTGAGTTTATTTTCAAATAGTTATACAGAGAGTTGCAGACATAACATGCAATTTCTCCGAATATATTATCGTATGCTCTTGTTTTCGCCCACATGGAAATTTAGCATATGTTGAGAAACCATAATAAAAAACAGATTTTAAAAAGCTTAGAAAAAATATGTAATGTACTAAAAGTAAACCCCTAATCCCTGTAGCTCCATACTACTTATTTTGACTAGCAGTAATTGTAAAGCCTGGAGAAGCCAGGATTTGAACTAGGGCCACTGAGCTACAGTCATTCACTGTGTTTGCCTCTCTGCTTAAAAATTCTCTTCCTGTTTAGAATAAATTTTCTTACAGTTCAGTAGTCTTTTTGTTTACCAGTGCTTCTCTCCTAATTCTACAGATTATTAAATCTGAGAGAATCTCTTAACTCAAACCAGTATAGTATGAATCTCTGCTGTGTATAGCAAATACATGTAAATTTTATGAGAATTTTTACAGCTCATAGATTTTACATTTATTTGCCCTCTTGTTTCAGAGCTTATCTTCTCTCACACACTGCATCCAATGTAATGAGCTCTAGTGCACAACATTTATTGTCATTATCATGAGAGAAGCCTCCCACAAGGATGGTAAAAAATCAAAGCATCCAGGCATCCCCTGGGCAACGTCCTTTCAGACGGCCTATTCTCTCACACCCGAAGTGACTTGCAGTTTCTCAAGTTGCTCCTGATACAAAAAAAAAAGTCATTATAGATTTAGCAAATTTTTAAGGTAGTAAAAGGTTTGGGTTTGTTTTTGTTTTGTTTTGGTTTTTGCATTTTCATTATTAGTTTATGAAAACACTCAATTTTGGTTTCCTTGCCTTTTGTCAAATCTTTTTATCTCTCCCTTTATTTTTATCCATTTCAAAACACTGGGATTTTTTTGTTTTGTTTTCCTGCATGGACATTTGTATATACTCCCTATAAGGTATCATTAATATATGTGCATGACTACATGCATTTTGAATGCATCTTGACCACACTTGACTAAAATGTGTTTATGCTTGTTTTTCATGTATCTTGTTTTTAAAATGCAACTCACATTTCAGAACAGTATGCATGATGCTGTGCACACAAAATATATCATAAGCCTGCAGATTTCTGGTATGTTCTATCTTACAGTGCTTCATGGAGAGGTAAAAAAAAAAAGATAATTTCTGCAAGAATATATTTCTGTCCTGGCCTGCAATTCCACATAGTAATTGGGGGACTATCCCATCTTCTACAAACAAGTGACTACATTTCTAATGGTTCCTGGTGCAAGCAGCTTATTTTGCACCTATACCAAATACAAGCATTTCCCCCAGATACACAAAAGAAAAATAAAGCCATTTTTCCCAGTCAGACAGAATCCTTTCAGAAAGACTTGATTACTCAGTTACCAGACTGCAAAACATAAACAGGCTCCTCATTTATTTTCTTATCCTGTGAGAGAGGTGCAACAGATGGAAGCACTGGTTTTAAGAAAAGTCATTGAGAAACATTATTAAATAGCAGCCACGTCACTAGTTTTGCAAGTGTACCCTTGTCACTGTCACCAGCCAGAGTCTCAAAATGCTGCTTGAGGAACTTCTCTTGATCTGGAGTCCTGGGTGCATTTCCCTCCAACAGACCAGGGCTTACGTCCTCTTCATCTTCTTCTCCCACCTGTTCATCCAAGTCTGAAGTACCATCCACGCTGAGAGGTTCTGTGCTCTCAGAATCTATAGTGAAAAATGCAACACATAGGACTATTTATTTATTTATTTATTTATCTATCTAACCATATTTATAACCCTCCCTTCTCAACCCCGAAGGGGACTCAAGGTGACTTTACATATAGGCAACAATTTAAATTAGAATGAGAATTAATACACATTAAAACACTGAAAAACATTTATAGAAGATATTCCATAGCTAGGGCCTGAAACTAAACATTGCCATCTCCAGACATGGAGGTGTGGGGAGGGGTGAATGAACTTGGAGACTATGGCAGGAAAAAATTCCCTTTTCCTTGCCTGCCTCCAGAAAGTGTAATTAGTTAAGTCTATGTCCCATGGAATGAGTGCAAGCAGGTATACATTCTCCTCACTTTATTAACATTACAATCTTGTGAGGTTGATCACAGTGAGGGAATGATTGGTCCAAAGTAATAAATGCATTTCCCTGCACAGACAAGACTAGAACCTGACTCTCCCAAGTTCCAGCCCAATCGTTGAAGTAGGAAACTTTCCCAGGTTTCATGTTCAAGAATTGAGTCATTAGTGAACAGAAAACAGCTAATTTAAATACATGTCAGACAAGATGTCTAGTATCCTAACTGACCAATGTTGCACTGAAACAAATATATGCCTTTTCATTCATGGTAGTTTTGGAACATCTGCCTAGCAACAGCCCATGACAATGTATAATAAATCATAGGAGGATACTGCAGATATATTAGCTAAACATGAAATAGGAGTCTTAAGTCACAATGGAAAATTATGAAGTAGTATGTTTCAAATATATATTTCATTTTTATTTCTTTGTGTATTTCTTTAGCTCTGTATGAGTGGGGTTTTTAGAATGGAGAGTAAGCTACAAACCCAAGTGAATAAACAGTTTAAATCTCTCACCTTCATTTGGACTGGATAGCCGACTGCTACTGTAATCCATGGAGCAGGCGCTGTCCGGGCTGTGTTTATCTGGGCAACCACTGTTCTGGTAGCCTCTACCTAGTTTCCCATGGGGAAGAGCTTTTACCTGGAATTCACTATGAGAGAGGGGAAGAACACACTATGAGAATGACAGGTTTCCTTTCTATCTTTCACACACATATATATCTATATTTTAAATGTATAAAACTCTTAAAGAACTTACTTGTACTAATAAATTCCCACTATTACAAACTGTTTTAAAAGCCGAACCCCTTTTCACCATTTATGCAACCTTTTGCATTTCATAGAGATTGGACAGTAATGTTTTTACTTTTTCACCCACTTTCTGGGTTGTCAGTTTCATTTTAAAAAACAAACATTCAAATGCTGCTTCTTGTTCACTATGTCATTATGCACTGGCTACACTTTCCGAACAGCAGGGCATTTGATGACTTGGGTTTTTGGAGGGCTCTCTTCCATAGTCTATGGCAAGGGTTCTCAAACCTTTTAAGCTGCGGAGCCCTTTTTGAGGCTACACTTTTCCCAACACTGCAGGAGAACATTCAGACTGGTTGAACAATACTATACATGTTCTGGATGTTCCTCAGAGACAAAAAAAAAATCTTGAGTTTAAGAGTCATATCAGTGCAGAGTCAGGGGCAATAACACTGGCTATGCATGTATTGCTATGTCCCTTAGAGATAAGTAGGCAAAGTTTATTTGTAAAAAAACAAAAGTAGTTTAAAATTCCCATACATCTCCATAATAATTGCTCTTGGACTCAGCTCAGCTCAGTCCAAAATATACAGTCTTTCACCTAAGTTTTCCTTAGCTGCAAGGGTCTTTATATTTTAGGAAAGGGATGATTATTGAACTGAATTCAAGCACTAAGAATTGATAGGTATGTCATACAGATGGGTGTATCATTTATTCTAATTGTGCAGTAGCATGCATGTTCAGTGAGTACTGCATCCATTGTACTTCCAAGAGCCAGCTAGTGCTCCTTTCCTTGTGTTCTAACAGCTTCAAGAGAGGACAATTCTGTTTGTTTAAATATTTTAATGAGAATACCAAAAGCACAAAGGCAGAAATTGCAAAAATAGGAATAGGATGAGGGGTAAATTAGTTCGCTCATGTTTCTTTTTCTTTTCTTTCTTTTATTTTTACAAAAAAAGTCCTCTTGAATGCAACCACTTGTGTTGCTGCTTCTAGAGCTTACAAACAGAACATTATATACAAGGCAAGGGAAGGAAGTAAAATAGTTGCAATGAAATTGGTTCAGAGGAGGAAACAGGGATTGCTTTGTGAGGATGACACTGGTGGAACCAGACTTGGGAAGAAAGTCTCCCCTCCTTCTCCAGTACTTTTGTTACCACATGACTTTGTCATGTTCCTGGGAGCAAAGCTTGTGAACAAGCTCTAGCAATTTCAACCAGACAAGGGTGAAAGGGGTGACGAAACAAAGAGGATAAGAAATCCACAAGACATTCATCCAAGGAGAAATTAGCTACTGGATATTTTAATGACCCTTGGCTTATTATATGAGTATTCTACAAATTAGGTCATAGAATCCTCAATGACTTTTAAGATGTAGCTGACAGTAGCTTCAGCCAAATCAAGCCAAATCAATAGACCGTCAGAATACAAGGAGCGAAACAATGTATGTAGCTTAAATCAATGTTATGTTTGACCTGCTAATGTCTGTAGGATGCATCTCATCCTGCTCTGGGTAGATCACGCATTCCTCGCTCTCGGAAGGTTCCAGCTCCTGAGGGAAAATTCCACCTTCACAGGATACCAGCCGAATTACTTGGGGTCGAACACAAGGCTGGTTTTCTTGGGGAGCTGAGGAGTTTCCAACCTAATACATCAATTCAGAAACAAAGCTTGTTATCTTTATTTCAGTTAAGCAACATACAAGAATATCATCATATAGAAGTTAAAAACTATCACAAGTAACATGATTTAGGAAAGGGATGATCTGCTCTATTGCCTTTATTGTCACATTAGACCACTGCTTCTGTTTAAAAAAAAACCCTTATTTATTCATTCTTTTAAATTCATATAGGCACAGCAAATGTTGAAATGAGAATTCTTAAAAGATCAACTGAAAACCAATGGTATTACCAACAAAATACCTTTGTACTACAATCTGCTTTCACTGGGCTTCATTACTTTTGCACCCCAACCAGGAATCCAAAAGTAGTAATAAAACAATTCATTGTGAAAAGTACATATAAAAAGGAAAAGTCACCATAAGAAATAAAGAAGGCAAAATCCAATAGGTAGTGGGAAAAATAGTCAACAAGTAATAAGCCAAACCAAACTGGCAATAGGAAAAGACAAACAGTCCAAATCTGTTCCATAAAACAAGGTACAGGAAAACCAGAATCAAAACATGAGTATAAATCCAGGAAAACAAGAATCATAACATGAATATGAATGCAAAAGCAAGACTATAGAAACTTCTTAAACATGCATCTAAACTCCCAAGATCTTAGACTCAACATTTAGATCAGTGTTGCCTCATCTAAATTCTAACGGGAATAATTCTCTGATTTGAGGTCCGTTCAATGCCTGCGACCTTGCCTACCTTGCCTGTGAGATTTCTCACACTGCTGGTTCAGAGTTTTTGTGACCGTCTTAATTTGCTTGCTACTTCCCTAAGATGAAGTCTGAGATTTCTGTTAAGTGCAGGTGTGCTTTCGGGTGAACTTTCTCACCCATCCAATTCTTTATCTGGGGTTGCTATGAGACAACAAGGGGAAAAGCTTCCGCCAGCCAGTGTATCTCCCTGTCTGCTGGATCTGAGGCAGTTTCACTTTCAAGCCCATTCTCACAGACAGGATCTAACATCACCTCATTGAAAAACCCATCCACTCTCCCAGGCCCTGGAATAACAATCCCCTGATTGTCATCAGCGACTTAACCACAACAATTACAGAAGTTGACCCTGCCTGCCCCTCATATATAACCAATGGAGCCTCTTATCTCTTCCACTGAAAATAGGAACTCCTTACATTCTTGGCATGCAGAGGGAGATCAGGACGCTCTTCTTGGTCATCTCCATTGCTGGTTTGGGAAAGAGAATCGTGGCTGGCAGACCGGGAGACCGAGAAAGATTCCAACTGGCGTAAATCAAGCATGGATTTTACTGTCATCTCTATAGTGCTTGTTGGCTGGGACCAACGACTACGCTGCCGAGGTGCCTTGCTCATGGTGGCCTCTGAACATTCAATCATTGCAATTTCTTTTGCCTAAAAGAAAAAAAGACAGAAATAGTTTAAAAGGGCAAGCAAGCTCTCAATGACAGTCCACACTCTGTTAACTTGGACACAATTGAAAGCCTAATAAAAAGCACATCTCGTACCTTAAAGACAATGCCCAGCACAATAAAATCAGATCCAAAGGAAATGGCGTACAATAATGTGCACAGACAGCAAAACAAATGCAACAGGTAAGTGAATCCTCTTGATAAACTCTCAGCCGATTTATTATTTAGAAACTACAGAGTATCTACAAAGATATTGCAAGGAAGTGTTGTGTATCTTAAAACAGGTTAGGTTTTGTATGTGCATTGAAAACTCACCCTTCTCATTTCCCAGTGGGACAGGCTTCTTGAAAAAGAAAGATCTGGATCTAGGAGATAAAATTAAAAAAACACAAATGTTCGACTCAAACTTGTTTTGGTTTTTGTTGTCACATCGCCAAAGCTCCCCATACCCACAACACTAGATATCCATTCCAATCCCTCATTATTATTTTTTTGTAAAAGCTTTGACTATCAAAGGAAAGCCACAACCAAATGAAAGCGAACCATTATGTACTCCTGGTGTAAGCTTTTACATACAGTAAGAGTACATAATTGTAGAAGGCTGGGGAGCTACATTAGATCCCCAAGAGATCTTCCAGAGCTGTCCACCTCCCACATAACCAAAGAAACCCCCACATTTTCCCTCCCAAATGTTCTCCATAGACTTAGGGGCCCTGTGTTCCAAGGACAGGCTGTTTTAACAACAAGAAGTGACTGGAATAATTTTCCATTCACTTTCTGGTTTTGTCAGCCTTCTCCTAGGCCTAATATAACCCAGGGTGGGGCACAACTGTAGCAATATGCCTCACATGCCTCTTAAACCCCATCTACACTGCCATATAAAATCCAGATTATCTGCTTTGAACTGGATTATATGGCAATGTAGACTCATATAATACAGTTCAAATAAAATAATCTGAGTTATCTGCTTTGATAATCTGGATTATATGGCAGTGTAAAATACACTTGTTATTCTGGAAAAATCCATTTTCCAATCCCTGGGGGTCATGGGTTACACTGTGCCCACCTCTGATGCAGCACTAAAGAGACAAATGTTCTGCTCTTGGAAAGAGAATTATATAAGAGAATGGACACATTCCAGGGAATTAATAAGTGTTCTGCTTAGAATATTTATATTTTTTCTAGTGGAAGTGGCTAAAGAAATTAAACTTCACATCTGAGTTTAGCAAACACCTATATGATCAGTTTGAATGTGTGCACTTTCAAGAGGATAATTCCATAAACTCATTCTTCTAACTTTTTTCCACATCCAAGTATGACTCATCATTATGTGGTATATGTGAATTATTCCTAGGGCACAAGTGTTGGAAAGAACTAGCAGTACAAGGGTATACTTTGCAATCATTTTAAAAATCACAGTGCTTTGTGTATTGGCACAACAAATTACAACCAGCTGTTCATATGTACTGCTGGCCCGCAGTATTCTAGGGCTGCGCATGGTATGAGGCAATTCTGTATTTCCAAGTGGCTATGCAAATCTGTTGTAAACCTCCTCTCCTCTCTATGTTACATTCCCCATCTCCCCATTCTTCCTTCTAGGACCCACTTTCCTTCTCCTTTATACCTGAATCTCTTTCAGCATTGCAGTTGGTCTGCATCGGAAAAGACTGCAATCCTTGTAACTCGTCTTCTTCATTCCCTTCATCTTCCCCCTCTTTGTCACTGTCTGATGAAAGCGGCGGTACAGATGAGAGGGCTGATGCTGATTCATGCCTAGAAAAATAATATACACTAATGTGGATGTTTTGTTTAGATTTATATTATTATAGAATTTTGTCTGATTACATGTATTTTAACTTATTGATGTCAGGTTTAATTTGCTTATGTTAGGTTTTAATTTGATGTTAAGCTTTAATGTTACTTATACGTGGGGGTTTTCTGAGATTTTATGTTAGTGACGTGTGTTTTATGTAGGCATTGAATGTTTGCCATTGTTATGCTGGAATCCGCCCTGAGTCCCCTCAGGGAGATAGGGCAGAATACAAATAAAGTTGTTATTGTTGTTATTATTATTATTATTATTATTATTATTATTATTATTATTATATAAAACAAATATTAACATTACTTAGACATAGTGGGGAAATATTCTGGGTCAATTTGGAAATTATTTGCAGTAATATTTAATCAAGGATACCCCAACTTCTACCTCAAAGAATCTTTCCAGGTTTGAAAGAAGTGGTTGCACATAATATACCTTAGGGCTGGGCGGTTTCGTTAATTTCGTAATTCGTTATTAATTCGTTATTTTTTTTGATAACGAAGCGATATTGAACCATTCAGGAGCAACTAAAAAACGAAACAAATTTTTCCAATTCGTTTCGTAATTGTTTCAAAATTGTTTCGTAATTGTTTCGAAATTGTTTCATTATTATTTCGTTATTTTTTCCGTATGTCTGGTGCAAGTTTTATAGTCGTTGTTTGTTTTATCAGTGATAAAAAAAATTATCACACCAACAGTCAACAACAGAGGGAGAGGGAAGCTTCAGAAGTTCCCCCTGTCCCATTTGGAGGGTTTTTTAGCGTATTGCGCAATTGCGTCCGCCATTAACGAATCGATTCGTTATTGTTTCGAAATTGTTTCGTAATTTCCGAAATTTCGTAAATATCGAACTTTTTAAAAGAAAAATTTCGGAATTCTTTTAAATAACGAAACGCAAAAACCCCCTAAAAACTAATCGAGTTTAGAAACAAATTTTTCCATGGTTGGACAGCCCTAATATACCTATATCCATCACTAGTATGTCCCTGTCCATATCATGTTTCTTTTTCAAAAGGCATAATTGAGAGACAAGAATATTGTATATGGAGAGTTATAATAATAAATAATAAACTTTATTTATATCCCACCCCCTCTCCACAAGGAGAGGCTTGTTAGAAGCTTATTTGCTAGAGGGAAACCACTACTGGTAGATAGTTTAAAACATGGACTCCAGGACATAAAGCCTGGGTGGCTACAGAAGAAACAAAATTTATCTCTGTCCCAATCAATAATGTGCACATCAGGTTCTCTGAACATTGAAAAATTCTTGGGAAATTATGTATTACAAGCAAAACTGACACTGGAGGACAAGTTTTCAACCTGTACAAATTATTAATGGGTATACAATTCATTTAACAGATCTAGATTAGCATAGAAGAGGGATCTCACAATACCAATTCCTGAAAGGATGGAACAGGATATGGTCTTCCCCATCTTACATGCCAATCCCAGCTTTAAGGAGAGAAAATACTTTAAAAGTTGTGCCCAAATGACATTACACTTCCTGGAAACTAAATCATATCATGAAACTGCTATGCCCACTTTGTTGGTCCACACGTGTGGGTCCAGGGTATAAAAGAACAAGACAAGTATACAAAGACACAATAAACATAAATCCCGATCCTAACACTCCTGTCATAGTTAACTAAAGTACATCTAAGCACTTAAAACTTGTTTGGTAAAATCGGATTAAAGTTCATCACCATGGCAAGAGAAATAGGTATTAACACAATTCAAGCCATTAAATTAAGTAATGATTTGGTATTGATATTAATATTCCAAAGAGACAATCACAATTTACCAAACAAAGATATGACTATTTCTAGAAGCGATGCATTTTGAAATAGCTCAGAGGTGGAAACATCTGGATACACTTTCAATAGAAAGCTAGCTGAAGATAGATTGGCAATTTCTCATATACCTTTAAGGATTGAAGGAGCCAGAATGCTTTTATTTCACCTGGCGTCCATTTATTTCCTTTTTGACAAAGGGCCAAACGTACTGGAACATGCTATGAAAATACTGAGGTTTTGGAGATACACATTTAATTGAGACTGACAGAAACAATGTCCTTATTAGATCACCTGCTCAGTTGTGGCTATTGTTCTATGTTGTTATTTGTTCATTAGGGTATCGACATTAATTTTTTTTAAAAACAACAACATTGTGAGTGGTTTATAAAGGCTAAAATGTATCACAAAAGTCTGTTCCAATAGTGAACACAGCTAGTTTAAATGGTAGAGCAGGCAAAGAGAAAGGAACTCGTTGCTATGGCATCAGGATACCCTTTTTGAAAGCACAGAAACACACATTGCAGATAATCATTAGCAATAAACTCATTCAAATCTCCTTAATCAAGAGATTCCTATTACCACCACCAATCAGCAAAATATAAGACAATGATGAAGCAAAGTTAAAGCTTTTTTGAAGTCTCATCATATTTCAGTGCTAATGTGATATAAACAATTCATTATCTCCTAAAGAAATCTATGGCTTTTCATTTAAATAAGACCCTAGTAATTTATTTTCATCCTTTAATTCTATCATTAAAGTGTAGTACAAAAACATCACACATGTTTGTGAGGCGCACAAAGGCACTGAGGAAGAAGAGAGGTCAAATCCTTCAGTCATAGAAAGAACTACAGAACCCTGGCACCATATTTCCATGGTATTCTCCATTTATTATTCTGAAACAGAGCCAAAGAGTATCATAGATCTACAATCAAATGGAATGAACTAGGAATTCCTGGCACAGCTTTCAATACAAAATTTCAGTTGGTACACCATACACATTTTTCCCTTTCAGATAAAGCAAGGACTGAACTGAGATATCTGTGACTGCCCAGTATAACATAATGTCACATTTAAACCCATCAACAACACACAACCCAGCACAAAAAACCCATCATGACATTAGCAGTTTTAATGAAAACTCTGGCCAATGTCTAGAATGAGATCTCATTTGGGGAACAAAATTAACTTGTTAAATATGAGATGGGCTGGGAAAGGAGAAATTTTGCCTGCAACATATAAATTGCTGCAAAATATGAAAGCAGATCAAATGGAAACCAAGATTGTTGTTATATTCTGATGCAGAATTCGAAGAAGCACGAATAGAGGGCGAAAAGGAGAAATGTGTCAAGAGGATGGCACATCAAGCCAACCCTGACCGTGACCGCCTTCCAATTGGAAACCGATGCCCTCACTGTGGCAGAACATGCGGGTCAAGAATAAGACTCCATAGTCACCTACGGAGCCAACGCCTAGACATGGTATGATGGCTTGAAGTATGATGGCTTGAAGGTCATCATACTTGGACAATGAGGGATCGCCTAAGTAAGTAAGTAAGTAAGTAAGTAAGTAAGTAAGTCTGCCTAATAAAAATAAAGAACTCTAATTTTCAAAGAAGTGGGTATTTGACGCATTGTCATGAGTTCTCCATAACTATTTTTTCTATCAGCATCGCTTAATGCTGCTTAGATTTACCTATGGGGGACTGGTAGGTTGCTGGGCTAACACTGAGCAAATGACCAGTTCTGGTACCATAAGTCTAGTCCTCCAAAGCCATGTTAGGATGTGAATGTGCTGTGGATGTTTTTAATACTTGCTCCCTGTCCTTCTTTTCTCAGCTTCTTAATTTGCTCTACCCAGAGTTACTGTGATATCTAAATCAGCAAACTATGATTAGCATTGCTTCGAGAAAATAGTTTGCAGTCCACTCTAATTCAAACTGTTATTTCAAATCACAATAGCAAGGGGATATCCAAAATTTGCCAAAACAAACATAATGGAGAACTATGGATTCCTGGAAATGAGGCAAAGGGTGACAAGACTATATAAGATTCTAGGTGGAACAAACTCCCATGAGATCAATCATTCTACCTCAAAGCATGGTTAGGAGGATTAAGTCTGTGTTTTATCCATTACAAGATACTAAGTGTGTTCTTCTAAATCTAAAACCATCCATTCTCTCACTGTTCAAGTCAGCAACTTAAATTCTGATAGCATTTCAAGCAGTTTCTACTTGTTTGTTCATGCAGTAGAGCTAGCTTCTAACAAAATCTTCCACCCATTACATTACTTCTTAAGTGATATTTAAACAATGTGAGCTAAAATATTATATAAAGCAGGTTAATGCTTTTGTAGATCTTTCTTCTCACATTACATAGGAATCAACAACCCTATAAATACCAAACTGCAACACTTATCTATGTGCCTCCAGTCTCATACAAAAAAGAATATATACTGCAAAAGCACAATACAAAATAATTATCATACACATCGTACCTAACTTTTAAGCTCCATAGAGTGATGCTTCCAAAGTTCAGCACATGGCATTCTCAGAACTCTGCCCATATCCAACAACTAGGGCTAGGGCAAGAAAACAGCCTTTGAAAGCTGATCAGACAGAAAGTATGCAGCTCAGGCAAAGAGGTCACCAAACAAGTTTTCCAACAAGCTACTCCACTTGGTATTTCAGACTCAACCCTCCAGAGCAAGGGCATGTGACAAATGAGTCTCCTAATATTCACTGAATCCAGGAGTGTCTGATACAAGGCTGCATCTCAAAAAGGCAAAGCAGTGCAGAGTTTGCTATAAAAAGAACACTGTTCCACAGCACCAGCGTTTTTGGCTTGGAAAGGCCTCTCCACAGCTAAATGCTAAACTGAGGGAGGCACACCAGCAGGATTTAAACTTCACCTCTGACTCAGCAGGGATTGGAACCTCATAGTGCCAAAGCTAATATGTCAAACAGAGTACTTCTGAACATGTACAAAGTGCTCTTTCTTTCATCTACACAAAACAGCCTATCCTGCCATCTTTACCACTATTTGTAGGAGACCCCTAGTTCAGATAATGTAAATCCAAGTATCTCTTTAAAAACTAAACAGTATGTGTGCACCTAAAACAGCTGCAGGAGTCTACCGTGTACCATGCAGCTGTGGACAAGTCTACATAGGGACCACCAAACGCAGTGCCCAAACACAAATCAAGGAACTTGAAAGGCACTGCAGACTACTTTAACCAAAGAAATCAGCCATAGCAGAGCATCTGATGAACCAACCTGGACACCACATTTTATTTGAGAACACAGAAATGCTGGACCACTCTCACAACCTCTGAGGATGCTTGCCATAGATGCAGGCGAAACATCAGGAGAGAATGCCTCTAGACCATGGCCATATAGCCCGAAAAACCCTACAACAACCCAGCTGACAGAAACACTATGTGAGAAGGCAACTGGGTGATATTTTAGACAGAATTGAATAGAACAGGTATCTAGATGCCTGAATTTATTAACTGAAATGTAACTGAAAATTTGTCTCTTTCTTGGCTTTGCTTATTTTGTTTCCAGTAGCTTATCCCACATCTCCTCGTTCTTTTAATTTTACCTAAAAAGAAGTATTAATTCCAGAGTACCACCACTTACCTGGTGAGCCCAGTGGTTTTGCCTGGTTGTGCTTTCTCTGCTTGTTTTCCTCTTTGCTTCATGTCAGCCAGCCTTTGTCGCATGTTGATGGTCATTTCAGAACTCAGACGCCAGATGAAAATACAGCTGGAAGTATAGAAATATATGAATAGTGAAGAAAGAGGGAAGTGTGCACCCACCACAATGACTTATTTCTGAAAACTATCCTGATTTGTGCCCTTTCTTTCTTTCTTTCTTTCTTTCTTTCTTTCTTTCTTTCTTTCTTTCTTTCTGCTTCTTCCATTTTACAGACAGGATGAATGCTTAAAAGCAGAAATAGACTTTGCCTCACCTGTCACCAGAGACTGAGATCAAGTGTTTACAATCATTGCTGAACATCATCCCAGTTACAATCTCTGTAAAAAAAATCAGAAGAAGCATTATTCTTCACCTCTATCCTCTGGGATACGTATAACACCTCCTAACAACTTATGGCATAGAACAGTGGTTCCCAACCTTTTTCCTCCAGGTGTTTTAGACTTCAGCTCCACAATTCCTAACAGCTGGTAAGCAGACTGGGATTTCTGGGAGTTGAAGTAGAAAACAACTGGAGGACCAAAGGCTGGGAACCACTGGCCTAGAAAATCAGTGGCATGACCTCTCTTCACTGAACCACCTTCCACGTAATACTAAATTAAAGACCAAAAATGAAAGAATACTGAGGAGAGGGAGACAGACAAAAAAAAATGCCAGCACCACTGACTCCTATTTCAGTTGGGTTGTTTTCCTCTCCTATCTCAAGGCCAACCGACTTATATAGAGGAAGAGTGGGAACCAGGAAGAGAAAACAACGACAGATATTGACTCCTCCTGAAGTATAGGTGTGTGACTTTTAATGTGTTACTTGTAATTTAATTAATAGCACAAACTGCTGCCAAAATGAGAATACAAATGCACAATAAAAGAAAATGAAACAAACCTAATACGACTATACTACTAAAACATGCAAAGTGCTTCTTGTAGACTTTGGCAACAGTTTTGATCCTCATTGTCATTGATAAGGAAATTTAAGGACCAACTGTCTCTTCACAGTTCAATCCAACAGGACAATGAGTTCAACTTAAATTTGCTGTTCTTGCCATGTGCCTTCAAGCTGGCTACTATATCTGGCAACCCTATCATATAATTTTCTTGACAAGATTTCCTCTGTGGAAGTTGGGTATTTGTTCCCTCTAAATCCGAGCAACTGTGACTTGCCTGGCATCATCCAAAGGAGTTTGAGGGTTAACTGAAGATTAGAACCTTGGTCCTGCACTTAAACTCTTATATCATCTAGCCTCTTATATGCTGTCCTCAAATAAAAATACAGGTTTCACCCTATATTTTTCAATGACTCACTCTTCATCAATTTTATCTTTCAACCATTCTAAATTTTACTCTGAACCATATTTTGACGTCTGGTCTGCTCTTTCAACCAACCACTGCTTTTTCTCTCCCTGACAACTCAGTGCACTGGATTTTCTCCTATTATTTGACCTGGTGCACTTTTTAACTTTCAGTCGACTCACTGCCATCATAGAATCATAGAGTTGGAAGAGACACATCTCATGTTTAAGCCTTGCATATATAAGATTTTTTTAAAAACTAGGCTTTGCTTTTCAATATTTTCCATGTTTTGATGGTGCTCTGGTCCCTAACCTGTCAAACAAACAGAGGATGCCTGTAGCTTAAATACAGAGCAAAATTATTCCCAAGATTGCCTGGAATTCCCCAGTTTTTGGAATACTCGGTTTCAATTAATGTTATCCATCAACAAAGGTTGTGCAACTTACCTGAGTGCCCATACATTGTGGCAACACACTCGCCTGAGTAGAAGTCAAAGATAGAAAGGTTCTTGTCAGAGCAACTTGTTGCAATATACAGACCAGAGGGATCTGTTTGCACCTGAAATTAATGTTACAGAGTAGAAAGCAATGTGTCAAATATATTTATCATAGAGTGCATTCTTCTTTTTAAAAATCTGACTTGGGGGATTTTGCTACAGACTAGTCCTCACTCTTCAAGCCTTCCGTGCACAATTGAAGACATGGTTTTTTTCGACAAGCCTTCGACTATATTTAGATTCCTTTAATGAATATATGTGAGGATCCATAGATTTCACCAAGCACTTTATATGACTGAGATTGATTATTGTTGTTTTATATATAGCTATTGCTGATTTTACTGATTTTAATCACGGGGTTTTATGAAGTGAGATATTTATGTTGGCTGTCACTGTTATATGTTATTGTTTTTGCAATTTTTGTATTTTTTATGTTTGCACCTTTGTTTTGTAAACTGCCCTGCGTCCCTCTGGGAGATGGTGGTGGGGTATAAATAGCATTGATGATGATGATGATGATGATGATGATGATGATGATGATGATGGAATAATCTGGATATTTATTTTAGTACTGATTACACTGCCTAGCTGGAATGTATCACTTTAAGGCTAAACCAGAAATACACATATGGCAGATATAGAATTTATCAGCCTAGCCTTTACGTGTCAGTTTCATACAACCTTCTCCACTCGTCTTCAAGAACACTTCATGTTGTACTTTATGAAATTAGGAATCCTGGTGTCTTGGCAAGCTATTATGTGGGCCTTTTTCTAGCAAAATCTATTGGAGTTTCTAGAACTTTCTCACATTGTGATAAAGAGCTTGTGTCCACAATCACAGATAAGTTTTTGATGGATGTTAAACCCATCAAAAGTGGAATGAAATTGATAATGGCATATTGTCTTACAAAGTTAGGTGGTTTATTTGATTTTAATACGTGCTTAGTAAATCTGCTGATAAAATATAAGCAGAGGTACTTTTCTACTAAACTTTCTGGATCCAAACTAGAAAAGAATTTCTAAAATATGGAATCAGTTTGCTTTTGTTTTTCTCAAATACCAAAAAAGGGGAAAAAACATGGATTCTTAAGCTCTTAACCCTGGAACCTTTGCTGGGGTCAACATAGGTATCAATAAGCTAAAAACAGTAGAATAGCATAGAATAATCTTATAAGGAGGGAGAAATGAAAAGCAATCTTTTTTATTCAGTAAGTAAGAAATTATCTTTTCAAAAATTCAAGCAGTTTATTCCCTTCTCTCCAAAAGTCCAAGCGCATACAAGGTTAAGGAGAGTAAATTAATGGAATGTTGTCTACCTTCATTCTGGTAAAGTATTTAATACAGTAATGTAATGCAATATTACAGCACTTAATTGTTCAAAAATCTGCTGCTTTCAGCATTAGTATAATAACATTAGGTTTAAGCTGATTAATAAGTAACTCGAGGCTTTAACTACTTTCCACTAATTTTCCTATGCCTGCACACAGGTTAGGTTTCTTTAATCCAAAAGTATGTACCCCTTAAAACACTGTTTCTCAACCTGGGGGTCGGGACCACTTGGGGGGGGGGGTCGCAAGGAGGCATCAGAGGGGTTGCCAAAGACCATCAGAAAACAGAGTATTTCCTATTGATCATGGGGGATCTGAGTGGGAAGTTTGGCCCAATTCTATTGTTGGTGGAGCTCAGAGTGCTTTTTGATTGTAGGTGAACTATAAATCCAAGCGGCTACAACTCCCAAATGACAAAATCAATCTCCCCCAACCCCACCAGTATTCAAATTTGGGCGGATCAGGTATTTGTGCAAAATTTGGTCCAGTGAATGAAAATACATCCTGCATATCAGATATTTACATTACGATTCATAACAGTAGCAAAATTAGTTATGAAGTAGCAATGAAAATAATGTTATGGCTGAGGGTCACCACAACATGAAGAACTGTATTAAGGGGTCGCGGCATTAGGAAGGTTGAAAACCACTGCCTTAAAATACCCAGCATTCACATTAGTACAAAAAACGATAATGGCTAAATACTTTACACGTCTGTTTGAAAGAGCTCATCCCTATCTGTTTGTGCTACTACCACAACACTAGATGAAAATACAATGCTATGAATGCATAGACACCTGAAAAATATAAACACAAACAAAAGGGAGCACTTCCTTGTAAATCCAAGAGGCAGCAATTGCTGGCACTGATCTATATGTAGGCTAACTATTCCCAGATTTCTTACCTTGACAATACTGTCATTTCCTGAGTTTCACAGATTTCTAACAGTCTGGACTGCTGAAATCATCTGGAAATTAAATATTGATCTGGCCAGAAAATACTCTTCCTGAATAAAATCTCAGAGAGAAGTGAAACTGCAAAGGAAATGGCTTCAGGGAAAGAATACAAAGCTGGGGAACATGGACCACAGCATGAGGGATCTTCAAAAGCAAGTGTAGGAAATGCCATAGGATTCTGAGACATAAACACAACTTTATGTATGAATGCAAATGTCTTAAACATGCTTATGCAGCAAAATGAGATTTTCTGCATTTGGGTCAGTTTAGAGTAGCAACAAAAAAATTAAACGCCGTTGCCACTTTTAAAATAATCTTTGTTGTTCATTCGTTCAGTCGTCTCCGACTCTTCGTGACCTCATGGACCAGCCCACGCCAGAGCTCCCTGTCGGCCGTTACCACCCCCAGCTCCCTCAAGGTCAGTCCAGTCACTTCAAGGATGCCATCCATCCATCTTGCCCTTGGTCGGCCCCTCTTCCTTTTGCCTTCCACTTTCAGAAATCTGTAGACAATATGCATTCACTCCAGTTAAAGTACAGATGAATTAAAATGGGATACCCATGAATTTCAACTAACTGCTCCTGAGGCAATGGTCAGCAATCAAGTTAAAGGGGAATGATAATTTTTGTTAGCTTTTAGAGCATCATTTTGACCTTTAATTTATGTATAGGATGTCTTTATGATGGACAAACCAAATGCAAATGGCAAACTGTAAAGTTTCTATGTTACATGGAAAAGAACTAGAATCCAACACACCAATTATAACTGTATTAATAAAAGGGCAAAACAAGGGAAACGGAGAGAATAAATAAAACCTGTAAAATATAAAATGGTCTTACTTTAATTAAGGTGCCATCTTCACTTTGGGATCCCTTGTACAGCTTCTTTTGCTTTCCACTACTAATGTTGAAAATCCTGTGAAAGAAAGCAAGACATAATTCAGAAAGGTTATGCTCAGAATTTAGTTGTACTTGGTTTATACAGTTTACATCTAACATTCAGCCACATGTCTCTGAGAAGCTCATAATAGCTGATGTTACAGAAAAGCAAATGCCTCTGAACATGGAAGTTCTATTTAATTGTTCGTAGCCAATAGCTACTGATAAACCTATTGTTCCATTAAATCATCTAGTTAAATAAAAAAAGCTAAAGCTTATTCTTGTCTTGGGCTATCTGCTTACAGAGTGCTTTAGCCACTCTTCTCTTCACTGTATAATGTCAAGGGAAAGGTTTCCCCTCAATATTAAGTCTAGTTGTGGCCGACTCTGGGGGGGGGGGGGTGCTCATCTCCATCTCTAATGCAAAGAACCGGTGTTGTCTGTAGACACCTCCAAGGTCATGTGGCTGGAATGACTGTATGGAGCACCATTACTACCCACAGAAATAGTACCTATTGATCTACTCATATTTGCATGTTTTCGAACTGCTAGGTTGGTAGAAGCTGGGGCTAACAGCAGGAGCTCACCCCACTCCCTGGATTCGAACTGCCAATCTTTCAGTCAGCAAATTCAGCAGCTCAGTGGTTTAACCCGCTGCACCACCAGGGGCTCCTTGTATACTGTACAATGCATTTGTATTTTTAAACAGAAGAGCAATGAGAAATATGTACTTTCAAGAAATATCTACTTTCAAGTTCAAAAACTGAGCTTGATTGAACTAATTGGCCACTAACACAGTCAATAAGCTAGACAAAGAAAACATTGATTTATCTCTCATGCCACCACCCCTTTTAAAAAAACTTGATTTGTCTTTCAAATATAATTAGATACAACGAGAAAGAGAGAAAGAGAAGAAAAAAAGAAAAATAGAAGGCCTGAATGTGGTGAGATTCTGGACTGCCTCTCTCGGATGGGACTTGGGGTCACTGTTTTATAGTGGTTTCATTCCTTCCTGTAGAGCAGGCATGGCAAACATCATCCCTCCAGGTGTTTAGGACTTGAACTCCCACAATTCCTAATAGCGGGTAGGTTGTTAGGAATTGTGGGAGTTGAAGTCCAAAACACCTGGGGGGCCAAAGTTTGCCTATGCCTGCTGTTGAGGCACATACAGAAGGTAGTGCTGTATTAAGTCATGCCAATCGCCTGCCTTTCAGGAATATACAATCAATGAATGCCCAACGCCCTGGCTGCCAAGTTCGGCTCTGTACTCCACGCTGTTTAACATACACATGAAACCATTTAGACAAGTTATCAAGAATTTGAAGTTTAGTGTCACCAACATACTAGTGTCCATGGCAGGTAGTGAACCAACCTGATGTTACGATCTTGGCATCCAATGGCAGCATATTTCCAGTTGGGGTTGACATCCATGTCATAAAGAGTAGTTTTCCTGACAACATGGTGTGTCCGAGTAAAATGAACTCCATCACCGGTCTGAACACAAAAAAATTAAATTAAAAGAAAAAACAAACAAACCAATAACAGTCCAAATCTACATGCATGATATCTTTCTTCATCAAGCAAGAGATAAAGGCACTCTTCAAAGGAACCAATGCAAGAAGAGAATGGACGGTGAAGCAGGAACTCCCCCTGTGGCCGGAATCCAGTCGGAATTAAGCATACCCTTATAGAGCTAGAAAGCTAGAATGTTAAATTGTCTCTGTGACTGTTTATATATGTTGTATGTCTAATTGGCATTGAATGTTTGCCATGTACAGTATATGTGTATTGTAATCCGCCCTGAGTCCCCCGCGGAGTGAGAATGGAGGAATATAAATGCTGTAAATAAATAGTAATAATAAATAACAGCAGGTGAAATCAACCATCAGTCCTATATAGTTTTTCTAAAGAGTGAGAACAGAATGAAACAAGGCCTAAAACATCCAAAGATCCTTCTTAAAATACTTCATCCCAAAAGTTACATAAAGAGAGAAGACTGTAATAGAATTACCTTCTGTGCAGTGCGGAAATAGATGCTCTTATCTGCTCCACAGCTAATCATTCGCACTTTTCCATCATTGGCTGAAGGGAGAGAGAAATAAGTGGAATCATGAACAAGCAGACATATGAGAAGAAAATTAAAATTTCTTCCCACGTTAACACTTTGCTTTCTCAATTTCACATTACAATTCCTGCTGGTCTGTCTTGTAGAATTTAATTTAGCCATGGTTATTGGAAAAGGGGATTAATTACAAATAAGTCATTATTTATCATGAGTTACTATGTGCTCCTAAATTAACTCTTACAATTTGACCTCTAAACAAAGGATAAGTACTCCATGAGGAAATATCTTTAAACGACTCTGCAACCCTCAGAGAGGCAAAATTGTATATGAGAAGATAAGGTGAATCAAAACGGCAGAGAAAAGATGGGGCGATAATATACCGTCACTGAAATACTGAGCAAACAGAGACTTTTGGTGTGCAAACTCTACACTAACCAGTTATTTTTTTCTTTATTTGGATAGTTTCTAACACCCCAGAGGAAGAAAAGAATAAGTATCCTATCTAAAGAAGTGAGGTAGTGTTCAAGATATCAGAAGGCACATCTAAAGAAGGGAAATGAAAAAAATGAGTTGTCGTTATTATTGTTGTTGTTATATTATTTTACTGATACAAAAACACAGTATGTCACAGCAAATGAGATATAAATGCTGAATTTTGTATTATTATTATTATTATTATTATTATTATTATTATTATTATTATTATTATTATTATTATCTTCATTTCTATCCTGCTTTTCTCACCCCGCAGAGCGGCATATAACATAGGTAAAGGTAAAGGTAGTCCCCTGACATTAAGTCCAGTCATGTCTGACTCTGGGGTGTGGTGCTCATCTCCATTTCTAAGCCGAAGAGCCAGCGTTGTCCATAGACACCTCCAAGGTCATGTGGCCAGCATGACTGCATGGAGCGCCGTTACCTTCCCGCCGGAGCGGTACCTATTGATCTACTCACATTTGCATGTTTTCGAACTGCTAGGTTGGCAGAAGCTAGGGCTGACAGCGGAAGCTCACGCCGCTCCCCGGAATCGAACCTGCGACCTTTCGGTCAACAAGCTCACCAGCTCAGTGCTTTAACCCACTGCACCACCGGGGGCTCCAGGCATATAACATACATCTAGGCAAAACTGCCTCATTATACAAATCAAATGAAACATCACATAAAACCATTAGAAACAATAGACATACAAATACAATTTAAAACCATTAAACATTAGGAAGTTTTTCCTGAACATTAGGAAGAACTTCCTGACTGTGAGAGCCGTTCACCAGTGGAACTCTCTGCCCCAGAATGTGGTGGAGGCTCCTTCTTTGGAAGCTTTTAAACAGAGGCTGGATGGCCATCTGTCAGGGGTGCTTTGAATGCAGTTTTCCTGCTTCTTGCCAGGGGGTTGAACTAGATGGCCCATGAGATCTCTTCCAACTCTATAATTCTATTATTCTAACATATTAAAACATAATAACCTCATACACAAATAATGCCAATCCCTTAAGCATAATTCAGCTGCTTCATTTCTAACCATGTCATGATAGGATGTTGGACTGCATTTCTGGCACTTGTCAAACTTGCACAGTGGTGTTTCCCAAGTCTCTTGGTTGAGTAGCAGCATCACAGTCCATCACTATTATAGTAGCATCACGACACATCTTACTAGCCCCTTCCCTCTCCTCCTGTCATGATCTTGAAGTCTACTTTGGCTCTCTTGGATGGTGCTGAGTCAGAGAAGATGCCATTGTCAACATCAGTGGTTCTCAACCTGTGGATCGCAAGATGTTTTGGCCTTCAACTCCCAGAGATTCTAACAGCTGGTAAACTGCCTGGGATTTCTGGGAGTTGTAGGCCAAAACACCTGGGGACCTACAGGTTGAGAACCACTGGTCTACATAATTTAGAACTGTAATGAAGAATTGATGTTGATTTATGTTAACTAAAAGAGATTCACAATCACATTACCTGCAAACTTCACTGCTGTGATTGAAGATGAATGCTCATCTAGGGTCTGCTGGAGGCTATAATCCCTCCCAGCGTCCAAAACATGGATCAGTCTGTCTCTACTAGCTGATGCTAGAAGCTTCAACCCTGTTGTTAAGAGAACAGAAGGAGAAAACACACAACTAAAATTATGGTTATTTCAATTCCTTATTTTGAATTGGAACAGTTGACCTGAACACAAAGGCAAGACTATCCCCATATTTGATTTAAAAAGAAACAAAGAGAAACGACCTATATAAGGCTGCATTTTGAGAATGGGAACTTTTTATATTTTAGTAGTTTGTGCAATATTTTAATGGTTTTTGTGCAGTTATGTTTTATTAGTGTAATTATGTTTTATTTAAGTATTTGCATTTTTATTATCTTAATTTTAATTATTTTTGGTAATAAGTTTATTAATGTTGATTTTCTATTTTTTAAATATTGTGCGATTTTAATTATGGCATTGAATGTTTGCTTTTTTATATGTATATAAACCGCCCTGAGTCCCTTTTGGGGGGGGGGAACAGTCTAGAAATAAAGTAGTATTATGATTTAATAACCTGGGGTAGAGTCTGGAAGCAGTCATATCAATATTGTCGTATATAAGAAGATAATACCTCAGAATATATGATTTTAGGTAAATCTATGATATGTGCACATTTTATGCCAAAACTAATTCAGGTATCTGCGGTTAAGAATAATATGAGTATACCATGAAAATGTTGAGAAGTGAGAGGATTAAGCTGAAGATGTTTGGTTTGAAGAATATCAGTATTGTTTTAGTGTATTTGATGTCTTTATAATGATAGTGTATAGATTATTTATTCATAGATTTGTTCACTGTGTATTTAATAAACATGATTAAAAAAACAATGGGAAGATGAAACTCTGGGTTGTTGTATGGCCATGTTCCAGAAGCATTCTCTCCTGACATTTCACCTGCATTTATGGCAGGCATCCTCAGAGGTTGTGAGGTTTGTTGGAAACTAGAAAAATGGGGTTTATATATCTGTTGAATGTCCAGGGTGGGAGAAAGAACTCTTGTCTCTTTGAGGTAGGTGTGAATGTTGCAATTGGCCACCTTGATTAGCATTTAATGGCTTAACAGTTTCAAGTTCTGGCTTCTTACGGCCTGGGGGAATGCTTTGTTGGGAGATATTTAGCTGGCCCTGATTGTTTGTTGACTGGAATTCCCCTGTTTTGAGTGTTGTTCTTTATTTACTGTTATGATTTTAGAGTTTGTTTAATACTGGTAGCCAGATTTCGTTCATTTTCATGGTTTCTTCCTTTCTGTTGAAACTGTCCATTTGGTTGTGGATCTCAATAGCTTAACTGTGTAGCCTGACATGATAGTTGTTAGAGTGGTCCAGCATTTCAGTGTTCTCAAATAACCCATCTGGTGGGTGAGACATTATATTCTCTCTGTTAGCCTACTGAAAGAAAGCTAATTTGATAGAAGAGGGATAAATTAATGTTCCACAATTTGTTAATATACAGGCAAGAAGACTGGCTCGGCAACAGCTGAGACCTCCTTACCTGTATCAGGCTTTGAATACTCAAGGCAGAGGATTTCAGAATCATGGGCTTCTACTTTCAGCATCTCTCTCATGGACTTCAACTCGTAGATCCTGAAAAGGACCCAGGCAGATGGTGAGAAAGGGATAGGGCTGTTATGAAAAGCTAGTCCTCTCCAACACTCCCAAGCTTACCTGAGAGTGCCTATCCTGTCACCTGAGGCCAGGTGCTCCCCAGTGGGGCTGACACAAACTGTACGAATTCCCACTTTTGCATCCAGGATTTGAGAGTCTGCCTTGTCCACCCCTCCAGCTGTGTTGTACTCTGTGTCCAGGAGGGCTTGGGTGTTTTCGTCAACATAGATAATTTTCATCAGATCCTGTGAAAAACAAAAGTTGCCATTTGGAATAAGCCAATGGAATCAAAGTCAACATCAGGGGAGGAAACCCAACTCTGATGGAATATAAAATCACTTAAAACAGTAGCAAAGACTATGGGGCTCAAACTGTAATTCTGGCAAGTTTTAACCAAAACACAAAACAGTAGCCTACTGAACAATACAGACATGTGTGGAATTGGAAACAATACTGCTCTGTATACACAGATCATAATATGAACACGGGAGGCAGCCATTGCATACTTAAAGTGTGCAGCCATTTTCTATCCCCAGATATAAACTATAAGGCTAAAAAGAATATAAGTAAATGATGTAGGGGGAGCTCTCATGAATTATACATTCATAGCACTGCAGGCAGATTTAACTCATCACAAGGTTTTGCACAAGGCTTCATAACACAAAAATGAATGCAAGAGAACAGAACAGAGCTTAAAATCATGTAGGAATCACTAATAAATCTTTTTTTAAATATTTTACATAGAAGCTAATTTCCAAAGCCATCCCTAACATGATGCAATTCTCTTTTCTTTTAGCATCACAATGAACTTTCTAAATGTTACAGTTCTCCGCTGCAGTGAAACTTCTTTAATTTGGCAGCAATGCACATAAGGACTAACCAGAATATTTTGCTGCCTGAAGCTGGAAAAAAAGCATTACCTATTCAATAATGTTGAGGTACCTTGTATCTAAAGCAGCCAACTTCTTCTGGCACATATATTTAAAAAATCCCAAAAGTGACTTTCACTTACTTGGTACTACAATATAATAAGAAAAAAGTACATAATATCTCACTGTCTATTCATGACATCCCAGATTCATTGCCTGGGATGTTTGCTTCATTCTCCCTAAAGCTAAGAATAGCTGTGAATAGACGTCTGAAGGCATTGTGAGGAAAACTCGATCAGAAAGAATAGATTATTTTCTGTTTATTCCCAGCCAGTTCTGAAAGAATCCAGTATTACCAACCTGGTTGGTTGTTCTCTCTGAGACTATGCCCAAATGTCAAGGGCAGACATGATTACATTCTACCACATATATTCAAGCAACTGATTAAAAGACTCAAATATCCTTAGTTTACATACACTTTGATATGTACATCTGTTCACCATTCAGGCAAACCTACAATGCACGTTTGTTTGGGAAAATGCAAAATAATTTCACAAGCTCTATCAGACCACAGCAGCCTGGATACAGTATATTTCTGAAAAGATATTGTGTCTTGGAGGTCGTTTCTAACATTTTAAAGAAAACTAAAATAACAGTGTAGGTTACATATGGTAAGGAGCCCCCCGTGGCGCAATGGGTTAAACCCTTGTGCCAGCTGAACTGCTGACCAAAAGATTAGCAGTTTGAACCCAGGGAAAGGGGTGAGCTCCCATCTGACAGCTACAGCTTCCTATGCAGGGACATGAGAGATATCTCCCACAGGATGGTAACTCATTCGGGTCCCCTGGGCAATGTCCTTGCAGACAGCCAATTCTCTCACACCAGAAGTGATTTATAGTTTCTCAAGTCACTCCTGACACACACACAAAAAGGTAAACCAATCTTTGGTTACTTTCGACCAGTGTATTGAATGATGGATTCCTAAGCAAATTAGAAGCTATGTTGCCAAGAATGTTTTGTTTTGGCTTCATATTGATAAATAAAATATAGTAAATTCCAGATCAAACCAGATTCTTACATTGCTCAGAATGTTTCGATGCAGAGCAGTGCCATGGATGTTTGAACTCTCGGTGTTCCAAAGCCGGATAGTATTATCCGAGGAGCAGGTGATGAAAGAGTTTGGGGGTAAGCAAGACTGATTGCTGTCCTTCACCTCAGGGTACACCTGAGAACCAGAAAAGAACAAAGTAGAAGGAGAAAACAAGGGTTTATATTCCAATCCATTGACAATAACACTCCAAGCCACTTGGGCACCTAAAGCGTTTTTCTCACAAGTAATCCAAACCACTCCCAAAATTCCCTGTTCTAGATCATTATTAAGGTTGATGAAGCCTATTATCATGCCCATCTTTGAAGTTGGTTTCCACAGCCAAAGTATATATTTAGCTGAATGCCTATAAAAGAATCCTCCACTTTCCTGCAACTGTGGAAAAGAACAGGCAACTCCGCATTTATATGCTTGTCCGCAATGTCCTGCCTCATGTACAGAGGAAGAATTGTTGGAGGCTACAGACAATGTGGTTGCTGTTGCCTATTTTTGGTTCTTCTATTTTTATTAGTTTTATACTAATTTATGCAAAGCTTTTGATACAAAATAAATAAATAAATACCTATAAAATTGACTTGGTTGAAATGCTGTAATAACTTGCCTTTTCCACAGGAATCCTGCTCTAACAGCATCACTCCAAAAGCTCTTCTTCTGGTCAAGCAAGTAAATTCCCTTAGAGCTTTAAAGACTCTTGCACAGATAGACACATGCCAGCAGAGAGCAGTGCTATGCTACAGCTGTGGCATTTTCTATCTTGCTTTAGTGAAGATAATAAAAACAACCCTGAGGCTCCTAAAGCTGACACACTCCCTTTGTTTCTTTTCTGATTAATCCCAAATAGGAAGTTTTGAGAGCAGCTGGCCAGATGACAGAAATATTCAGAACATATGGGAAATGGGCTACAATTTAAAGGTTGTAAGAGCAATAACATGTTCTGTTAAAGACAGAGGCACTGAAGCAGGACACCTTCAGGTTGCAAGCTGTTCTTTGAACACATTGCCTCACTCCACCTCCATCCCCATATTTGATATTGGACTATTATGCACAGAAACTGTACATAGCCTTTGCAACCAGCCAGGCTATGACTAGAGGCAAAACAAAAATGGCCAATGGTACAATTCATATAACTGCAGGCAGGGATTAACAGAAAAAGCAGCTGTATTGAAATTATTAACAGGGTAGAATCATAGAATCATAGAGTTGGAAGAGACCGCATGACCCATCCAGTCTAACCCCCCACCAAGAAGCAAGAAAATTGCATTCAAAGCACCCCCAACAGATGGCCATCGGGCCTCTGTTTAAAAGCTTCCAAAGAAGGAGCCTCCACCACACTCCGGGGCAAAGAGTTCCACTGCTGAATGGCTCTCACAGTCAGGAAGTTCTTCCTAATGTTTACATGGAATCTCCTTTCTTGTAGTTTGAAACCATTGTTCCGTGTCCTAGTCTCCAAGGAAGCAGAAAACAAGCTTGCTCCCTCCTCCCTATGACTTTCTCTCACGTATTTATACATGGCTTTCATGTCACCTCTCAGCCTTCTCTTCTTCAGGCTAAACATGCCCAGCTCTTTAAGCCACTCCTCATAGGGCTTGTTCTCCAGACCCTTGATCATTTTAGTGGCCCTCCTCTGGTATGGCTTTGCTTGGTGACTGGTTTTACCCCGTACACCAGTGGTTCTCAATATGTGGTCTCCAGGTATTTTGGCCTATAACTCCCAGAAATTCCAGCCAGTTTACAAACTGTTAAGATTTCTGGGAATTGAAGACCAAAACATCTTGGGACCCACAGGTTGAGAAGCACTGCTGTACACCATTTCCAGCCATGTGAACAAGCACACTGCTTTCTCCCACACCTATTCCTCTTCTATCTCCCCTCTGGCTTCCTGCACTACTTTCAACTCTTATGAGTTCACACTGTCCTTTACTACAAATGTAAAATATTGCTTCCTCCTGTAGCCTGCGCCCAAGTATGCAGGGGAAGCACATTGAGAAAAGAGGAACAAATATTGTTTGGGGAATCTTGTCACAGTGAAAATTACCAGCTCTTGTTTTCAAACGCTTACGCTTTCTAACCAAATAACAATGATAATTGAGAAACACTCTCATTAGGTCTGCTCTCACACAGCTCTCTCCCCCGTGGCTGCCACACACCACAGACTTCTTCACTTTTAGTTACCTCAATATTCCAGACACACGAGGAATGATATAAGGCAGAATAAACCTTGCCCACTTTCTTGGGGTCCTTGACATCCCACACATACAAGCTGTGATCGTTGTAAACACACGACAGCCACTGGTTGTTGGGGTCAAAAGTCAAGGCAATGGTATCTGGATACTTGGCATCGGTCACATTAGAAAACAGGCGGCTGTGAATTGATAGCACAATTGTTAATTGTCATACTGTTAATGGATTTATTAGAAGGTAAAGGGAATTGACAAAGTAAAATCAGGAAGTGCAAGAATGCCTGCTTGTTTTGGCAACTACCAACTATTTCCAATGACACAAATGGATATAGTTATTTACATTAATTAAAAAAACAGTGGGTAACAACTTACTATAAATTGTATAATAGGGGTGTGGAAACTCTGGTTCTCCAGATGTTTGGCACACAACTCTTATAATCCTTTACCACTAGATAAGCTCAATGGAGTTGATGAACTGTACGGCAAAACATCTGTAGAGCTAAAGCTTCCCCACCCCTGTTGTAACACAGGTCAATCTTGTTATCATCATAGTTCAAACAGGGTGGAGGGTTAAGAGCGTACAGCTGGCCTACAATTTGCATACTGAGTTAATGACAGAGTTGACATCCACATTGGGACTCTAATCTCCTTGTACACAAAAAGACAGGCTTAGGTTCCTAAATCAATTCTAGCTGAATATTTGATCTGCCAGACACAGTTCCTGTGGCATTATGCTCCTCTGAAGAAAGGTGATGACAGCCCATATTGGGGGCCCATTCTCGAAATGAACATGAGCTTTCAAATTATGTTGAATGTAGTTGAAGTTTTATCAAAGGAATTCTTGTGTGACTTGAATTCCTCCCTAGTGCTCTGTGGACTGATGCTGCCCTCATAAAAAGTCTCAGAACTTTTCACTGAATGTTCGAATCAACCATGTTGTCTAGACAAAAGGATTGGCACATAGAATTAAAAACAAATAAATACTTTTGCAATCCTGGAGAGCTTTTTGTTGTATTTAACAGGAGACATGTCAGAAAGGAAAGAAACAACACAACTTTTCCTCCAGCTAAAATAATCAAGTATGGCAAGTTTTGAGGCATTTTTCTTCCCCAACTATTATTTATTTATTTATTTAAAGCATCTATATCCTGTACTATCTCACCTCCGCAGAGGGAATCAGGGCGGCTAACAACTGACACAGGACAGTGCCCACAATAAGAACTAGTCTACAACCACTATTAAAATGCCTCTCTCTTTCTGTTACTACAAAATATCACTTTCCTTCTTCATAGATGTTTAAGAAATCAAATCACTCACAAACCCATTGTTTTCTGGCCAGTTATCTGATACATACACATGCTAAAGCCAATTAAACAAGCCTTTTCAAAACAGTGGCCTGCTCATACACATGAAGGGGAAGGGAAATTTTAATAAATGTATACATGACCCAGAGACAATATGGTGAAGATGTTGCTTCTTAGGGCACCAGTAATTGACAAACACAAACAGTAACCTAAGATTATCCTTTTCCTAAAGATTTCTAATCATTCCTTTGATAATTATCCTTCTAACAGTAACACTAACAGAATAAGGGAACAAGCTCCATGCCTTGCCCTTACATTTTCCTTCTCTTCATTCTTCACCTCACTTCAGATTGCCCATTCTTTGCTCTGTGTAGAGAATGATCTTTGCATTTCCAGTACTACTCATCTCCGTAAACAGAAACAAAGATTATATTTTCTCCTCATTAACAGCACTCTTGAACTTCTCTTATGAACTTACTCAGAGGGGACAGGACCATTCCCATTACTTTATAGGTGTCTAGGGCAGAACATAGCTTATAAGGCAGGGTTCTTAAGTTAATCATTCCGGATCCAAATTTCCATTCCCCAAAACACTTACTAAAATTTATTTATTTCCAACATTTCTACCCCGTCCTTCCCAACCCCCAAAGGGGGACTCAGGGTGGCTTACAAAGGCAGCAATTCAGTGCCGACAACATACAACACTTTATGTACAACATAAAGTGTTGTACAACATTATATGTACAACATTATACAAAAGATAAAACATTTAAAACATTATTATTATTATTATTATTATTATTATTATTATTATTATTATCATGTAGCCGAATCAAAGACTGATTTACCCTATTTCTCAAACTTTTACCCTATTTCTCAAGCTTTTCTCTGTGCATCTCATAATGGGGTAATTTTACTCCCCTCACAGATTTGTTTGTACATAGAGACACTTGTTTGTGTGCATATATGTATGTATACATGGGCAGAACCAAAGGGAAAAAAACTCAAAGCCAAAAGCAAAAGATTATTGAATCCTTTCTCCTGCATGAAATATCATCATAATGAATGTATTGTACAGTTTAGCATGTGGTATTTAATAATACATTCACTAAGAACTACAGAATGAATACCAATTCACTAAACAAGCTTACATTTATGAAATAGAAAAGGAATATTTTATGATCTCAGAAAATGATAAACCATAAATCTTTACATCTAGAGAAAAACAGACTAGCAACAGGGCATTGCATCACCCACCAATTTAAAAAGCAGCTAAATATACAGAATAATGGAATCTCAAACAAGGACTGAAGGAATACTATTTAAAATCGAAAAGATGGAACAACTGAAGGGGTGACATTTTAAGAACTGGCAAACCAAAAAAATGTAACAGAGATTGAACTGAAAGCCAAATAATTCATTATGCTGGGGGCTGTCACGAGTACACAAAAAGTGCATTACATGAATTAGTTATAATGACAACTGCATGATTTCCACTTCCTTTAAAATGAAAAAACACCCATGTAGCTATTACTGCAATAGCTTCCAAGCTTTAGAACCATGTGATTTTTTGCTGCTTGGAAAGAAATGACAAGCATTTTTCTTTTTCAAGAAGAGCCAGCATACAATGTTTCCTTGATCAAGTGCTCCAACAGCAGGAGGTTTAGAAGTAAAACAAGTAGATTTCATGTTCTGAGTTTAGTTTTCCGTTTCAAACTGATCAAATTTCAAGATATCACTGTCATTAGTTTTCATGCTGTCTTCTCAGTAAACATTTGGCTAAGCATGAGAAAAGTACAATTCAACAACCAAAAAGAAAATTAAGTGAGAGAGAAAAGGGAACAACTTTAGGGGAAAGAGGCAAACATTCCCAAGTCAGCTCAAACAACATAACTGTTTAGACTATTTAAGTATGATGCTGCCATTTATCCTAATACCCTCTATGCCAGGTATGGGCAAACTCAGGCCCGGGGGCCAGATGCGACCCCTTGGGCTCTTTTCTCAGGCTCTCCTCTCTCACACCATCCTATCCTTCCTTCTTTCTCTCTTTCCTCCTTCACTTCCTCCTTTCCTTCCTTCCTTCCTTCCTTCCTTCCTTCCTTCCTTCCTTCCTTCCTTCCTTCCATCTTTCTACCCATCCATCCACCCAACCATCCATCCATCCATCCATCCTAGGCCAGAGATTTAGCACAGCTTGTAAATCATCAGCAACTATAAGATCCATCAACCGAAAGGTTGCAAGTTCAAAGCCCCGGGTCTGCGTGAGCGGCCAACCGTCAGCTTTGCTCATTGTTTACCTAAGCAGTTCATAAACAGCTTTAGCTGTAATTAGAGAAATTAGGTACTGCTAAAAGCGAGGGAGGTGTTTTACAAGGTCATAAAGAAAAAGAAGTTCAGAAAATGCTGGAATGAGGAAGTCCTGACTGGCGGCTCTTCGTCATAGAGGATGGAGCAACAGCACCCCCTGTGGACTGGAGCCCAACCGTCCATGCCATTGAAACATCCTTCTGTGCTGTCTGTCTGTGTACTGTCTATACAAACGGGATTGAATGTTTGCCATGTATGTGTACTTGTGATCCACCCTGAGTCAATATAAATAAATAAATAAATAAATAAATTATTATTATTATTATTATTATTATTATTATTATTATTATTATCCTTCCTTTCCACCCTTTCGTCCTTCCCTCCTTCTCTCTTTCCTTCCTCCTTACCTCCCTCCCTTCCCTCCCTTTCTCCTTCCCTTCCTTCCTTCCCTCCCTCCCTTCCCTCTCTCCCTTTTTCTCCTTCCTTTCCTCTTTCTTCCCTCCTTCTTTCCCTCTCTCCCTCTTTCTCCTTCCTGCCTTCCCTTCCTCCTTTTCATCCTTCCTTCCGTCTCTCTTTCCTTCCTTCTTCCCTTTCTTCCTTCCATCACCGGGCTACCAGCCCTCCTAACAGGCAGTGCTAACATGTGGCCCCCAAGTTAGAACGTCTGCCCATGCCTACTCTATGCCGAACCAACTCAACCTAGCATCCTTAACATGTGATAGATTGCCATACTATGATTGCCATACCCATTGGCTATGCTAGCAGAGGGTGATGGAAACTGCAGTTCTGCATATCTATACAACACTAGATTTGGGGAGACCAGTCATTGCCAACTAAGAAAAAACCTCTACAGTGAAGAGATATTTCACATCTCTGACATTTGACTTGCAGATACCACGAATATACTTTGTTGCTGAGCTATGGCACCTCTTGGATAAAATAAGAAACTGAACAACATTTCAAGGATCCCAGAGATTTCTGTGAGCTAAAGTCCAAAACATAACTTTTCCAAGCTATAAATAAAACAGGGCCAATAATATAAAGACATACAACATTTGAGGACATTATGAAAAACACAAACCCACAGATTTTTGCAATGTGAAGAATTGCTTCTTTCCCTACCTGGCTTCTGTGATGCTGGCAATGTCTGTCCCAAGGAAGTGTGGTTTCGGGAGCGTGGTCACAAAGTGAAGGTTGGAAGGGTTAAAAATCCGTACAGTGCCATCCGCGCAGCCACAGAAGATGTAATCATGGTTAACAGAGATGCAGTTGGCCACAGTAGTCTAAGGGTAAAAGATAACGAAATTAGAGGCATTGTTCCTAAAGGCACAAGGAAATAAGACAACAAAAGTCAGGAAGAAGTAAAGGAGGAAAGGAGGAAAACATAAAGCGAATGAAATGAAGCCACTTCATGAAGTGAAGAGTTTAAAAGTCCTTTCTAAGTCAATCTTTCTCAAATGATAGTTTCTTGTAACTTCTAGGGCAACTATTATTAGCATTATTTCTGTTTCCGTTGTTTAGGCAATGCTGTCAAAACATTACCACCCCGTGTCCAACGGGGAATACATCAATAGATGAGGTTTAAAAGCATCCCCACTAAAAATATTTAGAAACAAAGCTCAAAGGGGAAGAGTCACATGAAAGCACCCCAACTGCTAGTGAGTTCTCATGTATAATGGTTATAGGCAGGCAGGAAACCAGACGGGATTAGAGTATAAAAGGAAGGACATCACTGATTGACTGAGACATTTGACATTGCAACATTATAGGTTGCACACAAAACCATTATTTTACAATATGGTTATCCAGAGAGGAAGCCGAACATTAGTCTTGCCAAAACTCAGCCCTATTCCACGTTCATTTAAATTCATTTAAATTTAAATTCATTTAAATTCTACTGTAATTTGCAAGACAAATGATGACAATGGGAGGCACAATGAGAAATGATGTGCTGAAGTCATGACTTTATTGTGACTTACTGTGAAGCTGTCTGTGTTCTAAGTAAAAGATAAGAGGTGATTTCAGTGCAGAAAGGAATAGAAAGAGGAAAGAGAGAGACATTCAGCACAGAGAGTTGCTGTTGTGCTTTGCTTTGTTTTTAATCCCTACTAACATTTGAAAAGGCAGAAAAAGTTTTCAGTCTGGCACAGAAAAAAAATAGCCTTGCGACATATGTCATTAGGAAACTACATAGGGTCAATTGGCATCACTAAAGTCAGTTGGTTCAGTGAGAGGATATAGACCGCAGCATAGCCTTGCTACTTCTATCACCCTTCCCATACAAATTTGAAACCTGGTACCAATAAAGGAAGGCTAGATGAAATAACCTTTTTGAATCTACTTCAGGAGTTAAATAACATTAACGTTTTATAAACAAGTTGTTTTTATTTCAAGAAAAAATGCAGTAATATCCTGTTGAAACAGCTGATTCAAACAACAGTCATGAAATATTTATAAGATTCCCTTAGCCACAATCAGAAACCCATTTCGGACAATGTCATGCCTTAATGATGGGAGCTTTAAAGCAAGGGTGGGCAAAGCCTACCCTATAGGCCACATGTAACCCTTGGGATCCCCTACTAAAGATCTATCCTACCCTCTGCCGACTCCCCAGTTCTTTTAAAATGGGGAGGGGGAGATTTTTCAGGTTTGGGTGAGTTTTTTCTCCCTAAATGGGCTCAAATTGCCTAAAATGTAGCATTTCCCCCCTAGCACTGCAAAGCCACCCAAATCACCCCAAAACACCAAAAGAGAAGAAAAAATCACCCAAAATAGTGGCTACCTCTGTTTTAAAGAGTAAAAAGTCTCTATGCTTTTTCTCAAATGCTTTATTCTAAAACAAAATGAATTTTCAGGATTAAGCAACTCTCATACCTAAAGCAGATACAGCAGAGACATACCTGTATCTTTAAATCCAAATATGCTCCTTTCACAAGTAAAGTAGAAAGTAGGGATAAATTTTCAATGGCCAAAGAGCCATGCATGTGGTGAGGAATAACCGAACACTCTGTGGGAACCTTTCTTCCAGTTTAGGTGTATCTCCCAGTTAATTTCACTCCCAATAGCTAAGCTCAACTGGGAAAAGATGCCTCAGTGTGATAGATAATAGGAGCAGGACTAGCGGGATGAAATGTAGGCTCAGCATACACTGACAACATACTCTCTTAGACCCTCTACTTTGTTCCTTTGTGCACATAGGGTACATACTTTGCATTTTATTTATTTACAATTTTGCTTATTTTATTGCACTCCAGGGCTTCCTAGGCAGGCTCCCACTAGTGCAGTGGCCAAACAAGACCTAATTTCATCCCAACAAGCTGCATCATGTTCTTTAGATCACAGCTTGGAAATGTTACATTGATGGAGAGCAACTTTCAGAATCTATTGGCAATGAAGTCTGAGAATTGTAGTTAAAATGTTTCTGAGTTCTGCTCAGTCCTTGAAATATCCCTATCCACCCTCCACAAACAGAGGTCCAAGGAGGCAGATTCAGAACTTACCCTCAGCTCCACCCACTTGTCCAGCAACCTCTTTTCATTGAATTCACAGAGGAGACCTGAAGACGTGATACAGAAAGTGCTGTCGGCTTTTTTCCCCCTCCCACATGCTACATCTGTGAAGAAATTGTTCCTCAGTTCTCCAAGCAAACCAGAACGCCCGAGCAGGGGGACTGTTGCATTCACCTGGCAAAAGAGAACATGTTGAGATTGCTATGTCTAATAAGCATGAATTGTTTGATGAGAACTACTCAGACACAGTCACAGAGGTAGCAAAATGTTAGAGGAAAACGCACTTTTTCCATTTCTGTCCATTTCTACACAGAAGATTATCAACTGCTGAATTGACAAAGAAACAGCCTTAGGCATAAGGCAAAGTCGTGTGGATATGTTTTTGGTCTGGGTGGGTTGGGTTATTTGTCCTGGTCTAGTGTTTACGGCATTGAATGTTTGCCAATATTTGTTGTTAACCACCCTGATTCCTCTCGGGGAGATAGGGCAGAGTACAAATAAAATTTTTATTATTATTATTTTGGAACCAACCTGTTATTGCTCTTGATTGTTCTTACCCAACACCTGTATCAACTTCCCACAATTTTGTGATTTTCGGGTGTGTTAAACTACAGTTTTAGGAAAGACTGGGACTCATTTATCATTTTCTTAAAGCAAAGATGAGAAGCTTCAACTATTGGTTTTCTGATTTAGAAGAGTGTTGTAAAAAGGAGAAGGGAGGATATATAGTGATATTTTAATGGAGCAGAAAATAAGAAGGAAAAGATCAACAGGCAACAAATGTTGCTAATTGTTTAGTATGCATTTGTGTGGGTTTGTATCTGTGGGTTTGTATAGGTTAGGACGATTAGATGTAGTTCTGTTAGTTGTTTATTTATTTATTTATTTATTTACTGCATTTGTTGACCGCCGTTCTCAGCCCTAGGGCGACTCACGGCGGTGTACAACATATAAAAAGTTTACAATAAGACAATATCACAACACAATATCAACATAACTATCAATAATACAATAATACAATTACACTAAATCATCCGCGTCGTCTCATCGTAGAATCATAAACCAATCTCGTTATCCATATTCCGTTCCAATCATTACCAGCTAATATAGCACTCAGTTAAATGCCTTCTCAAAAAGCCAGGTCTTTAGGCTCTTACGGAAAGCCATAAGGGAGGGCGCCTGTCTGACGTCAACAGGGAGGGTGTTCCACAGCCGGGGGGCCACCACCGAGAAGGCCCTTTCTCTCGTCCCCGCCAGACGTGCCTGTGAGGCAGTTGGGATCGAGAGAAGGGCCTCCCCAGACGATCTCAAGGCCCTCGTGGGCTCATAGGCCGAGATGCGGTCCGAAAGGTATTTTGGGCCGGAACCGTTTAGGGCTTTGTAGGACAACACCAGCACCTTAAATTGGGCCCAGTAGCAGATCGGCAGCCAGTGGAGCTGGGACAACAAGGGCGTGTGCTCCCTGCGTCCCGCTCCTGTTAGTAACATGGCTGCCGCGCGCTGGACTAGCTGAAGCTTCCGGGCCGTCTTCAAGGGCAGCCCCACGTAGAGAGCGTTGCAGTAGTCAAGGCGGGATGTGACCAGAGCGTGTACTACCGTGGCCAAGTCAGACTTCCCGAGGTACGGGCGCAGCTGGCGCACGAGCCTGAGCTGTGCAAATGCTCCCCTGGTCACTGCTGAAACCTGGGGATCCAGGCTCAGCGATGAGTCCAGGATCACACCCAAGCTGCGAACCTGCGCCTTCAAGGGGAGTGCGACCCCATCCAGCACAGGCTGTAACCCTATACCCTGTTCGGCCTTGCGACTGACCAGGAGTACCTCTGTCTTGTCTGGATTTAATTTCAGTTTGTTCGCCCTCATCCAGACCATTACAGCGGCCAGGCACCGGTTCAGGACCTCGACAGCCTCCTTAGTAGCAGGTGGAAAGGAGTGACAGAGTTGGACATCATCTGCGTACAGATGACACCGCACCCCGAAACTCCGGATGATCTCACCCAGCGGCTTCATGTAGATATTAAACAGCATGGGGGACAGTATGGAGCCCTGTGGAACCCCACAGGTCAAAGGCTGTGGTGTTGAACAGGAGTCCCCCAATAACACCTTCTGGGTACGACCTCCAGAAATGACTGGAGCCACTGCAAAACAGTGCCCCCAAGACCCATTTCCGCAAGGCGCCCCAGAAGGATACCGTGGTCGACGGTGTCGAAGGCCGCTGAGAGGTCCAGGAGCACCAACAGGGACACACTCCCCCTGTCTAGCTCCCGGCGCAGATCATCCACTAAGGCGACCAAGACCGTCTCGGTACCATGTCCCGGTCTGAAACCAGACTGTGCCGGATCCAGAATCTCCGTGTCTCTCAAGAATACCTGGAGTTGTGAGGCCACCACGCTTTCCATGACTTTGCCCAAAAAGGGGAGATTGGAAACAGGCCGAAAGTTGTCAAATTTAGTGGGATCCAATGATGGTTTCTTCAACAGCGGTTTTATAATAGCTTGTTTTAAGCTCGCTGGAATTTCGCCTTCCCGAAGGGAAGCGTTGACCACCACCGTTACCCACTCAGCCAATCCCCCTCTGGCCTCCTTCAGAAGCCAGGATGGGCAGGGGTCTAGGATGGACGTGGTGGGCCTCATTCCTCCAAGTATCTTGTCCACATCCTCGGGCTTCACAAACTGAAAAGAATCCATCAAAATAGGACAAGCAGGTGCTCGTGTCACGTCCTCAGAGACTGCATTTAACATGGTGTCCAGCCCAGAACGGATCAAGGCGACTTTGTCTGCAAAGAACCGAGCAAATGCTTCACAGCGCGTGGCCGAATTGTCAGGGCTCCCGCCTGAGGTGGTGGGAGTTAAAAGACCTCTGACAATCCGGAACAACTCCGCCGGACGGTTCTTTGCAGACGCAATAGTGGCCGCAAAGAAGTTTTCTTTGCGGCTTTTATTGCCGCAGCATATGCCCTTAGAAAGGACACAAACCGTGTTCGATTTGACTCGCTCGGGTCCGAACGCCACACGCTCTCTAGTTCCCTCTTCCTTCGCTTCATCACTGCCAGCTCCTCGTGAACCAAGGAGCTGGTTTAGCTCGGCTACTTGAGAGGGGACGTTCTGGAGCAATCGTGTCTATTGCCCTAGTCATCTCCCCATTCCAGAGGGACACCAGGGCATCAACAGGATCACCAACCGAGGTGGCGGGAAAATCCCCAAGAGCCGTCAGGAATCCATCCGGATCCATAAGGCTCCTGGGGCGGACCAACTTAATGGGTCCTCCACCTCTGCGGAGGTTAGGGGGTGCAGTGAGTCTAAAGCTGACCAGATGGTGGTCGGTCCATGGCAACGGAGAGATGGACAACTCCTCAACACCGCCACCTTCTCCCATCCCTGGCAGAAAACCAAGTCCAATGTATGTCCAGCACAGTGGGTGGGGCCAGATATTTGTTGGGACAGCCCCAATGGTTGCCATGGCAGACATGAAGTCCTGAGCCGCTCCTGTGAGGGTCGCCTCAGCATGGATATTGAAGTCTCCCAGCACGAGAAGCTGTTGAGACTCCAACGCCAGGCTCGAGACTACCCCCGCTAGCTCAGGTAGGGAGACTGTAGTGCAGCGAGGTGGATGATACTCTAACAGAATCCCTATTCTGTCCCGGTCACCCACCCTCAGGTGGACGCATTCAAAATTTGTGGTCTGCGGGATGGGACTCCTGGTCAGATGGATGGAATCGCTATAGACCACTGCGACCCCGCCTCCCCATCCTCCGGATCTCGGTTGGTGCTGCATGGAGAAGCCTGGAGGACAAAGCTGGGTTAGATTCATGCCTCCAGGTTCATCCAACCAGGTCTCCGTGATGCACGCCAGATCTGCCCGCTCATCCAGGATTAAATCCTGGATAAAGGTCGTTTTTCCGTTGACAGATCTGGCGTTCAACAGCACCATCTTCAGTCCGGAGGGCCCGCCAACCTGGTTACACCAATTTACCATAGGAGACCGGTTTGGGATTATTAATGTAGATAAGCGGTCCGAATTAAGCCGAATTTGAGGTCTCCTTTTCCCGCATCTCCCCCTCCCCACCACGACCTCTATGGGGGCCCCTTGGCTAGTGGAACACCTCCCCTCCTCCGTGCCGCAGTCCAGATCCAAGGTCTTAATTTCTGTTTCGTTAGTAGTTGCTTGGTTTGTTGGCGTTTTTTCTTGCCAATTCCCTCGATTCCCTTTCTCCCCCCTCCCCACCTCATTGTTACCCACGGATTCCAGCCCACTTCGTCCCTTGCCCCTTCCACCAGTCACTAATATCAGGGACAATACAAGTAGGGGAATGGGGAACCACATGGGTAGGAATAGTACACTTCAGTGAGATTAATAGTAGTAAAGTGTAGAAAACGTCTCAGCTGCGATAGGTAGTTCCTAAAGTGCAAGAGTCTTAAAGTGCGAATACAGTGGACGTCACAGCTACGTGTCACTAGGGCAATTCATAAAGTGCAGGATCTTAAAGTGCAACAAAATACCCAAGTTTAGCTCTGAGCGCTATCTAAAGTGCAGCATGGAGGGATAGGGAGAGGGAGCGTAAGTGCTAGTTCGATTTAGCAGCAAAAGAGGCAGGCGCCTTAAAGTGCTATATTAAGTTCTTAGTACCAATTAGCAGCAGGGTAGACTGGAACACTAAAGTGCTGTATTAAGCAATATGTAAACACAGTATTAATGAGTTGGGAGTAAACTCGGTTGGTAAAGTTGTTATGATTCAAGATGTAATCTATGGACGGCTGATATAAAACAGCGAAATGAGTCTCTCAGTCTTCCGGAGGTGGTCAACACGGCGGTGGTCAGCACAAGTTGGTCTACAATATCAGTCTGCACAGAGAGGTCAGCACAAAAAACTACAATATCGGTCAACACAGAAAGGTCGGCACAAAAAGGTCTACACACGGCTAGCCCAGATGGTAAAAGGCCCAGATGGTAAGGGATGGTAAAGGCCCAGGCGGCCAGGGCCCATAGCAGTCCTCGTGGCACAGATGGTAAAGGCCCGGATGGAAGGAGCAGCGGTGTTGGGCCCAGATGGTAAAAGCCCAGGTGGTAAGGGCCCAGTTGAAGCTGCGCTCGCAGCGCAGCGGCCTGCTTGGTGAGGCCCAGGTGGTAAAGGCCCCAGCTGGGGCAGCGCTCGCAGCGTTCGCGGCGGCTTCGGCTGCAACAGAAGGCCCCACCTCGCTCTCCAGCACTCCGCGGAGGGAAGGATCTCGGCAGCGGACCGCCCAGGAAAAGCCCAGATGTTAAAGTGGTAAAGGCCCAGGCGGCCAGGGCCCGATTCGCGGTGCAGCGGCTCGGCTGGCAGAGGCCCAGACAATGGGGGCCCAGCTGGAGCAACGTTCGCGGCGCTCGCTTGCAAAAGGCCTCACTCGCGGCGGCAGTCAGCCCCACTCGCAGCGGCAGTCGGCCCCAACTCGCTTCTCCCCAGCCCTCCGCGGAGGGGACTCTTGGTGGGGTGGCGGTCCGCCTCAACCAGGGTGACCAAGGCGACAGGGAGCAGCAACACAAGGCCACGAGGCAGCAAGATCCAATCAGCTGATGGAGCAGCAGTGACGGGCGGCTCCGGCGGGTGGCTCGGCTGCAAAGAGGGAACGCTCCTGCAAGGCCGCAGATGGAGGCGGCCTCGGCGCTCCACCTCTTCCCTCAGTGTTTCACCACCGGGCTCCAGCAGTTGCCCCCGTATCGAGGCCGCAATGGCGGCGGAACAGCAGCACCACCTCCCCGGCGACCTCAGCGGCAGCTCGGCCGTGGCTCGACTCCCCACAGTGCCCTGAATGGAGTCTCAGCACTCACCAAGTGAGGATTTGAGGGCTTAAGGTCTTAATAGGGGAGGGAGGGAGGGAGCCGGCCGCGTTGGGATGGCGGCGCTCCCTTGTCTTCCTCCGCCTTCCCGGCTCTTTCTCCTTGGCTCCTCGGCTCCCCCAGGTCACTCGGGCCTCTACAGGACCCGTGATGTTCTGGTCTCTCTCTCCTCAGTTTGAGGGTGGTCGTGGGGGGAGGGGGTAGTCCGGATTCCCCCGGATTGATTTATTCAATCGGCGCAGCTCAGCGTTCTGCTGCTGACCGCCATACCGGAACCGGAAGTCTTGTTCTAGTCTAGTTTTATATACCAGAAAAACAAACATTTTTGTTTTGTTATTTATGGGGCCCATTGTTCTTGCTTTCTGTAACTTTTTTCCTGCATCTGTTGCTGTACATTTGTATTTCTGCACTTTTGAATAAAAGTGATCTATTAAAGAAAATAAATATTACTGGGGAAAACACTTTCTTTTGTTGCTGGCCAGTTCTACAAACAAGGGTAGCAATGGGCTAATTGCATATCAGCTTTTGAACTAACAAAGAAACTGCCACATCAGAAACAATGAGTTAGTGCTCTTGCTGATTCTTCCATAGTACCTATATCAATCTCCCACAATCTTGTGCACTTCAGGTGTGTTGGACTTCAATTTCCACCAGGTACATAAATGGAGGGCACCAGCATTCAGAGAGCTGACCAGCAAATGTACAGGTTGTCATCATGTGTCTTACCTTTGAAGTTTTACTGTCATCCAGGTACCAAAATTTGATGTGTCGGTTTCCAGCTGTGACAAAATAGCTGCAGTCCTCAGAGAAAGAAACAGCTGTCACTTTGCTTGAGACCTTATTGGCTGCCACTACAATGTTTTTCTGGAGAAGCAAAAGAAAAGCAGATTTCACCTGAATATTGGGAACAGCATCCTAATGGTAAGAGCTGTTCAGCAGTGAGATAGTCTGTCTAGGAGTGTGGTGGAGTCTCTTTCTCTGGAAGTTTTTAAACAGAGGCTGGATGCCAAAACAGGGTTCAACTGGGTGGCCTTTGTGGTTTTTTCCAGCTATATGATTCTACATTCAAACAAGTCAATCCTTCTGCTAAATTAGGAGGTTCCACCTGCAAGTTTAAGCTATACATAACAAATCAAACACATACCCTACTTATGAATCTAAGGTGCAAAGAGAAAATAAGTGAGAGAAGCATACCCTCTTCCCCCAGCTCAACACTTTCAGTGTGCTTCCTATTAAAATCCCTATAAAGATATGCAACCAAGACTCCCGCTTTTCCTTTTTATTCGCATATAATTAATATATGCTTAAGGACTGTGCAGACACACTTGTCTCTAAATGGCCTACACGCATCCATGCTGTGACAAACATTTCCTATGCCTTTGTTCAGCAGTCTCATTCCAATTATTCATCATAACTAATTCTTTTGAAATAATGTTGAAAGGAGATGAAATATTCAGAGAAATCCTCAGGAGCAGAGTTGACTTCCAGAATTTCCCTTGCCAAAGAGGAGGGGGAAATGTCTTTTATCGCATCAATGGTAGCACAAAAAACAAAACCATTTCTAAAATCCAAATGAATAAATCTCGCTACACTACAATCTCTGCTAATGTTGAATAGCTATTTTGGAAAACTACATTCGAAAACTTTCCCCAAAATACTACAATGAAGAAAGTCAGTAAACCTACACCTTATAGTCTGGTATTTTCTTTCTCCATATACAGGAGCAAGAATTTTGAGAAGTAATGTTTTCATAGCTCTAACTCATGCTGAAAAGGCCATAGCCTTGAAGGGATCAACAGGAGAGGTGTGGACTTCCATCATCCATCACACCAATAATCCAGCCAAGAGGGAAAATCTGAACATATATTCTGGTTTTTAGGATCCTAAAAGTGAACTGCATTTCTGAGAATAATTCATTAGAATTTGGACACAAATAGATTAATATGAGCAGATGAGAGACAGCAAAACAGTGGAAGAAACTAAATTGTCCATGAACACAATTGACACAAGAGTGGACGAAACAGTAGGTTATAAATATAAACATAAATATGGTGTTTCTCCAAACTGGGATTTTAGTTCTATAAGTAAAAGGATAGTGGGAATAAAGTGTGAGATTGTCCATTAACAGGTTTTACAGAGATTGAGTCATTTCATACTGTGCCAGCCTCCTCTTGCCATAAGGGACATTGGGGTCTTGAACCTTCCCATGTTGACTTGTGGACCACAATATCACAATCTAACACAATCATGCTCTACAAAGAAACAACTTATTATTATCAGTTAGGCAAATACATTATCCTTTTAGCCTCTCTTTGCACTAACCATATTTATGCATGAATTCCCACATGTAACTTTAACAAACAAACAGATGCAAAACTGAACACATTTCAAATGTTTGCCAGAAAATAAACTACACTTGGGTTTAAACAAAATTGCCTGTTTATTTGGAGTTCTGATCAAAGAATCAAAGGAATCCCTCTCCCTGGAGAAGTTTCTGCAGTTAAAACTAAAGAGCCACTGAAGGCTTTCTTTCTGAGTATCACAGGGAACAACCATTTTTTTAAAGGGATGTCAGGAAAAATAAACAATTCTTTTGTGGATTGGGAAGTTGCATATACAAATAATTATCCTTTATCATCTCAAGGAGGTCTCAGTAAGAATATATAACACTTTTTTCAGACAGAAAATATCAGAGATTCTTTCAGGCATGGAAGTCAAAATACAGGAAGCAAGCTTCTGCATCAGAAAAGGGAAAGCCCAGATCTCCGCAATGCAGGATACAAACCATACGTACTGCTGCACGTGTGGGGTCAAATTTCACTAACTATCATTCTTGTTGTTCTGCAGGGTGTCCCAAAATACATAGGGAAAATGGGAAATTGTAGCTGTCTGTACTTTCATTTACAAAATATTGATTGCAAAAATTTACAAAATATTCTCCACATCTCTCTCTACGCACAAAGTCTTCTCCCCCACATATAAATAAAAATATAATATAAAATATAAGTTAGTTCATTTTTCCTATGTATGGAGACTTTTGAGAAACCCTGTAGAACCCCACTGTCAGTCAGTGCAGACTATCTGAGGTAGCTGACTCAATATACACACAAAAACCTAAGAAGGAAAATCCACAGATAATTTAGCATATTCAAGGGACTTGCAAGAGTAGAGGGTAGAAATTGAGGGTATCCTATAAGAAGATATGGCAGGCTTGCACAGAAATTATTGCAACCCAACCTGCTTATGCCAACAAAAATCTGATTACAGTTTTACCTTCCATGACCAAACATTGACTATCATGTCATGCTGGTAACCCACTGAGACGATGTACTTAGAGCTCGGGGAAAACGCCACACAAGCCACTCCATACTTGTGTTCTTGAAGCTCAGCCACTTGGGTACGTTCGGCAACATCCCACACACGAACAGCAGGCATGTGCCCGCTCTGCAAAGAGAAAAAAGAGAAACACCAAGACCAGTGATTACTCAAAAGTCAGTTGCAACACCCTCCACCTACATACACTTGTTACCTTCTATCAAGTGAGCATGATAAGCCAGGTATGCCAATTTTTACACATTAATTTTCAGCTAAATATAACAAAAGATTTAGAAAATGCACAGTGTGAGCTGGCAGTACTAAATTCAAGTGGACCTGTTATGTTGAATGCAAGTTAGAAAATCTATAGGAGGGGAAGTAAGTCTTCCATAAAATAATCATGTTACTTTGCAGAGAGCCCTTAAGACTAGGGAGAGGGAGGCTATGCAACTCCTTTCCTTCCTGAGATAAAATAAATCTCCCCTGAAGATGCAAAGTTTGTGGAAATCTGGAACTAAATCCTGTTTATCCCTCCTTGCTGGGCTTCCAGGAAGAAAAGTAGAAATACAGGTTCTGCTCTTCTTAGCTGCCCCTTATGGCACTCACTCAGCCTATGAACAGAGAAGACAATAGAAGGACAGATATTATTACTGAAACATAGCCCTTTGAGAGTAAAAAGGCTTGGATTCACATGCATAGATAAGCATTTTCCAGCCTGGTGCCATCTTGGACACACTGGATGGCACTAGGCTGGCTATGGTAGGTGGTGAAGACCATCACTTCTGGGTGACGTTATGTTGAAGAATGCAGGTCTAAATTGGAAAAGTTCCTTTTTTGGACGATAGCACTAATAATCTCTCATGTTGGCACAGCTACTGGATTGATCAGCAATTTTGATTCTGGAAGATGTTTTCTAGAAAGGGAACTTTCCCAAGCTGTAATCCAGATCTTTCACATATTCAGTATTTGTTGGTTGCTATTCCTTGTATGTTGCCTTCTCGTTCCACACTGGAATTTGCAGGGCCATTTTTTAACAAGAACCAACAATCTAAGACTATTGTTTTATAGATTATCAGTTTGATCCTGCTGAATCCATGGAATTCCTGGGTTTTTCAAGCTCCAGCATATCATAATAGACTAAGATACAGGATAACAAGTTCAGATCTGGGTGGGTGGTATGGAAATTTTGCTAAATCTTAGCAACAGTCAACACTTGATCTTGTACTGATAAGGAGAGCCTCAAACACCAACCTACTGAGATGCCAGAGGAGTGAAAATAGACGTCTTTGTAAAGCTGCTCTAAAATATGTTTAGAAGGAATATGCCTAACAAGCAAAGAAAAGGCAACGAGAGCATTACTTATTATTAATTATTATTGACTATCATTACTTATTACTTAAAGATTGTAGACACATTTATTTATTTACTTATTTTAAAAGGAGTAGTCCTCGAGGACATTAAAAACCACTAAAAAATGGAATAAAGTTTTAGGAAATCCTGGTTAATGGCACTAATCTTGAAGGAAGGGCAATAATAATACGCAGTCTTAATTATGAGAACCGTGAGTTAAATATAAAGAATAGAGAATGAGATCAAGAACTCCCAATAGAACAGATAACAAGGTTAAAAATATTCCATTAGTGAGCACACTTTTAGAATTAAGACTGAACAATGAACAGAAAGATATTATATCTTTAAAAAACAGCAACCTCTTAATTGGCTTTGCTAAATCAACACCTTGCTATTGCACTGCATCTGACACAAGTCACTTATTTTTAAATGAAGTATCGAGAAGTACAGGCAACTATGACTCAACGGCTTCTTCATGATTCACAAAGCCTATAAAAAGGTGGCCTATTAATCAACATCTCTATAGCAACCTGACTAAAAAATCCAACTCTTTACCTTTTCTAGCCAGGCCTCTTGACAGCTTGCAGACAAGAAAACCTCAAATGCGCTGAAAGCTAAAGAATGACATAATAAAAATCCACTGTGGGTGGCACAGTGGTCTAGTTCTCCCCTGACATAACAATAAAACTGCCACATTTGAGCAAGCATCACCCCCACACATAACCTGGACTACCTCTCCTTATTATTTTTTCTTATTGGAACAGAAGTGGAAACAGTTCTCACCTTTACTTCAACCTCCCTAAAGATGACAATGTCTCACTTCAACCTCTGTAGATGTTGAATATGGCATATTCCAGATGCTAACATTCTGTGTACGAGGACACATAGTCATATGTCAACCTCACCTCATAATCCACAAAATTTAAAATCAATTGTTCCCTATTTGTGTCCTTTTAAACAGCAAAGCTGACTCTGACATGCTAAACCAAATATTGGGGGATTCAAGAAGCTGCCAAATGTCTATGTCTTAATTTCTTTTCAATCTTCTTCCATTTCTCTTGTTACTATTCATTTACACCTCTTTGCCCCTCTTTCTTCCTGTTGAATATGTCTTCATTAAGTTGAATTTGGATTACAGGCTATTAAATTTCTGTAACTCATAGCATCTTCACCATTAACTAAGGATGTGGAAATCTGCTTCCAACAATATTCAGTAGGCTGCATTTCCCCATGCTTTTTGGAATTTCTCAGAGAAGCAGGGCTTCCCTGTTTTCAGGATCCACATTGGGACTTTCTGTTTGAAAGGCCAAAAAAAATGGGAGAGGGTGGAGATGAGAAATATGTTAGCAACTTGGGACATGCCTTGGAAGTGTGCTAGGAATTACCTTGAATTTGTATGTTCTTTGTGTTCAGATTTAGCTAAACTATAGTGAGATTGGCGTGTGGAGAATATACTTAATCAAAGACATAACTGGACCATAACATACTTTAAACTGTTAAGTTGTTTCGTTAACAATACATTAAAGATAAAATAAATAGTAACCTCAGGAAACTGACATTGTGATTACATTGCATGACTAGAGGAAAAGCTAATCATGCAACCCCCAAGAGTGTGGGGACTTCAACCTAGCCCAAAGAGGACAATATAGAAATGAGAAACTATCTTCTGAGTTTCTCCAGTTTTCACAATAAGAAGCGAAAACTTCTTAGAGTGAACTGCATTCCATTTATAAAAACTAGACATTGCTAAATATACAACAGTAGAGCGCTTTGCCCAGACAGATGGTGCAATCACTCTTCAAAAAAGTATTTAAACGGACAATGGACAGGCATCTGAAATAGATGCTGTGCCCCATGAAGGAGTTGAGTTAGTTTAGCACTAAACTCAAAAGAGGTGGTTCCTGGACTAGTGCAAGTCTCTGTGCCACTGGTTGGTGGCCTTTGGGAAAGTTCAAGGAAATAAAAAATAACTGCATCCAATGGGTACAAATTTAGTGCCAGTTTCTGGCACACTGCAGCATCATAATGGCCTGTCCCCATGACAGACAGCACTGGTCTAGGTGACCAGAGTGGTACTTTCCATCCTCACAATTTGTGTGCAGTGGTAATATAATTCCAAGTCTCAGATGCTGGGGAATAGATGCTGTGGGAGATCATCACCACGCGACCTCATGCACAATCTATTAAAGGCATCTATGCACCTATGTTCCAATCTAGTCTACCATTACTATTTCCAGCAAGATGTATATGTTAATCTAGATACAGTCACACAAATCAGACAAGCCCGTGCAACCAACTCTGACCCTGACCCATAGCGAACATTTAAAATTTAATTACAAATTGGTTGTGGGTGAAATCCCCCCATATTCAATATTTAACATCCAAGGCATTTGAGATACTATGTACAGAGCTTGAAATTAATCAGCCTCAGAGGACATGCATGGCAGTCATCCAACGTGGACAAGAAGAGGACAGTCAACATTTTTGTGGGATTCAGGCATCCAGCAATTCAGGCTTCATAACACATACAGTATGAGCATTGTGTATCTGGTGTGCATTAGAAAGTGGATGCAGTCATCTTTGTCTTCCCTTTATGCAGCTTTCAAAAGGAGGAAACTTTTTTTTGCCAGCAACCAAACTCTGCCAAAACCCACAGGCACCAGTATCTTTGTCACTATTCTCAAGGCTTTCTTCCAAATGTGCTTTCCTTTCTTTACAAAAAGTCATACAGTTAAGGTTGTCTTCTTTTTGCATCCCCCCAGAGTGAAATCCAAGTCAGAAACCAGTAACTGGAAGCTTTTGGTCCTTTTCCTCTGTTTCTTCCATGGAGTAAAAAAAAAAAGAAAGAAAGAAATAAAAGAAAAGAAAAGAAAGAAAAGACATATACAATGCCCTCAGTGAATTCTCACTCTCCAAATCCCATCTCTATGATTTCATCTCTGCAACTGACTGGTCATTACTCTCTCAAAATTATTTCCAAAGGCACAGCTATTGAGACAAGATGAGCTAGTTACCTCCTTAAATACTTTGGAAAAAATCACAACACACAAGCAAATTAGAGTTTCTCTATTATTATGTATATTTTAATTATTATAATTTTGTTTATAATAAGGTAGAAGTTTGGTCTGCCAGTCTGATGCTTACAATCTACCACTGGTGCACCAAAGGCAATCATAACAGACAATAAAATTCCAAAACAGCAGCAATACCAATAATAAAACACAAATGTGGGAGACAAAACTTAGATAAAGTTCATAAAACAAATGCCTGCCAAAACAAAGAAGTCTTCCATGTGGCAAAATCCTGTTAAAGACCGCACTGACCTAGCCTTCTTGTGTAAATATTTCCACAATTCAAACGGCTCCTTTGCTTTCTCTTAAGACTGAGAGGAGCTTCTGTGTCAGATCTCAGGCAATAGGTTGTGAACTGTCATGAACATTTTGAATTAGAACTTGGAAACCTTACAGGACAGGTCTAAGTGGGTGCCCCTTGACATTCTTACTGCTGCATTTTGAACTATCTTCCCCAAACTCTTTAAAGACAACCCCATGTGAATCATACTGCAATAATCTGTTCTAGACAGGAATTACAACTTCATCTCACTGAGAACAGATGGTCCTACAATTAGTAAATGCACTACTAGATTAGAGAGTTGCCGCTTGATCATCCACAAACAAAATCAAGACTAGAAGCACCTCCAAAATGTGAACTTGATTCTTCAAGAGCAGTAGTTCTCAACCTGTGGGTCTCCAGGTATTTTGGCCTTCCACCCCTAGAAATCCCAGCCAGTTTACCAGCTGTTAAAATTTCTGGGAGTTGAAGGTCAAAACATCTGGGGACCCACAGTTTGAGAACCACTGTTCAAGAGGAAAGTTTCACTTTCTACCCCAAAGCAGGTCTTAAATCTGACCAAGACAACCTCTGTCTAGTCAGGATTAAATCTCAACCAATTATTTCTCAATTAGTCAATTACTGCCTTTAAACAAAACAAAATTACCAATTATGCATTTCAAATGCAAACCATTTCTTCTGTTTTCCATTCCTGAGGGAAAAAATATCCTTTTTGAGAACATCATACTGACTTGTTTTGCCAAGAACACAAGGTTCTCTTTTATGCAAGTCAGCTTAATGCAGTGGTTCTCAACCTGTGGGTGCCCAGGTGTTTTGGCCTACAACTCCCAGAAATCTCAGCCAGTTTACCAGCTGCAAGGATTTCTGGGAGATGAAGGCCAAAACATCTGAGGACCCACAGGTTGAAAACTACTGGTTTAATGGGTTATAACATACCCTATTTCACTTCTAATAAGGGGTGTGCAACTATTATGCTCTGAACTACAGGGTTGCTTTCTCTTTCCCACTGGCACATGTGGGCAAGCAAGGGCTGATTGAGGCTTCCTAGCTCATCCCAGACAAAGAAGGAGGCCCCGTAGGCCTCTCCTTCTGGCATGCACAGGCGAGCAAGGCCTACTGGGCCTCTTTCAGCTGCCAGCAGCCACGGGAAATCTTCCAACTCTCCCCGACAGGTGAGCCAGTGGGTGAAGGCTCACCCACCCCACATGCCGGGGAGAACTAGGAAGCCTCAATCAGCTGGCAGCAGCTGAGGGAACACTTCCAGCTCTCCTGACTTCAACTGCCTGCACACTTGCCCCTTGGAGCTACATGGCCTATTCCAAGACACGGGCATGCAGGAGGTGATGCAATTATTTTGTGGGGAATATAAAAAAATCCCCAAACTAGGACTGCAATAAAGTGTGTGTGGCTATTATGCAATGAAATACAGTACTTTCAGTTATAAGCAGGTCTCTCCCAGATTTACTATTCAAGACCCTTGACTTGGAAATCCCAGGAAATCATGTATTCAGTTACTAATCTATGCCTCCTCTCAGATCCTACCACTCATTATGGTGGCTCATGTTGCTGCCTCTTTCAGAATGGGTCTCCAACTTTCTGGGTCCTCTGTGAGAATGAGTAATTTAAGAAATAATTAAAAGACTACATTTCCCAGGAGACGTGTTAATAAAAGAAAGACAAATAACTCATTTGTTTTTATTTACTGCTTTTGGTTTTAACCTATAATGACCTTATGAATGACACTCTCCAAGACACACTGTCATCAACAGCCCTGCTCCAATCCTGCAATGGCTTCCTTGATGGAGTCTAGCGCTTGTCAAAAACAATACAAGGCAGAAGTGAGCCTTCAAATCCAAAGGCACTCTTTAAAACCCACTATATCCAATTCTAACAAAAGTCATTTCAAAGAAGGCAAGTTCCGCTCCCCCATTCCCTGCCAATAGCAAACGCACAGTTCACAATCCCTCTTTGAGTAGTTGCAAACGTACTTCTTCATCCCATTTTGCACATTTTCTCTCTACTAGCTGCAAACTCATTCCTGCTATCATTTTTTTCTCTGACAGCACAAAACTCCCCGATCTCATTCTTCACCCTTCTTTTCCCACTTCAAGAGAACCAACTTGTAGCATCTCGATGATCATGAATTATTTTTGTTTTATCTGTCCCATTCCTGCAAACACCACCACTTACCTCTCCAGTAACCAGGTATTTGCCATCAGGAGAGAATGCAAGGGCCGTAATAGTCTTCCTGCATTAAGAGAATATACGGTGAAATACGTCAGAGTATACATTTGGTTTTCAGTCCAGACACAAATGGGAGAAGTGACTGAAAATGAGTTTAAGCAGTGTCCTGGAGGAAATGTCCACAATGACCAAAACCTACAATACTATGTTTAGTAATTGGGGTTGGCAACTGTAGCCTTCAAAAATGTTGGATTACAATCCCTTGTATCTTTTCATAATTGGCTACACTGGGTTGTACTGATAGGAACTGTAATCCAACTGCAAAATATTCTCCTGTCTATAGTGACTCATTAGAAGAAATGCTGGCTTTCAGATCTTCTAAACCTTTTCTAAAAGCTTTTTGAACCTCAAGAGGTTTAAGCTGCAGAGGTGGATAAGTACAACAATTGGTAAAGAAAATAAACACAGAATATGCCTTTGCATGTCTACGTTAAACTGGTATCTCCCCCTTGCATGCTCTGCCAACTCAGGTTTACTTAATACTGTAGATCTGATAAGGAATCGTGCTTAGAGGAAAGTGAGTTTTTAATCAGATCAACAGCTCCAATTAATCTTGAAACACATTAAGAGAGAAACAGCAACATAACCTGGACATGCAAGAACATACTCCGTTAAAAGTGAGTTGCTTTAGTTCTTAACACCTGCAGAATTTTGCAGAATAAAACTACTGGAATTAGTTACTTGAATTCATCAATGTGTGAGAATTAGCATACATATTCCAATACAAGTGACTGAAATAGTAATTTCAAAACTAAATCTAGTTAGAAGTTTCATTTTTTGTTTATTTATTTATTTACTGCATTAAGATATTAGCTATCAAGCTTTAAACATTGAATTCTCACTCTGTGCTCTCAGGTCATTGGTTGCAGATCGTAAAAAAATGATGTGGATTTTTTTTAAGTGTTCTCACATAGAGAGAAATCACTGCTTATAAAAGTTGGGAAACACATCTGCATTTTCCTTTCTGGGCAATGTTATGAAAGCTAGCATTTGAGAATTATGAGTTTTACTCACCTGGAACTATTCAGAATATGATGTTGCTTATTCTTCCTGGGGTTGAATAGCACAACAACACACCTACAAAATAAGAAAATGTTAAAAAATGAGAAAACCTACACAATAACTCTGTGATCAGTTATTGTACTTCCTTCCCTTCTGAAGAGATTGCCATGACCACTCCACACATTCTAATGGTCACTCAAACACATAGGAATCATTTTGTTACATAGCAAGTAATGCTACTCTCCACCTTTATGCTTTAAAGCACTACTTCCTAAACAGTGGGTCCCAACCTCAAATGGGGTCCCAAAATTTTTGTCTGAAAATCACCTAGTGGCAGTTTTAAGTATTTATATGAGTGTATTGTGCAGTATTTACAATGGACTCTGCAGGAGATGCTTCAGCTGTACTTCTCAAAAAGGAAAATCAGCTTGTTTAGCAAGCCTTGCAAATGCTGATTGTCAGCAAATGTTTGATTTTTATACTTATTTTATATACTTATACACCCAGATTACATAATTTTGGAAAACCACTGTTTTGGAAAACAATTGGCCACATAACCTTTAGGAAAACAGCATTCATAACCATTTAGGAAAACCAGGAATCCCCTGAGAAGAGTTAAAAACTCACTTGAGTTAACCTTCTCCATAGTGGTAAATATCCACAAGTATTCATGCAAGGCAATTAGGTTTCTCATCTGTTAAACTAGATATTTCTTTGAACTGCTAGGGGAAAAAATATGCCAATGCACAAAAAGATATAACAGAGTTTCATAAGTGTTATTTCATTTCCCCAAAAACACATCTACTCTCTCTTAAAACATCTTAGTTTAAATCATGCTCTCAAGAGACCAAAATAAGTAGACTTTTTTAACAATAGCATAGTGGTTTACTCACAAACTTCATGTATTCAGCATACAGGTACTTTGTATATCAATCCAGTTACAGATAGGATTTGAAGTAGTTTTTCTGTGCAGATAACACAGGGCATCTTTCTTATAATCAACAGTCCAAAGTCTAAAGCATCTCTCTGGTCTGAGAGTCTAATAGAGTCTCTGTTCTCTAAAGCATTCTGTTTTTTCTAACTTCTAAACTGTATTGTACTGCTTCTGATGCAAACACTGACTTCTAAAATGGAGTCTGAACAATCCCAGATCTGATCACATGGTGTGTACCGCCTCCCACAACAAACAAAACTGCATGACAGTATACACATATACAATACATTAAGAAATCGGAATTATATACAAACAAATAACTAGTGTAGGTTTGAAGAAGGTTGCTATTTCCAACACAAAAATCTTTCTCAGGCCAAAAGGAGTTCTGAATGGAGAAGCTTAGGAAGTCCTGCTTTAAAGGGTAGGGGTATCTGACTTTTGTGCTTGCAAAATAAACTCCCAACCTCCCTCCTCCAGATAAAACAGGCATACTGGGGGAGGGGGGGGGGCTAGAACTTGCAACTCCAATCTTTTTCCAAGCTCTGCCTAGCTATATGAAAAATGTGCAGTAGGTGTAGACACAGAGAGACAATTGCTTATTGTTCCACCTACGCATGGATATGCTCCAACATTATTTGACATTTTCTGTCTTTTAAAGTGTTTTCAAAACCCACTCAAAATGCACTCAAAGAAAATAGTGGGGAAGACTTCATCAAAAGCCTGTCAATCAGCATGGTTTAATTCTTGTTTCTGCAATTTCTGAAAAAATGTTTAGTTGATTTTAATGTCAGGGGGACAATTTATGTCTCAAACTTGTGGTATTTTGTTTTTGATTTTTAGTATGCAGTTGACCACAATTGGGGAAACAGTATCATCTGAATAATTTTGTATTGTAAACATGGGAGGGAAAACTTGACATATTAAATGGTTCTTTAGTACAGGGTGAGGCAGCATAACTTCCTTTTTTAAAATGCGCGCCATTCAGTCGGTTGAAGATGTAGCAGAGCGCTAGTGGTTTCGTTCAAGAGGCGGGAATATAAAGTTTTGTCCTGACACAGTTCAGTCACCATCATGCGTTGGAACAGTGAGGAGCGTGCTTTTGCCGTTGAGGCCTACTTTTCAAGTGGATTTGGAGTGGCCGGCCCGCTCCCCAGATTTGGCCCCTTGTGATTTTTTTTCTATGGGTTTTTTTTTGAAATCCAGTGTTTATGTGAACCGTCCAAGGGCCCTACAAGATTTGAAGACCAACATCCAGGAAGAAATTGCCAACATAACACCTGCTATGCTGGCAAGAGTCATGACAAACGTCAGAAATCGGTTTACTCAGTGTATGGAGAATGGAGAATGGGGGACGTCACCTACCTAATTTGATCTTCAAAACTACGTAAAATAAAACTTTAGGTATACGCCTACATTATAAAAAAAATTCTGATTCATACAATGGGTTTTATTAAGTTTTGAAAAAAGGAAGGTATGCTGCCTCACCATGTATTTAAAAAGACAGTGTTTATTGGGCAATCCTGGGGGAAAGTCCAGTTTTGGAGAGGCATCGGTTTCAGCAGCAGGACTATGATGTGGCAACAGGAATTGGTCTCACACTGGTACCAAGTCTCACTGAGCTGGGATTCATATTGTATATGAACCCCCTGGACTGTCCTTTAGTTGCTGATAAGATAAGAGCTACTAGTCGTTGTGGAGAAAATGTTACTGACTGTAACCAAAGAGAAATATTTTTCTTTCCCTGTAGGGAGTAGGATTTTTCCTTCAAAAAAACCCAGGAATGTGTGTGTGAAATACAACATAGCCAGCTCACTCCTGAAATGGGAGGTATAGCTACACCTACTGTTACACCAAATAAGTAGCTAGACACCAAAGTTTTTCAAAATAATACATAATTAAAATATCCCTGGAAAACATGAAAGAAAGAAAAAAAAGATTGTTGTTTCCCATTAAATCTAAATTTAGGAACAGCAAGGAATCAGATGTTGGAATCACAGTCACGCAGCATATGACTCATTCAAAACATCAGCTCTGTGCAACTTGCCACACATGTTCTGCCCCACTTACCATAACCTTGCTTCTTTCTTTTCTTAGATCAGTGCTTCTTAAGCTACCAGAGCAACTGCATACTTTCTCCATAACATTCAATTTTCTACATTTCAACTTTGTCCTCTCATTAGTCTACTCTTGATCAGTTTCACCCACATTTCAGATTTTTCCATTGCTGGGGGAGGGGAGCTTTTTGAAAGTCTTTCTTCCTCAAGGTTCTCTCTCCAAAAGGAGACAACCACTTTCTCTCTCCCCTTCCCATTTTCCTCCTTTATCCTCAATTCACTACTGAGTCCCAAATGCATAGCTAATTTGCATTCAATAAACTCAGAAGGATGAAGAGGGGCTAAATCTTGCCCTTCCCTGTAGGTTCAAGCCAAAGCAATCTGCTGCAGCCTCTCCGAGTTTATGTGTTCATCCTCACTAGTCACATTTGCCATCTTGGGAATACTTTGAAGTTGCTTGGCCACAACTTTCATCTCTCAAATGTTGCAGGTTAAGCCTTGAGCCCCCCTTTGGGGGTGAGAAGGGCGGGTTATAAATGCAGAAAATAACTAATAAATATAAATTAAAAATCCAAGTAAGTTTAACACTTGGAGGTTGGCCCAAAGACACAGATGCACATGTGTTTTCCAGTATCCTAGTCCAACATGCAAAGCACTGCATTATGCTGGGTCTCTATAACATCTGTATTCTCCTAGCAGAAGGATTATCTCAGAAAGCTCCCATTAAAAATGACCTGAGATTTCCATGGCTCAACAAACCTGAACCTTTTATTATGTCAGAACTGTTTTGCTTAGTGAAAACTTTCTGTTATCCACATAATAACAGATGTCAGTAGTTTTCCAGCCACAGTCAAGATGGAAAAAGAATGCTGAACTACCCCAAGCTGGAAGGGGATAATCAAAACTTGTAAAGGCAGGAGACCAAAGAGTTATGCAACTAAGATCTACCCTTCTGAGATTACACTAATAATTTGCAATCTCAAGTCTTCCCACTAATCCCCTTCGTCTCTCTACACATTTCGCATTTGCTTTCTTTAGCTTTCCTTAGACCATCCAAACTGTAACCAGTCTAATGCACTGCTTTACTTCACAGTAGAACAATGGGGTGCTTCCTTTAGCAATTAAGACAATGAAATAGTAGAGAGAACAGGATAAGCAGCACCATTTCAAATGTTTCTTGTAAGAAAAAAAGTATACAAAACACTGGACCTTGTATAATACTGTACTGACTTATATATGTACTTAGATGTGTGATGATTAAAACAAGTATACAAGAACCATCACAAATTGTTCACACAATTGTTTCTACACATCTGAAGCCACCAAAACAAAACAATTCGAGTTTGGAAATTTTACTTTTCTAATAACTGCAAATCTCAAAATTCCCAGGGAAGGATTCTGGGAACATTAGCAATTACAAGATGAAGTGTGGATGGATTAAACATCATAGAGGACAGAATCACCAAAAGCGACTAAAACTACTGTGTAGTCACTCCAATATCTGACACACTATATCTTTCTGTATCAATTGTATTAATGTCATTAGATCATGATACACACACATCCATTAATCCTGAAGGAAATGGGAAAAGATTACTAAAACAAAATAAACCTAAAGTATTTATTTATTTGTCGTGTCAGAGCAACCAGTCCATTATATTACATTTCTAACAGAACAAAGCAAACAAACAGACAAATACAAAACTTGTGAGTTTGGTAGTTGGTTAAATGTCCTTTGACCAGTATCTGGCCACTTGGAGTGCTTCTGGTGTTGCTGCAAGAAGGTCCTCCATTGTGCATGTGGCAGGGCTCAGGTTGCATTGCAGCAGGTGGTCAGTGGTTTGCTCCTCTCCACACTCGCATGTCGAGGATTCCACTTTGTAGCCCCATTTCTGAAGGTTGGCTCTGCATCTCGTGGTGCCAGAGCGCAGTCTGTTCAGTGCCTTCCAAGTCGCCCAGTCTTCTGTGTGCCCAGGAGGGAGTCTCTCATTTGGTATCAGCCATTGGTTGAGGTGCTGGGTTTGAGCCTGCCACTTTTGGACTCTCGCTTGCTGAGGTGTTCCAGCGAGTGTCTCTGTAGATCTTAG